TCTTCCATCCTCTAATCGTAGCCCAATGGAACATGGAATCTCTGGGATTTTACAAAGCTCCAATCTCATATCATGCTGTAAAATAGTAGTAGCTGTTTCCGGAAAATTATAATAAGATTGACAGAGGGAAGATTCAAAGAGCGAGATGAGGGGAGCTACGAGTACTAATTCGCAAAAGGCGATGAGGAAGTGGAAGGTCATGAAAATAGAGGATGAGAGTTGTGAGGGATGGAGAGGGCGTGGAGCTCGAGAGGGATGATGGGGAAGAGGGAAGAGAACATGTTGAATCGATATCATCGGAATCGGGGGTAGGGATAAGAGGAGAGCGTTCATCATCTGGGATTCTAGATAGCGCGTTTGGCTTTGTGGGGGCGGAGAGCGACATCGTCACTATGAGCCCGTTGTACTAGGTGCGTGAGAGTATTGTAGGAAGCTGATGGAGACGTCGCGTGGCTGATTATACTTCATAGTCATCCGTTTGCGCCACATATTACCCTGGTTGTGGCGTCGAGCAGGATATTCCTATATCCTTCCCCCTTATTTCAGTGGTCCTGTAACTGTACCCATTAGAATTACCAACATCACCAACTTCACTAACAAATACACAACGAGAATAAGGAAACAAAAAGATCGTATCAAGTGAATTGTACCTATTGCCTCTCTGAGAATTCCAAGATGACATTTAAGATGGGATTGGGATCCTATGGAGCCTTACGACAGAAAGTGCCATACTGTTGCAATTACAAGCGATAACGTATGACAGGAGTTGGGTTTAAACCATCTGACACCTTTGAATAATTCGCGCTCTGAAATTCCCATTCAAACGCCACATTTCGAGAAGATAGACGCACTTCAAAAGGTATGGGTTGATACATTCAATACCTTACAAGTACGGAACATCCGAGAATACATTCTTAGGATCATCGATTGGTGGTCCTTTCAACATTGCAACAATTAATAGCGCTACCGAGGAGAAGAGCTATTCCACAAATACTTATTTCAAACCTTTGCAAAATCAACCAAATCTTCATCTCGTGACTAAAGCTCAAGTTGAAAAGATTATTCTCGACAAGGAATCTGGCGAGGCTATTGCCAAAGGCGTGAAAGTCACAGTCAAGGGTATCGAGACGTCGGGAAGGAGGCCATTGTCGCAGGCGGTGCTTTAGTTTCTCCCAAACTACGGGAACTGTCAGGAAGTGGTGATCCTGAACTTCTTCACTGCCTTGGTATCGATGTAAGATTACATGTCGAAAACGCTAACGTGGGAGCTCGAGAAAATCTTCCAAGATCATAATTACATCAAGTGGAATGAGTTATGATGTAGTCTATGCAATTCAAACATTGGAAACTCTTAACCGCCAAGAACCCGAAGCTATAGCAACGGCAATATCAGCATACCTATCGTACTGAAAAATTTCGTCATTCGCTGCTGCGGCATTATCCTCACTCGCTCACATATCAGTTACAGACTTCCAGACACCCGAAGACCAGGCTACGTAAGAGCATTTGCTGCTTACTCACAAACCAATAACGAGAGTGCAATATTTGAATTCGGACGCTATGTTCTTGCTAGTGCCAACAAGAGTTCTGCATGCTACTTCTCTATGCTGCCCATATGCATGGAAGTTTTGGATCTGATGCAAGCTCGGCAAAGGAGGTAACATCACCATGCATCAGCAGCGAGACTGGAAATTTTCTCACAATTACTTGGGAGCTTGGGTATATATGCACTTTCACGAGGTAGCGTGCATATCCAGTCTTTCTTTGGCGTTGGATAGTCGTATGATTGACCCCAGATACTTTAGTAACCTTATTGGCCTGGATGTTAACGCTGTAGCTGAAAGAGCGGCCGATTTGATTAAGCTGGATCATAATATCTCTTACAGATGCTTCAACTATTTGGATGGCGCATAATCTATATCACATTAGTGAGAATGAGGATGGATCATAGAAAATAAAAGATGAGTCCAATTTAATTATAAGAGAGTTATACAAATTGTAGTGGATGGTAAATAATAGGTATGTACAAGATCTTTCAGCATCTGATATTCGTATTCGTACAAGACGGGGTATTTATTTCACCATACTCGGGTCTAGATGTCTGTCTAGGATAGGAATCATAAGTCCTTCTTCATATACCGACCTCTTCCTTTTCTTTCTCTTCTCCCTCTTCTTTCTCCTCTCCCTCCTCTTCCTTTTCTTTCCTCTCTTTCATTTCTTTCAACTTTTTTTCCATCTTCCCCCTGCTGGTTCGATTAAGCTTGCTCCTAAGAGCATCCATTAACTTCACCAAACTCCTCGTCGGCTTTGTCTCAAAGTCCTTCTCAAGCTTTTTCAGTTTCTTGAGATTTCTTGCTTCCGTCGATTCCCTAACCCGCTGTTCCTCCATTCTGACCTCTTCCCATGCATCTGCCCGTCGTTGCGCATGTTGTTCGCATTCCTCTCTATTGTAACGATGGAATACATCCGTCGTCCAGAAATCCGCTCTCCAATCCCATGTCCGAATCCCTGACGCATATTCCCTCAAGATCCCCCTTAGCCATTCATCCGTTGCTACCAGTCTCAACCGACGACCTCTAATCATAGGCATTTCTTGGGACCTTTTTTTCGACAGATTTCGTAATTTATTCGCTTCCGTCTTTCGTGATAAGATTACCCAGCCGTCCATATGGCCATCTCTCGACATTTTCACGTACCCTTTCATGGCTGTACATCGTCCCTCGAAAGCTTCTACGAGTTCCTCATTTGTTGCACCAAAAGGTACCCCCTCAACACGAAGACAATTCTCGACATTCCTTTTGATGATCTTTGGATCTAAATATGATGGTAGTCCATACGTACTTTCCACTCGTCCTTCTAGCCTCGCCTGGCGATTTGCCACCCTTAATCTCTTCTCCTTCTCCTTTGCCGGATCAATGTCGATTGGAAGGCCAGTGTGGTTTGAGTTCTGTGCTAACCGTATGTTATATATATTATCCACATCTACATAATTGGCCCAACCTTCTAGGCGCTTGGTGCCACATTTCACACACTTGCGATGTTGAACACTGTTTTCAAAACCACATCCTACGGATTTACATATCCAATTACCAGAGTGAGGAACTTCAGATGGCTGTGCAAACCCACTGATAGTTTGATGGCCCTGGGGGGGTTGGTGGTTGTTCCTTTGGGACCGCTGATATGGCTGACTTCTGAGCTGAGAAACGAATCCATCATCAGACGGCGGTGCAAGCCCTTTACTATCGTGAGGATTATCGATGGGTCGGTAGTCAATCCATCGAGTACCTTTAGAATAATCTCTGGTTTGAAACCCCTTGGAGTTTCTGTTGAAGGGTTTTTGTGGATCAACATTTATGGAACTAAACGTACTTGCCGCACTCATATGGTATCTAATCGTTGGCTTTTGATTAGAAAGGAAAGAAACTTTTGAGTGAACAGGATTTGGGACTTCTGAAACATTCGGATTACTTAGGATCTGCGGGTCCTTGGCAGGAGATGAAGAAACCATTGGCTGAACAGGATTTGGGAATTCTGAAACATCCAGATTGATTTGGATCTCCGGGTCCTTGACAGGAGATGAAGGAACCACTGGCTGAACAGGATTTGAGGCTTCTAAACTGTTCGAATCCACCATGGCTTTAGGAGTTGGAATATTTGATCCACCACCTGGGGTGGAATTCATAATTTCCGATAACCTTCCCGTGATGGGAGTAATAAATTTCGTTGGTATCTTCTGAAGCGGAGTCGAAAACCTGTCCAGAGATTTTTCTGGGTTAGTGTCTTTCGAGGTTGAATCTTGAAGTGTCCATTGATGTTCTTTTCCAGACGGGAGTGATTGAGAATCATGTAAAGATAACCGTTTAATCGTCATTTCATCGAGAAGCCGTGCTAAATTGGGTTGTATCTCTTGAAGGTCTGGCGTAGTGGGAGGAGCAACGTCCTCACAAGACATGCACACAGCGGTCGCATAATCTCCGTCATGGCTTATGCTCATCGGTACAATTTGATCCTCGAATCCTGTTGTAGCTCTTATGAGTGTAATTGGCGCTCTTGATCTGAGATTGTCCAGGGACGGGTTATCAATGGTGATGTCGTGGAAATTCAACCGTCGTTTGCTGAAGGCTTTCTTTGCTGCTTCCTTTGCTGCAAAACTGAATGAAGGATAGTCAGCCAGAGCCTTCTAACATGGATTTTAGATAGACTCACCGGCCAGCTACAAATCTAGCGACTCCTTGCACATTTTCTCTCAGTTGGTTTAAAACCGATTCCTCTTCTTCTTTCGTTAATTTCTTCGGGTTTTCCTGTGTGGTATATGGAGACCATATCACAGAGCCCACAGGTTCATCATTAGCGGCAGCGCTTTTCCGCAGGGGCGTTTCTTTGGGTGCAGCAAGTCCTATCAGAGCCTCTAAGCTTTTCGCCTTCCATTCCTGTTGCTTTTCTATCTTCCCTTGGATGAATTCCCTTCGTTCCATAAAATAGAGGTATTCAATCAACGGCAGAAGTCTCGGTCGGTACCAAACTTGCTCCTGTGGAGTGAATACCCTCCGAATGAATCGATGCGCATATTTTGATTGATGCTTCGTTAGAATATCCTGAATGCGACTGATCTTGCAGATGTCGGTGCCGATATTGACGGGGAATGGGAATGCTCGTGGCATATTGTGGGGATATCGTTCATACAGCTACTATGAGGTATAATTGTCTCATACTGACGCTATACATGTCGCTTTTTCTCTATATTCACATGAGATATGGTGCGAAATCGAATTTCGATAGAGGGGGTGAAAGATCAAATGTTTTTTTTTTTCTTATCGTCGGATAAGAATCTGAAAAGCTCGGACTTGTCAGTAACCTCACTCCGTACCTGCCTCGCGAAATCATCTGATGTGGCAGGGGTATTTATTAATAACCATTTTATTTTAACAACCATCACTTTCGAAATTCCTGAATTCTAAGACCTATCTAGTAGTTGTCTTGCCAAATTCTGAAATCTGCTAATCACGATATTTGAAAGTATATAGCCAGTTTTTGTAATGATAGTATGTGGATTCTAGCAGTATCGATTGTTAAAGCATTAACTATTAGATGAAGCTAACTGTGTAGCTGATAGTCAAGTCATTTTAGATAGGCCCATGAGGTCATCACGAAGTAACATCCTGTTTTCACATACGTAGATTCAATTTATCTGATAAGCTTCAACCTAAAATTGCGATATATACCGCATTATTGCATACCTGCCGAAAACCAAAAGCAAAAACACAACGAAAGGATATCCCCCAAATCCATGCATAACACCTACTAATCCAGAGGGGTATCTCGTGACGTTATCAGCTCCCGTCCTATCTTTAAGATCCCCTACATCAATTACTTCTTGCAAATTCAACCGACTTTGAGATGTGGAGACTTCAATGGCCAAGCTGTTGAAACTATTGAAACTTAGAGCTCCATTGATTTGTCCAAATTAGTTATTGTCCAAGAGAGGAGCCCTCTCTCGATCCTCCGACCCCAGTGGAGTCTCTCTTCTGAATGAGATCTCCTTGCCGAAGATTCCAGGAATTGCAATAACCAATGTAGCTAGGAAGAGAGTACCCATTATTGTAAAAGCAAAGATCCATTGAAGGGCGAATACTTTTGTGAAGAACTGGCCAACTCCAATTGCTGCTGTGATAATACTGAGAGCAAATCCCATGGTGTAGTCCTAATAACTCGTAAGTATCCCTGAGCTTTATGACCAACCCTGCAGCTGAATTCGATTAAGACGTACCTTGTAGGCAGCAAGAAAGAACAGTCCATAGACCAAGATACCCCAGATTGCGACGTTTGCTACAATACGTGCAGGAAGGTTATGAGCACCAACCGCAATAGCACCATTCCAATACAAAGCTACGAATGTCCAAGCAAGTGGACCAGAGGTAGCTGGCATATGAATAAATCTTGGAGTGGTATTATGACGGAAGTAGAGGGAAGAAAGATTGAAGAAGTTGATGATCAACATGATTTCAGCCCATATGAAGTGTGATCGAACGAAGAGCATGACAAAGGCGAATTGGAGGAGGTTGTTGACAATAAAATGACTTCCAACTGATGCTGCGGCATTAACATGCTCAGCCTCGTCGGTGAAGAGGTGAAGAACATATCCAATCTGTAGAATAAACAGGAACAGCCTAAGTTTGTACGTTAACACTTGAAGCCTTGAAATTGCATAGAATATAAGTAACCATACCAATAAATCGAAGCAATAAAGGCGTTCATGGCAAATGGTGTATGATGTATCTTGTTCTGTTCCCAAATAGTATGACGCCAGGAGTTCTTGTCATCTTGAGGTGCATGGAAGTTGTAGTAAAAGGTCACTACTACCATCAACAGCCAGGATATAATTGTACATATTTTATATGTCCAGATTGCTTGAACTGGATGTGTATCTCTTCGCGCGAATGGATTCGCTGTATTCCATACCGTCAGTCTACATAATGGCTAAAAGGATTCCACAAGGGAAAGTACCTTGCGCAAATGATGGACTCATCGTGAAACTGTGGAGGATATATCTGCAAGAGCTCAAAAGTCACGGTGGTGCTGAATATTATTTTGCTTATGTGCGTCGTCTTTATCGAGGAGATAAATGGCCTGATTTGCGAAATAGGCTGACTGAGGGAGTTTATCTTTAGTAGCAACCTTTTGAAAAGAGGGGAAGAGACAAAAAAGGGTACATACCAAGGGAGAGATATCGACAAGACAGAGCAGAGAAAGGGTATCACAGTATCACAGTATCACGAATACGTGAAACTATCAATTGAGCTTCCGGTATTTCTCACAGGAATAAATTGAATTTAAATTATATCTCGTAAATGAAAGAACATAGACCCTATATAAATAAAGTCAAGCAATAGGAAATCAAGCTTCTAGCAAGCAAGAAATGGGGAAGTGACGTACGGGGACCCTTGAGACCTCCATGCATAACTTTACCCCGCATATCACTAAACTCAAGCGATCCTATCATCCATTTATCTCAAACTTGGATTATCGTCCCCATACGAGGATTGGTTTAATGGATGAAGGAGATCAATACTTGATGATTTTCATTTGGCAACGTGACACAGTAGCTGGCCGACTGAACAAATTAGGAGTGAGGCGCAATTGACATAGGAAAAGAGGAAAGGAAGCAAGTGCGGACACCACTCACAAAGCTAATGAGGTCCATGCATACGAAAGAGTCCATTCGATTCCGGAATTCTCTTTACATGATACCAACTCATTTATATGAAGATAACATCGCAGTCAATACCATATATGGTATATCCAAGTGATTCTCACTGACGGTACGTACTGGAAGAGAGTGTGAGTTTTTTTTTGGGTTGACTTGATATTGTCGCAACTTGGAATGATCCGGAGCCAGTGCCTGGCACATGTAGACTGGCCGGTGCTGATGGTCATGCCGGAAAAAAAAGAGATCATCGATTAACCCATCCACACCTGGACAAACGAACGAATTAGTAGGCGTCTTTCGATAGGTATCTAGGCAATTATTTCATATGCACTTTCCCGGAAGCATACCGTAAGTCTTACAATAATTCATACTTGCCTTTCTACTTTGTTGTCTTCAGGGATCTTGAATGACCGATTTACACCGATGTTGAAAAACCCTCTCAAGAATTATGAAAAGACTTGAGTTCACACAAACTGGAAATCAATATATATGGGCTTCGATCAATGGAATAGGACGCTACAGGTGTAAGGAAGCAGTCTGTATAGAAGAGGATGATCATCTAAAGCATGACACCAGCCACATTGATTATCGAAATATGGGGAAGCTAATACCTAATCCTTGACATTACATTACCGTATCAACCAAAGCATAGCCAGCTCCATCAGGTACCGTTCCTCTTATCAATAGACACCGAATCTAACAATTGGAATAATCAAAGAATCCCAACATTCATCATGAAGTTCACAAACTTATCACTCTTAGCTTTATCGGCATCTCTTGCATCTGCAAGATTTGTTGAACAACACGAAACCGATCAGGTCATCCTAAATTCTAATGCTGTGACTGATGAACGTTATCTCATCGAGACTGCCCCTGGCAAACAACAATGGGTTACAGAAGAGGAGAAATGGGAATTAAGAAGAGTATGTACAATGTGCGACACAGTGAAGCTTTGGCTAATATTTTGAAGAATGGGCAAAACTTCATGGACATCACAGAAACCCCGGAACTCGGAACTCTTAGGACTTCATCGGTGAAGGTGAAGTTTCCATCGAAACCTACACTTCAAAAAGACCTCAAACCTCTCCTGGAAGACTTGAGCAAGTCTAAAATGCACAAGAATCTCGAGACTTTCACCAGTTTTCATACTAGATATTACAAGTCTGACTACGGTCGTCAATCATCTGAATGGCTTCTCGAGCAAGTTCAAACATTGATCAAGGATGCTGGGGCCGATAAATACGGAGCTCATGCCCGTCACTTCAAACATTCATGGGGACAAAACAGCATTATTGCTACCATTCCTGGACAGAAGAATTCTACGGTTGTTATAGGAGCACATCAGGACTCAATAAACCTCTTCTTACCTTCAATTCTATCTGCGCCAGGGGCAGACGATGATGGAAGTGGAACTGTGACCATTCTCGAAGCCCTTCGCGTATTACTCACATCCAAGGATATCATTAAAGGAAAGGGGGAGAACACCATCGAGTTTCACTGGTACTCGGCTGAAGAAGGTGGACTGTTAGGTAGTCAAGCCATTTTCTCAGAATACGAGAAAACCGGCCGGGATGTCAAGGCTATGCTCCAACAAGACATGACGGGATACACGCAAAAGACTTTGGATGCTGGAGAGCCTGAGAGTGTGGGAGTCATCACTGATTTCGTCGACCCCGATTTGACAGATTTTATCAAGAAAATCGTTACCGAAGTAAGTTTCTCACAAGAATCCGAGTTACTGTCCTGTTTCCATGCTTATTAGAGTTTAGTATTGTACGATCGATTTTGTGGAAACTCGTTGCGGCTATGCTTGCAGTGACCACGCCAGTGCTTCAAAAGCCGGATACCCTTCTGCTTTCGTAATTGAGAGCGATTTCAAGTATTCTGACGATAGAATTCACACGTCAGGTGATACTTTGAATTTCTTAAACTTCGACCACATGCTTCAACATGCTCGTTTGACTCTTGGGTTGGTTTACGAGCTTGCATTTGCGAAGCTATAGGTGGTTTACATTATAGAACATAACCGTTTATTGGCTATTAATTGTGGTTATATCGTTTTGTTTGTCTTGAGATGCATAAGTGCTCGGATTGGATTGAATTTCGTGTCTGCAAGCTTCACATGTGTCATGCATCTAGATTATGCAAGAAAGATGTGTGGCGTTCAAGGTGGTTTCAATACAATTATTCAGAGAAATGAATCAAGAGAATGAAGTGATTAATACCGTTCCTCGATCGCATATTCTGTGTGCAGTTGCCAGTAGTAATCTATGGCACCTACTCTATCGGTTCCCGAATTCAGCCAATTTCAATGATGGCACGACTCAATCTCCTTATGCGTGATTGGTCCGGAGTCGATTATCCGTGCGGCCGTGCCTTATCGGCTTTCCACAGGTATGATGACTCCTTTCCTTATCAACCAATCCACATCTCTCTCCTACATACCTACCAGCTATTTAAGCAATTCTTCCCATAATTGCTTCTTCATCCTGCTATCTGTCATCTTCATACTCCATCACAGTAACAATCTCTGCGAATCTCTATCGAAAGGACTGATCATTGACTCCATTCCTTATCAATCGAGATGGCAATCTATTCATCAGTTCCACCACCGTCACAGCAGGCTTCAGCAGGCCCGGACATTGAAGCCTGGACGGTTTCGGCTTTAGAATCACTTGAAGTTTCTCCCATTGCTCGTGGCACTGGAGTTACACTTTCTATTCCTCTCGAGCGTGATGAGTCCTTGAAAGATACGACGCCGTCAAGACCTGCCGTCTACAAACCTCGCAAGGAACTTTTAAAGCGCGATAGCCAGAAACACAGAGAGTCATTGTTAAAGGGAAAGGAGGGCAGTCGCAGGCGCCAAAGATGGGAGAATGGTGAGTGCGATTGATGAACTGTGACGTGAAGAAAGTGAAACCGACGTTTCCGGCGGGCGTGTCTCAATCATCATAGCATACCTGATCATAAACGCGATACTCGGATATTGGAAAGTCCGAGTGCGAATGGCATCGATTGCTGATTAGGATTGCACTCGCAGATCATCTCCTTCATGTTCCAAATGCCCAGCCTCCGCTCCCTAGTGATTGGGAAGTTCGTCCGACCTACCCTGTTCATCATGTTCCATACTACCTGGCCCCTTTGTGGGATGCGGGTGTTCGTCATCGAGCCGAGGACATCGCCGCCGAAAAGAAAATGAATAGAGCAAAGAAGGCTGGCAGCCATGAGGAGAAAGGTCGTGTCCCACAGGATTTGAGGCAGAAGCTCAAGAAGAGTAAGGGGGCAAAGAGTCTTCTTCAAGATCTGGAGGAGGAGGTCAGAAAATTCGTTCAAGAATATGACGGTAAGCAGAAAATTTTGGGACGGATGAAGGAAGAGGAAATGGACAGTGAGGATGAGGAGATTGTGTTCATTGGAAGAAATGGCACAATGAGTGATGAGCAACGGAACTTAGTTGAAGAAGAGCTACAGAGGGAGAAGCTCATCTTCGATTCTTTGGTTGACGATACGGGAGCAAGCTTCGGGTATGCATCTTCTTGATCATTTGAGAGTTCCCTCTAACAATCTTACAGACGTTGGCTTGTCCATTCCATTGCATCTTACTACGGTCTTGCTTCTCGGTCTGTCACGGTTGGTGATCCTGCACGTCGCGAGGCATATGTCGCTATAAAGGACTTGGGTACTGGTGGACAGATTTCTCGTCTTGCGTCAGACCTTCCTCGCCCATTGTGGGGAATGATTTGATTGCAGATGATGATATTCTGCCTTGGTAAACTAACTCACCCAACATTCCAATCGGTTCCCGTTTCACGGCCACATTTTAACATTTTTTTCACATATTAATGCTCAGTATACTTTAATCTGTGCCTCACATATTACTTGCTTTTGCATGGTTTTTAGATCAATAGATGATGGATCCATCATATTAGAATACATAAAAAACCTGTGATCTTCACCATGATATTGGATTAGCCTCATCAAAAGGTGTTATACTCGCCAGTAAACCATAAGCGCTTCATTTTGAATTACTATGTATGTCAAGTGGAATCAATAGGGCCCGGTAGTATTGTTAACGTTGATATTACAATTGCAACGGTTCCTATTTATTGATAACCTTCGCCGTCCAAGAGCCGAGTCCATGTTGTTTCAGACCCTTTCCCGCATGCCCGCATGTCCGAGGTCCTTGCCTTCCGACGACCCACAATAATCATGTAGTAGTTCCGCGAACATATCTTTGGATAGATTTTATAATTAAGAATTTATAAAAACCACTAATACTACTACATAAGAGCTACTTGTCTCTTCTTCCCTTCTTTTCTTACAATATGCGCTTATAGGCTATTCTTGTTCGTTACCGGAGCATCTTGCAATTCAGTCATAATGAAATTCCGCAACGCATCGGCGCGATCCTTCCGACACTTATCAAGGAGTACATACAAAAGTCCATGGGAGAGGACGTGTATAAATAGTTCTCAGTTCACTAGAGAAAACGGGACGAGATATATCTCTGCGATCGCATTAGGTCCTAGAATTTCAACCTCAACTTCAACCGCTCGCTCGACAATACCGAGACGCTCACTGGCTTTTCCCGCATCTTTCGTTGCGGGACAGAGGAGGGGCTTCGCAATTGTTCAAAATGGTATATATATCTAATTTTCCAGACCGCAGTAAAACATTTACTAGAACGCATACAGAAAATCCGGACGATCGAGGACCTATGAAAGAATACAATGCGCGCGTTGCTTCTGGACAATTAAAGGACGATGAGCATCAAAGAGGTCAGCAACACACACCCATACTTTCATTCCCATGATGTCTGACGAAATATGCTTCTAGGCATCATACAAAATCTCCAACATCTTCACGACGAGTTACGATATTACCATGCGGCCGCTATTGTTCATCCTACCCTCGAATCTCTCAAACCCCCACCAACCTCCATGTTTGGCCGTATTTTTGGAAACAAACCCAAAGAATCGGCGTTGAAGGAAATACCGGAAAACCTTCCGCGAGGGCTGTATCTATATGGAGATGTAGGAAGTGGGAAGACCATGTTGATGGACATGTTTTATGAGACACTACCAAGTAGTGTTGCATCGAAAACGAGAATTCATTTTCATAATTTCATGCAGGATGTTCATAGAAGGTTGCATAAGATGAAAATGGAATACGGAAATGATATTGATGCTGTACCTTTCGTAGCAGCGGATATTGCGGAGCAAGGAAATGTATTGTGTTTTGACGAGTTTCAATGTACAGATGTAGCTGATGCTATGATTCTTCGAAGGTATTTCCCCTCTCCTTACGTGGAAGTTCTGGTCTTATTCTGACCTTCTATAGGCTTCTGGAATCTCTAATGTCCCATGGAGTCGTCCTTGTCACAACCTCTAATCGTCATCCGGATGATCTTTACCGCAACGGCATTCAACGAGAGTCCTTCATCCCCTGTATCAACCTCCTCAAGTCCCGACTACATGTAATAAATTTGGACAGTCCCACCGACTACCGGAAAATTCCCCGCCCTCCTTCCGGTGTTTACCATTCTCCTCTAGACGCTCATGCGCCTACTCATGCCGAAAAATGGTTTCGTTTTCTTGGCGACCCTGAGCAATCCGCCCCTCATTCAGAAACTCAACGTGTCTGGGGCCGTGAAATTCACGTTCCAAAAGTTAGTGGCAAAGCTGCTATGTTCACGTTTGATGAATTAATCGGAAGGCCAACCAGCGCAGCTGATTATATTGAACTGATGAGAAGCTACGATTCATTTATTGTTACTGATGTCCCCGGAATGACACATCAACAACGTGATCTCGCCCGTCGTTTTATCACATTCATTGACGCCGTCTACGAATCTCGCGCCAAACTTGTCCTAACAACTGCGGTTCCATTAACGCAACTCTTTCTATCAAAAGAAGAAATTCAAGATAGCATGAAGAAAGATGCGGAGGATAAGAGAGGGCAGAAAGAGGAGTCGGCTGAAGGAGAAGACCTTAATGATGCAATGAGAATGATGATGGATGACTTGGGTATGAATATGAATATGTTGAAGAGCAGTAGCATATTCAGTGGAGATGAAGAGAGATTTGCATTTGCGAGAGCGCTGAGTCGATTAAGTGAAATGGGAAGTCAACAATGGGTAGAGAGGGGCATGGGATTAGAGAAAGATGGGGGGAAAAGTGAGAAGGAGGGATGGCAAAAGGTTAGAAGTAAGAGGTTGGAGGATAGTATGTAGGAGGTGATAAATTTAGGGAGCGGTCTGAATTGAGATTGCGATTGCGCGAGATACCAATGAGCGTTTGTATAGACGATGATGAAAGGGATGAAATTTAGATGAGATTTCTATTTGGAAATGGGAGATTTGAGAGAGAGAATGGTGGGGAAAGGGAGGGAAAGACAAACAGAGAGAGAGATTTGAGAATTTTGAATACCATATATTGCAGTATATCCAAGCAGAATAGAAGTTAAGAATATACCCATCTATATACCAATTTATTTACATACGTTGTTACTATATCAGATGAGATGATATATGACATATAAAGGTTAAGGGTTAGAGAATATTAACCGAGTGAGTTTAAAAGGGTGCATTTGTATCCATAATTATAATCTTACCTAGTTATATTAACTTCTATCGTTTGATTCATTTATATCTTCTTTTTATTCTATTCCATTAGCAGTGAATAGGTAAGGCAAGTCTTAATTATAGAGAGAGGAAGTAATAAGAACATAGTATACTCCACACGGTATCTTGATGTCTATTCACCCTATCTAGGTACCTTATCCTACTGAAAATGCTTGAGGAACGATATAATCATCAATACCATTTCCTAAAATTTGGTATTCAACTTCCAACTCCCTTTTTCCTATCCTAAGTCCCTAACCACAAACCACAAAAGATTAAAATATAAGTAATAGCAACCTACAACTCCGTCTTAATACCACGAACAATCATATCTAACCACGCTGCAAGCCTTGAGATTTAATCAGCACTACATCTCTAAACACAGCCCCGAAGAAGAAAAAAGACATACCTATATCCCGCCCTCGCAACCTGTAGTTCCACAACCGGTATACCACTCTCGTAATATTCACCACTTAATTCCTTCCCCTGCAACACCTCTGCTCCATCCGGTATAACCGTCGTACAGATAAAGGCATTAGAATCTTTAGCCCAACCGAGCGCTGTGGTCAATGGATCACCTATATTCATATCTTCAAGCCATGATTTCGCTTGAGATTTATATATGCCGGTTTTTATGGCGGTGGTTAGCACGTTTGCCCATTCTTGGGCATCGGCCATGGAGTATCCTCCGACTAGTTCCTCGGGAATGGCAGTATCCCAGAAAGAATGCAGATTGGTTTCTTTGCCGTTGAAGGTTACTTTGATAGTATTACCTCCTATGTTGATGTTCTCGGCGTGAAGAGGTTGGTGGATATCTCCGACAAACTAGATTTATGGTGAGTTGATACGGGGGACTCTGAGGGTGGAAACTCACGTGGACGATGAACTATTTGTAGATATGTTAGTAATGCTTAAAATCAGTTCAGATATTCGTACCTTTGCAGCAATGTATTTGTGATATCTAGACACGTTTGGGTCCAGTAATTGACTCGTCTGATCTCTTGATTAGCATCGATTTCCATTACGATTTTTGGACTCATAGATATTTCTTCCATTTCACCGCGGCTCTTTGTCCTAAGTTCTCACGCTCGAAGACACTTTTAACAGTGCCAAATTCTTCAAACTCCAACCAAGCTACGGGATTTGCAGTTGAAGATAATATAAAGAATTGTCCACAACTAGCTGGAATTTCAACTCACAAAATTCAAAATAGCTCCCACCACACATCCCTCCTCCCCACAATCTCTAGCAAACTTAACTCCACAAGCTAGACAAAACCTCAACATCAGCATGACTTCCTAGATACTAAAGCTCTCATTGTCTCCGTTCCCTTCAGCTGAACCCTTGAACTCCTCTCTCAAAGAAAGTACTCACACCTAGGCACATCATCCAACGCATCAATAAAATGCCACGGGCCTGTATTATTCCCCGCCTTCGTATACCTGCATTGATCTCAGTATTAAAAAATCTTTGAAAGAGCCTCAACAGTGCAGCTAACCTATAACTATCCGCCCACTACACGAATCCCAAAAATATTAGTAAATTGACACATCTCAAAACTTCCCCAATTGGAATTCCTCTCAAATCTTCATCCATATATATGCATCAACCAATCAAAAATCAATTGCAATAGACCAAAACTCAAAATCCTTACCGTCGCGACACCCGCCAAATAACTCCCCGTATCATTCCTCAACAACATCTGAAAATAATCTCTCGTGCTCTCCGCTACAAAATTCGTAGCGACATATGCTACGGTTTGATGACCTAATGTTCCCCACGCGTTTGTTAAGGGGAGAAGTGAGTTTAAACCCAGGAGGACGAAAGGGGTGATTTTCATTTTAAATAGTAATTAGATGGGGGAAGAGCTAGATGATGGTTTTTGATAGTGGATTATTGAGGTGGGTTTTGTTGTGTTGTGATGTTTATTGTGAGGTATGATATGAAATGAAATGATATGGGATGGATGTTCAGTGTCTTGTGATGCATGGGAAATGGCGGTAGGTAGATCTAGACTAGATTAAATGGATTGAAATGATTGGTGGGTTGTTTTATTGTGGTGTCGTTTGCGGAGTAGTCCGAGCTTTGTCAAGCAGGGATCCATTCTCATCACCGGTGAGCTGTCCCGGCGCAGTTTGAATACCTTGGCACTCCCGTACTCACTGGAGTATCAAGTTTTGATCACCGGTGAGCTCATATTTTGTTTCTTAGCTTCCAATGCCGTGATATTTCTTCTTGCTGTAACGTGTTAGGTAAGAAAAAAGCTGCCATAGTAAAATAACTCCAAGAACCAGCTTCCAATGTTGTTTAATGGTCTTTCCATCATCACATGTAGGTATCTAGTTACCAAAGTCAAATGCCTTTATGAAGGAAGTGATATTAATTTCCTCAAAGAGGTATTTACATGGAAATACACGATGACGCCCCGTTGCCACTCAAGAAGAAATATTTGTGCTCAAAATATCATCAATGTTGTCCCTATACATTACCATTCATGTCGTAATTTCTTCATTTAGTCTCTCTCCGTTTTGAGCCTCGACGAATCCATAGATATTCTATCGTCCACGTCCATTGGCATTTCTTTCCTGCCACGTTTCTTGTTGGAAGGTTATATTACCGCAATTAGCGTCCGCTAGCCGTGGCTAGAGTCTCATGATATTCGTCATCGTAAACTTGATCTAATTCCTGATCAGTCATCATAGCAGCATCCTCATTCAATTCAGCATCGTCACTTTGGGCAGCTTGTTGCTCATGTTCAGCAACCATAGCCTCGACAATATTTGTCCACTGTTCATCTCCTCCATGGCATCTTCTCCACAAGGAAAACCATTCCCCAGGTCTGTCAGGATTCTCAATTGCTTCTTGCTCAATACCCGGATGCGCAACCATCAAACAAGCTTTAACAGCTTCTGCAATTTCACCTTCCAGTTTCACGGGGGAATCCTCTCGATCTAAATCTTCAATCCATGTGCGCAATGTTTTCATACAACCTTCCTGGTGTCCCGTCTCTGCTACCCTCTGAAACATATATGTATACATTTCAAACGATTGTGGTTTGGACTGACGGAGTGGCAACCTCCAAATATCCCAAAAGGCTACCCAATATCCATTTCGTGCATATAATTGCATCAATCGCATTCTAGATACATCTGAAAAAGGAGGTAAATCGAGATTTACCATGAGAGCGTGGATTCGACGTTGGATTGGTGTCATGGCTTTTGTGGGTAGTCCGAGAGAGTCGTTGATGGTTGCTTTAGGTTGAACAGTTAGGATATCGAGTTCCGAAGTACGTTCTGTAGCCTCTTGCAAAGTCACGAACATGTCTTCGGTAAGAATTTTGTGGCCTCGTCTATACATTGTTTGAATGACCATCAATGCGAGCCGGACCTTAAGGTGTGAAGGAGCGTAACTTGTGTCTGAAGGTCCTCGGGCAGGTTCAAGTATGGTACGTAAGATTTTATGGTAATATTCATCAGATACATCACCATCGTCAAATTTCTTGCTTTTAAATCTTTTGAACAAGTTTATTATTTTCACGGCCTCAAACCAAGGATGACCGATGCCTTGGGCATAATGGAATAACCAGAAAACGTAATCCCACTTGAAGGATTCGTGGTGGTGAGGTTCTCCAATATCAGCCGCAGCATATTTGAAACACTTGAGGAAGGATGTATCCCCCGCGGTATAACCGCTACCCAAATCGAGCATTGCCTGTTCTACTGAGACATGTTCAAGATACATCTTCATGTGGTGCAACAGGAAATTTTGCCAATCCAACTTCGGGTCGTTGGCACTGTATTCTAATACATCGTTTGTTGCTTTTTCGAATTTACCATAAGAGAAGTCGGAAAGTACTGATCGCTGAAGCTCTGTTAGTCTACTGTTTTCAATTTGTCCGTCTCGCTGTGGTGAGGATAAGATACCGTGTGGGTGTTCGTCCATTGTTGTGTCAGATTTTCTTTCTGCTGCAGTGTGGAATTGTCGAGTTTGTGGAACTTGAAAACCTCGAGATTTTGGGGTTGCTTTTGAAGTATGTTGTGGAGGTGGAGGAGTCATTGTAGGTATCGGCTCTCCAACCTCTACGTCTTCGACTACCTCTTTGTCTTCAACTTCCGATTGACCTGACCTTCGTAAAATTCCACCCCATAATTTCTCCAAATCGATTTCTTGTCTCTTTTCGTCCGTGAGCATTTGAACGACAACCCTAACTCCATCCGTCCGTCTTCCAAAACCCACAAACCCATCGCCCTCAGGAACAGCATTCGCATGCATATCTGGGCTCTCAACCACACCAATATCAACGCAAACCCAACCTGTTCTTATCCCATCATCGCCATTATCGTCGGCCGCACTGCCTAAAAGCTTAGCTCTCCGTGATTTGCGTCTTAACTTCAATTTCAATTCATTTCTTCCCAATAACCCATCTGCGCTTGGACGTAACTTATATGTGCTTCTCAACCATCGACATAGTCGATCCGCGGAGACGTGTAAATGCTTTTCACTTCGTGCAGTTCCAATAAGCATTATCAAATTTGCTCCCAGTGCAGGTGGAGGGTCAAGTTTTCGAAGATCTAGTAGTGTAAGATCATCAAGACCTAAATCGACGGAGATCTGTTGTAGCATAGGTTGAAGAATTGGGGGCGGCAATTCTGGTAGATCTGGAATTATTTGACGTTCGGAAAGAGTTTTTGGTGTTAGCTGAGAAGCTTCGACTTGCAGGTACCATGGTACAGAAGTAACTGAGTTCTCAACACCTCCCCCAATTGCGTTGCTCTCATCTAAGAGGTCTCGATCTTCTGGGAAATCCTCAAACTGAGAAACTTCGTCCTTGACTTCCTCCCTACCTGCTTTATCCTCATCTAAGAACTCTCCATTTTCGAAATAAGCCTCATGCTTGAAAGCTTCATCCTGTCCACTTAGTCGTATATTAGATGAAAAGCGGGTTTGCTGTCTCGCAAGTTTAGTCGCGTGGAATCTCCCAGTTGCGGGAACAGTCCGGATTGGGAGTGATATAAGATTCCTTAATAAGGATAAACGACATGAAGCACATCCAGTAGCCCTGATAGCTTTACTGACAACCATTCTGATAAGTTGATGACAGACAATGATCAATCGATGCTGAACTATGAAGGATTGAGATTCCTGTTGGCATTAGACATTCTTTTTTTCGGGGGAGTTTTAGCGAGTATCAGTAGCATCGGTAATGCACCCACGACCCCGCGCGGCTACCATGTATACCCACGTGCACTGGGCAGTTCTACATATTCAACAAGGCTGATGCGGAATAGTCGCGGTTTGTATGATTGGGTCCTGATCGACTGACACAAGGCTGAAGCCTGAAGTCAATCGACGCATGTGCAAGGCTAACATCCAGCTACTCGTGATTGGACATTGATAAAGATGAACCCTGCACTCATTTTTTGCTTATCCATTTGTTACCAGCCCAGAAGAAGAAAAAATATGTCAATTTTGCCTTCACACTTCTTCATAGATCTTTACACTCCGCAAGCATTAGACATTTACTTTACCTATACTATCCGCGGATCGTACTGACTATGAGCACCTTCATTTTGTCGTTTTATGTTTAAGCATTATCTTTCTACCAATTCCTTGTTCCAATTTATTTTGTAAATAGCTCTGATCCCCTCCTTTGACTTTACCTACCTACACATAAAAAATGCTTGTACGAGCTGCAGGGCGGAAAGCTCGTGGCAACCCAATTGTTGACAGGCTTAAACGTCAACAGACATATCTTTCATTTCTATATCCAAGCAGTAATTTGAACGAAGCTGTCTCAAGCCGCAAAATTCATGTTGACTCGGCGTCCCAAGCGACCGGCCTTCGACAAACGCGAAACTCAAGAGCAAACTCTACAAAACTTCCATCGCGGTCATTGGCAACAGCTGTAAACCAGTCATTCGAGGAACTTCCCTTTGAGGGCTTTCAAAATCTACCATCGCAAAATTATGCGTCGTTCCCGTTCAGTTTGCCCGAACTTCAACAACCAATTATAATTCCAGATGATGGAGTAATAGCTCCTATAAGACATCGACGTAGTGGTGTTGATGCGGTTGGTGGTACTCAAGATGAAGTTATAGCATTACTTTATGCCTGTCTCCAGGTTGGAAGAATAGAGCGTGCAAGTGTGATATTCAAACGTATAGCACAAATGCCAGACGTGGATAGGGAGACACTTCTACATCTACAAAATCATTACCTACGAGCTGCAGTTCACGAAATCATGATGAAACCATCGGAACAAGCAACACAATCTTTACACAAGTGGTTCGAACTCGAAGTACGAAATAAGAATCTACCACAGGATGCCTTGACGGTGGCATATATGCTCAAAGCTTCACTTCAATCACCACCGGGTCAGCGACGCGAAAGACTGGTCTCGAGATATATGGATATGGTTCAAGGGGATGCAGGTTTAGAAGTTCTCGCATGTAATGTTTTGTCACCCCACGAATTGGACATGATCAACCATATTTGCCCAAAGTACAACCTGGCAGAGGGACTTGGAGACATGAAGGATATCTTTGTCTCCGAGGCACCGGAATCCAGAGCGGTAGACCCTTCCGATGGAGTTCTACATTACCCTGATAAAATAAGCGCTTCGGTTCCAGAAGTTCGCCAAACCGATCAAAAGGGTCTCGGACTAAAGTCATTGAGGAAAACGTTGTCGCTGTTTTCCAGTTTACCATCTGCAGGTTTTGACATGTCAAAAATGACTGAGGAACAGCATCGTGATATCCAGTCACAGCTGGAAGAAGATGCTGTACAGGCTGCCATAGATCGTTGGAGAGACGAGAGCTCGAATCTGGCAAAGCTGGGATTAAATACAACACTACAATCGAAATCACTGGGTGCGAGGATGTGGAAATGGCAATTAGCTTTGACAGCAGCTTTGGAAGAAGAACTGAAAGCCATTGATGAGGCAGAAGCGAAGCAGCACAGAAGTGCGGCAGATATTAGTAGATGCGAATATGGGCCCTTTTTACGCTACCTTCCTGCTGAAAAGCTCTCGGCGCTGACCATTATAAGCCATATGCATGCTTTATCATCGTCCGGGATCGACAAAGGTCTCACTCTATCATTTGCCATCTTGCAAATCGCCAAGAGTGTAGAGGATGAGAGCATTTTTGAATCCATCCAGCAAAACAAGGCGAAGCCCCTTTTCCGCGATAGCCCAGCCGACAGGGCTCGAATGCTCCGAATACTCAAAAGTAGAGCACGTGGTGCTAGTGGGGAATCGATCGATGAAAACCACTCCACAAACCATTCATCTGAAGAATTTGTTTTATCTCAGATTCGTTCCAGGGAGTGGTCCATCGGAATTAGAGCTAAAGTTGGATCTTTCTTATTGGAATCTTTGTTGAAGGTTGCTAAAGTTCCGGTCACATTGAAACACCCTGAAACCAATGAGACGGTTACTCAGATGCAGCCTGCCTTCTCTCATGGCCAACAATACAGGTTGGGTAAAAAGCTTGGTGTTATCAATGCTAATAAAGTCATTGTAGAACTACTTAAGCGCGAGCCTGTTCACAGTCTTCTTGCAAAACATCTTCCCATGCTTGTAAAACCTGAGCCATGGACTGGGTTCAGTTCTGGTGGCTTCCTTAGACACCCCGGAAAAGTCATGCGCGTCAAGAATGGGGACCAAGATCAAAGGAATTATGCGGATGCTGCTATCGATCAGGGGAATTTGACTACGGTTTTCAGAGGCCTCAATATACTAGGAGAGCAATCGTGGAAAATAAACCAGCCAGTTTTTGATGTTATGCTAGATGCCTGGAATTCCGGGGACGCCATTGCGAATCTTGCTCCGGACAAGCCAAGACTCGAATACCCTCCCGAGCCCGAAACGTCTTCCGATCCACTCGAACGCCGAAGATGGGTCACTGCGGTTAAGAAAGTAGAAAATGCCAAAGCAGGTTTTCATTCCCAACGCTGTTTTCAAAACTTCCAACTAGAAATCGCTAGAGCTCTCCGCGATAAAACTTTCTACTTCCCACACAACGTGGATTTTCGAGGAAGAGCATATCCAATTCCTCCATACCTTAATCACATGGGAGCAGATCATTGTAGAGGACTTATGATATTTGGAGTCGGGAAGAAACTTGGCACTTCTGGTCTAAAGTGGCTCAAGGTTCACCTCGCCAACGTATATGGTTTTGACAAAGCAAGTCTTTCAGAGAGAGAAGAATTCGCAAGCAAACACATTGACGAAATTTATGATTCGGCGACGAACCCATTGGGAGGCGATAGATGGTGGCTACAGGCTGAAGATCCGTGGCAATGCTTAGCAGCATGCATGGAATTAAAGAACGCGCTTGAATCTGGAGATCCAGCTAGCTTTGTCTCATATCTACCGGTTCATCAGGATGGAACTTGTAATGGCCTTCAACATTACGCAGCCTTAGGCGGTGATGTATGGGGCGCCCAGCAAGTAAATCTCGAGCCTGGTGATCGCCCGGCGGATGTATATACTGCGGTCGCAGATCTGGTAAAGGAGAGCATCAAGAAAGATTTGCTTGAGGGGCATTCCAAAGCCAAAATTTTAGACGGAAAAATAACTCGAAAGGTTGTTAAACAAACTGTTATGACTAATGTCTATGGCGTGACCTTCATTGGAGCTAAGGCACAGGTTCGAAAGCAGCTTGTAGCAGCTCATAGGGATTTGCCAGATGATACCGAAGACAATCCCGGCACTCTAGCTTCTTATGTCGTCACCAAAATCTTTACCGCTCTCTCGACCATGTTTCGAGGAGCGCACGATATTCAGTACTGGCTCGGAGATTGTGCATCTCGGGTCTCAAGTAGCTTGACACCTGAGCAAGTTAACCGCATAGTTGAACATGCCTCCAAGCAAAGCGCACGTCCTTCTAAGGGCGATGCATCAAAATTAGAGGAGATGTCTCAATTCAAATCAAGTGTCATATGGACTACACCATTGAACCTGCCAGTGGTTCAACCTTACCGAACCAACAAATCACGGCTAGTACGCACGAGCCTTCAACTTCTCAGCTTAGCTGAACCACATCGGTCGGATCCCGTGAGCAGTCGTAAACAACTTCAAGGATTTCCACCAAATTTCATTCACTCCCTTGATGCAACGCATATGCTTCTCTCAGCTGTGAAATCCAACGAAGCAAAGCTATCGTTTGCTGCTGTCCACGATTCGTTTTGGACGCATGCCGCTGATGTTGATACAATGAATACAATCTTGAGAGATGCTTTCGTCGAAATACACAGCGACGATGTCATTGGGCGCTTGGCAGCAGAGATGGCTACCCGGTACAAGGATTACATGCAACTTGTGAAAGTCAAGTCGGGAACACTAGCACATCGTAAAATTTTTCAATATCGCAAATCCCTCAAGCCATCCAAGAGAGGAAAGATCCACGAGTTATTGATAGAGGTGGAGAGACGGCGTCTTCTTCGTTCATCCAACCCGGAGGAAGTAGAAGAAGGTAAGCGCATGGTTACACCAGCCAGTATATACGAAGCAATGACGGAAGAGGTCGAGCTTGATCCGGAAATGGATGTTAAAACCGTAGGTTTAGGAAATATGGTCAACTCGAGGTCAGCCACAGAGCATGATACTGTCAGCACATGGGACACTGGCGCCACAGATGAAGCTTTGGAAGAGGCTCTAGAAGATAACCCAGCCATTGAATTGGAGGCAGCAGAGGAAATTTCAGAAGAGGCAGAGTCAACGATCGTACACACATCCGGTTTTGAGGCAACAATGAAGCCAAAGTCTCGGGGGCAAGCCCGCAGTGAGCTTCCTCAGTTGGTTTGGCTTCCACTGAAGTTCGCTCCCGTTCCTAAGAAGGTAAGCAAACTCTAAACTATAACGCTAGCTGAAGATTAACTGTCATACAGGGGGCTTTCGATGTGACACGCCTTAAGCAAAGTCAATACTTCTTCTCCTGATTGAGATAACTGATCTGGACTTGTTTTCTTCTGGTATTTCGGGTCTCGGCTGCATTCCTGGAGCAGGCTTGTGGGGTACAAATTTTGGGATTCTGGATTGGATTCCTCGGTGAATCCTCTTTTAGCACGGCGAGATGGTTGCATTAAAAGGCGTTGAAGACTAATGAAATGGCTGGTAATGTATGATTAACGTGTAAGCTAAAGTTTGAGGCTTTATATAAAGGAATTATATAGAACGGACAAGACTAAAAAATATATATATTGACCACATTAATGGAGAAATCTCCCGGTTTACAGTTTTAGTATTGAGTATTTATTGCTTCGCAATTTGAGCCTCCATACCACGAATCGAGTTTCCCTATAGTTCATAAATCCAGCGTACTATGATGAATAACAAATATGATGACAACTCTTGAGAATGGTCTTGGTGTTACGCAATACAGTTGGAATACGAGAATTAATTCGTGTAAGCAGTGTGAAGATCTCATGACACAAATAACAAGATCTTACGAGATTCTTCAGCTGACGACATAGCTCACAAAGCAAAAGCCTGATACGTAAGTCTGTTCCCTCGTTGTGTAGTTATGTTCCGACGTTGAGTTTGGTTTGTGAATGCGATGATCCATTCCGCGAAGTAGCGAGAGATGATTCGTGGAAGGAACGAAGCTGATGTTGTATATGTATGTATATATACCCTCTCATCTTCTCTGCAATATTTCCCTGTCAACCCAGATAACCTTTACGCAATAAACTCTAGGACAAGACTTCCAATATGAATCACCTTTATACAATCGGTCTTCTTTTGTTGACTGCAGTGTAAGCAGTACTTGAGTTCCTTCTTCACTACCAAAATGTACAGATACTTACATTGCCCTTAGGCAAAACGTCTACTGTCTTCCAGACGCCCTTCGTCATCGTTCCGAAACATGTGCCCCAAGCTTGATAACCACGACATACATTAGTACCATTTCAACAGTGAAGACTGTCCCTCATTCTTGCTATACCCGTACAATTACCACCATTCAAAGCTCCTTCCGTATGTTACCAAGCTTTCCTCAAGTAGTATCAGCGAACTAATGATGCGATAGCTTGCTCGGGAACAAAATCCTTCAACTCTGCCACCTGTGGACCCGGTACGTAAAATCAATCACAAATGTGTAATCGCACGAATCTAACAAAAAGTTAAGTTCCCCTATGTATCCTTCTGTCAACAACAACTATAACCGTTCCACCCAGCACCAGCTGCTGCCGCGCAACTCCGACCATAACCGTTCCTGGCGCATGCGCAAAATGCCAAACAGGATGTGCCACGGATCTGACGACGGTGACTGTCACTGAAGGTGCAAAACCGCTATCCTACAACCCAGGCGGTCCTCAATTACCCCCAACCAAGAGGCAAGGGAGTCCCATAATTTCATGCACATCTACCTTGAGCCAATTGAAACAGTTTACCCATGGGCCTACAAAGACTCTCTTCCCATCTACCATTACAGCGACAAGTAGTGTGGACTGCGCTGGGTGCGGTGCTTTAAGCGTTCAGCTAATCGGCGGCGTTGGTCCTGCTGTGAGATTTACAACAACGGTGGAAGCAGGTGTGCCAACTACTACTACGGCTTTTGTTTGCTCCTCAACACCCGCATAAGTTTTGAAATGTTTTTTTGGGGGAATTTTCGGATTTGCTTTGGATGTTTATTTTATGCTTGGACCTTGGCTCACTGCTACACTCGTTTTGCAATACAGGAAGAGAGGGAAATTTTTGATCATAAAATTTGCAATGCAGTTCTGTACCGTTACTTTTACAAATTTAAGCTTCAACCCCTTTTGACTTGGCAATGCAATCAATGTCCAATGTTCTTGGAAGAATGACTCTTGTGACCTCATACTGGATGCGAAATACTTCTGCTCGTATCTTGGCTTAAATCAAGGGAGAAATATTTCGAATAATAATTATCGATAATGACATTCCGACGTGGAAAAATGTTGTTTCCGCTTGCTCCGAGGAAGAACATGAAGGCACTAGATTACAATTATGCAAATTGCGTATCACCGCCCCTAAACAAACATAGTTTGACCTGGCGATGCTACTACATGCCTTTCAGGTGAGATCAGCGGACGTTGGGAAGCAGAATATCACGTGATTTTAATACGCCGTAAACCTCACGCTAGTGATTGACAAGGTCCCAAGATTTATTTCTCGCGACTCAAGCTTCCAGGCGCATCAACATTAACCAGAGACAAGGCAAGACAAAATAAACATCTTCAGACGCCATAATGCCTGTCGTCAAAGGTGGAGTTTGGACTAATATTGAAGATGAAATTCTAAAAGCAAGTGTTTCGAAGTATGGGTTGAATCAATGGGCTCGAGTTTCCTCACTTCTCGCAAGAAAGACACCGAAGCAATGTAAAGCAAGATGGAGCGAATGGTTGGATCCAGGAATTCGTAAAATTGAATGGAGCAAGGAAGAGGATGAAAAGTTGTTACATTTGGCAAAATTGATGCCAACACAATGGCGAACTATTGCTCCGATCGTTGGACGAACCGCTACTCAGTGTCTCGAAAGATATCAGAAATTACTCGATGAAGCGGAACAAAAGGAAGCTGGAGAGTTTGGACTCGGTGGACCTGACGGCGGAGAGACCAAAGCACCATCTGCGGATGACGTACGAAGATTGCGACCCGGAGAAGTCGACCCAGATCCCGAATCGAAACCTGCGAGACCAGATACTGTCGACTTGGATGAGGACGAAAAGGAAATGTTGAGCGAAGCCCGTGCTCGTTTGGCAAATACACAGGGTAAAAAGGCGAAGAGAAAAGCTCGTGAACGTCAATTGGAGGAGTCGAGGAGGTTGGCCGTGTTACAAAAGCGCAGAGAGCTTAAAAATGCTGGCATTAATATCAAGGTTGTCAATCGAAAGAAGGGAATGATGGATTACAATGCCGACATACCTTTCGAAAAAGCGCCCGCTCCTGGATTTTATGATACTGGTGATGAATCCATACAAAATGAAAAGCAGAGAGCAGCTTTCGATCCACGAAAACAACAACTTGCGATCAAGCGCAAAGGCGACCAAGATGATAATCAGGATCTAAAACGACAAAAGAGTGACAAAAATGCCCCATCAGCATCATATCAAGCAGCCATAAAAGCTGGGCAGATGCAGAAGATTCGAGAGGCAGAGCAGAGTAGTAAGAGACGGGCTCTAGTGTTGCCAGCACCTCAGGTTGGTGAAGGGGAGCTTGAAGAAATTGTAAAAATGGGTATGATAGGAGAGAGGGCAAATATAATGGCGAGGTCGAGCGAGAATGACGCAACGAGAGGACTTGTGAATACCTATTCTACTATCAATAGTGGAGCACCAATTCGAACACCGCGAGCTCCAGCACAGGAGGACCACATCGCCAACGAAATCCGAAATATTAGAGCTCTGACTGAGACGCAATCATCACTTCTAGGAGGGGAAAATACACCCCTACACGAAGGACCCGGTAGCACAGGATTTGATGGGGTTACTCCTCGAAGGCAACAAATGGAAACACCTAATCCCATGGCAACCCCTTTCCGTGCAAATGGAATTGGTGCAACTCCTGCGAGAAATGGTGTAGGAGCCACGCCAATGCGAACTCCTCGAGATAGTTTTGCATTAAATGCAGATGGCGAGATGGAGTTGGTTGGAAGGACACCCCAGGATGTCAAACTAAGGGATATGACACTCAAAAACTCATTGAGAGCTGGTTTAGCGTCTTTGCCGAAGCCAAAGGATACCGAATGGGAGCTGGAGCTACCTGAAGAGCAACAAGAAAATTTTGGTATTCAAGAATTATCCGAGGAAGATGCAGAGCTGAGGGACAGGCGGAATCGCCAAATCCGAGAAGCTCAAGAACAGTTAGAATTCAAAAGACGGACACAAGTCTTACAAAAAGGTTTACCTCGTCCATCAGTCATTGATATCAACGCATTAATGAAAACTGTGGCGAATATTGAAGATACAATTGAAGGTTCCATTGAAAGGGAAGCAGCTTTATTGATTGCAAATGACGCCCTCAAGTATCCCACGCCTGGAGCTAAAGTCAAGGGCACCTCACAAGCCATTGAAGTGTTCGAGGACGATGCGCTTTCGCAAGCACGATTACAGCTACTGATGGAAGTTCCTAAAGATTTGGTAGAGCAAGGATCGGATGCTTTTAGAGCGGCATGGGATAACGCCCATAAATCCTCATTATTACCTGGATTAAGTGGATACGATTCCGATGATGAGATTGATGAGCATCAGATGCTTCTAGATGCTTTTGATGTAAGCCCCTGTTTCCCAAGTTCGTCCCTTCAATCACTAACCAATCCCCAGAATGTTCAAGAATCAATCGTAGTCGCCGCTGAAAAGGGTAACAAATCCGAAAAGAAACTCGCTCTCCATCTAGGAGGTTATCAACAAAGAGCCAAAGTGTTACGCCAAAAAATCGGTGAAGCAGCTGATGCTCTATCGAAAGCTAGTTATTCTTTAGATGCGTTTAAAACGCTACAGATCTCGGAAGATGTAGCCATTTCGAGGAGATTGGAAGATTTGAGGGAGAGAGTGGGATTTGTTTCCAAGCGTGAGAGAGAAGCCCAAGAGCTATACAAACAAAGGAAAGAGGAGTTGACGGACTTGACGGATGGGTTAAATGGGTTTCATTGAGGCATAGGCTGAAATTGAGATATTTGTATTATATGGAGACATTGTCTCTAATGAACGGCATGGACATGAATAATTTAAGATTCAGGCTTGGTAAATTGGAAGCAGAGTATAGCGAGCAAGCCACGGCATATAAATGCATTCAATGTATGATATCCCCATATGTTTATATATTTTTTATATTACAAGATCACTTGTTTTAAAATTGTGCATGAGTATGAGTCTGAGTACTTAGGTAAGTGATGTGGATTGTTTAGGGTTTGTCTCTATCTATATTTGTTTACCCCTTCTGTCTTTCTGTTTGTGTGCGGGTCGTTATTCTCATGTCTCATTTCAACTTATCTCATCTCATGTCTAGCTCCACATATATCCAGATATGTGTGCGAGTACCTACTCCCTGTTTTGTGTAAATACCTACGCAAATGCTCATATTATTGCTCACATTCATATTCATGCCCACCATTCATTCATTTCCCAAACTAAGCCAAGGGGAAAGAAAACGACGCATTCTTTTCCCTCGCTTTGATTCTCATTCTCATCCTCATCCTCATTCCCATTCCTACCGGAACCTCACAGCAAGATCCCAAAATCCCACACACATACTAACCCACCACTCCCACCGCCGCATCCTCAACCGCACATCTTTCTCTCCTCCTCCATACACTCTACCGTGCCCGCCAAAATGCCCGCTCCAATAATACTACCATACATACAAGCCTCGAGCACGATTCTCTTTCCGCCCTTATCGGGACCGTGTTCCTTGCGCATGATATCTTCGAGATAAGCCTGGCAATCTGCGAGGTAGTCTTGGAAATGGGAGATGCAGGAGCCGGTGTAGCCTACGAGGAGTTCTGAGATTTTATCCTCGTGGGGTTGGATGGTTTTGGTGTTTTGGGGACTTTCTTGGGGGCTTGTGTGGGAGGAGGATAGTTGGATTTCGTTGGCTGTGGTTAGGAGGCCGATTATTGCGGCTGCTAGCATGCCTGCTGCGCGTTTTTGGATCGTTTTGGCTATTTGTACTACGATGTCTGCCATTTCGGGGGTCCATTTTTTCTGTTTGCCGGTTTTTGAGTCTACTGGGAATGGGATTGCGAGATCGAGTGGCTGACATAGTTGGTCTTCTCTTCCTACTTTGGCAAGTATACTTGCATCCAGTGCATTACGTTTGCGGAGAACAGGAGGAATTGTCTCGATGGGTAGCTGGAGTTGGGTGGTGAAATAGTCGAGGATTATGAGACGGCCTAGTTCACCGAGGTATTTGCCGCCCGTCATGTATTCGAAGGGCATGAAACCTGGGGCTTCGCTGTTGACGTCGAGAATAGTGTCCCATTTTGTGATGAAGTTAAGGTCGCGGAGGGGAGAAGCGGTGCCGTTGATAGACCATTCTGTGTTGATGATGATTTTGGTGTCGTTTCGGTTGTGATCGTCGGATTTGAGGATGGCGGAGGGCTGTTTGGTGGAATGGAGCTTGGAGATTGAGAGGGGTATAGTGGCATTGCAGCCAGTGCCGACGATGAGACCCATGGAGGCCTTTTGGTGAGGTGTATTTCGATGTTGATGGGCGAATGATATTAGAGTTGCCACGGAATCATTCACTATGGCGGTTATTTTGATGCGGGGAAGATGGGGCTTGGATGATGCAGCTGATATTTCGTAGCCTTTTAGGAGCTGCTGACCAAGGTTGAGATTTGAGGTTATAGCAAATCCCTTGCCCATTGACATCAACATTGCTTCTGACAATGAATTTTGGCTGTCCAAATGTTAGTGATCGTTCTCTATAGATAATAAAGGGGTATCAAACATCATTGGAAAACTCATCGTCACACCCGTTGGTAATACAGAAGGCAGCTGTAAACCCCATTTATCGACTCCATCCTGAACAACTTCTGCAATGCACTTTCCAATCCATACGAACAGCTCATCCGCATTATTCGATTTGTGATCTTCACCAATTTGCCATGACTTTTCAAGTAGTCTATTGATTTTGCCTGGCAATACCACACCACCTTCAGTAGACGATCCGGAAAGTTCAATAAATCCAGCTCTCAAATTTGAACCTCCGCTGTTGTATGTCAGTTTCAGGAATTCTTTCAGTCTGATCTTTGTGAACTCACATATCGATTGCCAAATATCTTCCCTCCTTCTCCTTCTCTGGTCTTAACACTTCTTCAGAGATAGGAGTTTGCAAAAACTGATTTGTGGATTCCTTTGCCAACTTCTTAAACGTCTCACAAAGACTCTTAGCTAATGCATGAATCTTATTAATATCAACATCCAAAGGTTGAAGGAACAAAGTGATTGGTGAATCTGAAGTCATGATGATAAGCGAGCTCAGAATGTGAGATAGATAGATAGTATTGATGAGAAGATTTATTTTGACAAATATACTTGTATGCTGTGCAATTGTTGATTTTGATGTTTATCAAGAACGGAGTCAGGTTTCTTTTAGACAGAAATATTCTAGGAAACTTTAAGAAGATGGGGATGGAGCCGTATATCTCGGTAGTGCATATTGAAGGAGAGTGAATGAGAAGGTCTCGGCCCGAGTGAACGCAATCCCTATGTTTATATATGGAGTAGTGAATGAGATGATCTTTATTCTGATGTTAGTGGTCCAGAGTTTAACATGGTAATATTACAGATGAACCATCTAGATGATCTAGGTGAATAAGGAAATAATGAAACAATGAAATAATTTCTTTGGATATTTTCCGAAATTAGACACATGAGGTAGAAAGAATGAGGACCAGCTATTGACTCCTTTTCGTGAATGACTGCTTAGGTCAGCCGATCAGATATGGGATCAGATCAGATACTCGGTATGTGGATGCTCGGCATTTAGCCAGAGATATCCCGAACCTTTATCTCAAGCTCCATCAGCATTTAAAAGCTTCATCAACTTCATTATATTTATCAGTACTTTATGGATCCATCAAAATGAAGGATTCCTTACCGACGATCAATACAAATTTCGAATATCAAAGTATGGATAACGAGAAAACGGAAAGAATGTTAACAGGACCACCGCCGCGAAGGGCTAGACCTCTTGTTTTTGGAGCTCTAACGGTTGCTCTATTTTATTTCCTTTGGACCGCGAATTTCCATCAGTTGTTTATGGGATGTGGTATGAAGCTGCAATCTACGGAGATGAAACCTGTGACGGATGTTGTATCTATATCGGATCATAAACTCGTACCGTTGGAAGCGCACATAATGAGTGTAAGCTTATGTATACTCCTGTTATTCTTCAACACCGCTTGAATTCTTGTTTACTTTGAAATATTCCCTTATAAGACTTTATTGACTTCTTATCTATAGAAATGTCCTGATGCACAGGTTCGTTTTAGCTATCTGTTGATTGATAGCACATCTCTAACTGAATCTAGGATTGTTTGAAGATGATGGTATTACCAGCTATGCAGAGGGTATATGATAAAGTTAACTTCACACTCTCTTTCATTGGCGCGTAAGTTTCATCCGTCCGCAAGGCTCGCATTAAAAAGCTAACGGACAATCTTTCGCAGGCCTACGGACAATGATGGAGTAGCCTGTAAACATGGCCCGCAAGAATGCATGGGCAATATTCTCGAATTATGTGCTGCGAGCCTATATCCCGATCCAAAAATCTATCTTGGATTTACCATGTGTTTAACCAGAGATTACAAGGATATTCCGGAGAGAAGTTTAGTGGAAGATTGCGCATTAGAGCACGGAATGGATTTCAGTAAGCTCAATGAGTGTACAGCGGAGGATGATGGAGGGTATGGTATGGGAATGTTGAGGGATAGTGTCAGAAGGAGCATTGAGGTATGTGTGGAGAAACAGGAGTGCCAAGTCATACTATAAAGACTCATGCTAATCGATAATTGTAGGCCGGTGTCACAAAATCTTGCACGGTCAGACTCAACGAAGAAATCTTTTGTGTACGTGATGGAAGGAAATGGACGGATTGCCCTGGAGGGTCGGAAGTAAACGATCTTATTCTTGCCGTGGAGAAACTGTACAACCAGTCTTAATAGGTTCGAATATATCCGTCCATAACTCACTCGCTTCTCCAACAGTGTAGTTCAAGGACACTTTATCCATCCCCGCTTCTTCGTTGCCCTCCATCGTCTCCAATTGCTCGATTATACTCTCCAATCCGATCGCTTTTCCAGTTGCTTGTGTTGCACCAGCCTCCAATGCGACATGTACAATATGCACATGGAAATGATAGTAGGTCGGTTGATAATGAACATACAACTTCAACTGATCCTCCTCTAATCCTTCGTATGATTTCACCGTAGCCTCCACAAACTTTTCTCTCATATGTCTCAACCATTTTATGTGTTTCTTCTTCAAATCTCGCAAGCTCCATATATCTCTCCTCTCTACTAGTCCTAGCAAATGAAGCCCTTCCATCGTTTTCCGATCCCAATTGAGATCCGGTAATAAAAGGAACCCCTCATCCCCATCACGACCTTGCGGGGTTCTATATATAACATCTTCTACTTCAGTCTTTCCGTCTATTATGTTGTATATCCAATTTAATCTACCTCCATCTCGTTTCGCTTGCATGTAGGGGCGTATCTTCTCGCTGTAAATTTTGGGCGTCTCGGTGACCATGCGAACTCCCTGCTTCCTATATTTCTTAATATGCTGTTCCGTGCATGGATATATGAGATTAATCTTGAGGTCTGTAGGTTCGGTGGTTTGTGAAGGACCATTATTGGCCAAGTACCAGAAGTAAATATCGTTTGCGCCGAGATTCTCAAGGGACTCGAGAGTGGATGGAAGGGATGACAGATAAGTTGTGGAAGTGGGAAATGGAGCGCGTTCGAGGATTAAAACACATGGCTTGGAATTAATGTGACCGTAGAGAACAGAACGGCGCCCTGCTTGATCTTTGTGGGGAGGCTAGTTAGAGGTGGAATGCATGAAGGAAGCAGACTGGATGTTGAGGAATACCTTGATTCAGCAGACGATCAAATTTGAAATCTCGAATCAGAGATGTGGGCTGAGAAGATTCTTCTGCCATGATTGGAGTGAGTGTTAGAACTTGGTGTAGCAAGATTTAAGGTTGGGTACCAAGTAGGTATTGAAAGTCGTACAAACGAAATGCGGGATATTTTAAAGTCTACCGCCTTTCGGCAGAATGGCGGAACGTTGTTTAGCAATGTCACACACTGGTACGTACACGGTACTAGACTAGTTCAACTCTATTTGAACATTCAAGTATACCATTCTCAATTCTTTGAACCAAGCTTATTGACATGCGACAAAAGCTTCGACAATGCCAAGAAGTAACATGATTTGCACAAGGCACGGCCCGACAAATCTATACTGTGGATACGAATCTGATAACGAACTTAACTGGCCGTCATGCATGAAATAAATCACAATATCTAGGCATTTGATTTGAGAGAGTATTCACGGGTTATCAGACCACAATGATCTGTCTCTAGCATGCGACTTAAAAGCGTCCATCACAGACCATTCACAATCCCAAAAGAAGTTTTCTTGACTAACATCATCGTCTACCACTCATTAGTGAATTGTGGGTCACGATGCAAGCAATTACCAAGCTTCAGCATTGCAGGGGAAGTCTTGCAATCGGAGCTTAAGCTGACGTACTCCTTCCAGCGACAGATCGTCTCTCGCGGTGTTCCCTTACCCGTTGATTCCTATTTGCGAGCACTGCATGCATTCACACAATAACAGCCACAGGATTGGACATGCGAGCGATAACCTTCTTCAGACGACCAGACCGTGCGTATCTTCGAAGCATATCTACATTGCCATTACCCCTTGCCCCCTAGACTTCCACTTGCTGCTCGTCACGATCCACCACGCCACATCTTAGTTTAAACTCCGAGGCTAGATTTTTGCTATTCAGAAGCGGACTTAAGAGCGTTGTTGCCGATACGGATCACATGACTGAGTACAGAAATTTGTTTACCGCTTCCCGAGGTGTGTCGACGTGCCGATATCCGTTCGTGAAGAGAGCAGTGGAGGAAAAGAACCCAGTTTACCTTGTCTAGATGCCTAACACTACCTCTCGTGTTTGAAAATTGGTTAGAGAGCGGTCAATCGGCATGTTCTTATAGCCTATTACATATCTCCAATCTCCATCAAGCATGAAGAAAGCGGGGAGTAAATATATTTCCTATATTAAAGGTTCCGGTAGGTCCTTCATTTTGAAATCCTTTATGATTACACTTTGATTTTCAGTTGAAGTCTCATATGACTTATGAGGCCTTTTTTCTACTGATATTTATTAATCTAATACTTCCTCGTTTCTGTTTGATGATTTCTTTTCCTTCTTACTTCTGAGTTCTCTTTCGCCACAATAAAAAGTGAAGAGATTACAACAACAGATAAGCACCAGGGATATCGAAAATACTACAAGTGCGTCTATGTCCAAAATGATAGATTCAATAACGAGGCAAGAGACACGCAAGTCAGGTGCATCAAGACCTGATTCGTCGCCTGGGCTAAATCGATGCTTGTCTGGAAATCACCTCGATGACACCTCGTACTATACCGGACACCCTAATACTCAAGGAACAATAGATCAAGAGACGGAGCACGCTTCTACAGTTGATTCGGAAGATACAGATACCGATGGTGTTTCTACTATATCGCCAGAAGTCATAGATGGGATCGAGGTTGAGAGGGATGTTGAGTTGGGGAGAGAAAAGACCCGAAAGAGCTTGAAAAGTGTTAGGGATTTAAACTTAGTTTCCTGGGAAGGACCGGATGATCCAGAGAACCCTAAGAATTGGAAAATCGGACGTAAATGGGCTGCTGTATTGGTAGTCTCGAGTTTCACCTTTATATCCCCCGTTTCCTCCTCGATGGTAGCACCAGCTCTTGCTTCGATATCTGCAGATTTACATATTGTGAATTCTATAGAGCAAAGTTTGGTGCTGTCTATTTTTGTCCTGGCTTATGCCGTTGGTAAGTCGATTCTCTTGTCCCAACTATGGACGGCCACTGACACTGAAGTAGGCCCGCTCTTCCTTGGTCCCCTAAGTGAAATGTTTGGACGAGTGATTGTATTGCAAATAAGCAACCTCGTATACTTGTTTTTCAATCTTGGCTGTGGTCTGGCGCATACTAAGGGACAACTGATTGCTTTCCGATTTCTGGCCGGTCTAGGTGGCTCCGCGCCTTTGGCTCTTGGAGGTGGAGTGCTCAGTGATTTATTCACGGCCGAAGAACGTGGCAAAGCAATCTCTGTATACTCCCTCGCTCCGCTGCTAGGGCCGGCAATAGGGCCAATAGCAGGCGGGTTTATAGCTGAGAATACTACGTGGAGATGGGTATTTTATGCTACCACTATAGCTGATGCAGTCATTCAAACTATAGGATTATTCTTTCTTCAAGAAACGTTTGCGCCTGTTTTGCTGGGACGCAAGAAGAACAAGCTTATCCAGGAAACAGGAAATCAAGATCTGCACACAGAATGGGATGTACCAAACCGAACCATTACTACGACCCTCAAGATTAGTTTAACGCGACCATTCAAATTACTTGGTATGCTTAAGCGTTTCATTAAATCCTTTGTTCTTATTATTCTGGCACACACTCCACACAGGCATTGCAAAGTCTCAAAGATAAACAAGTTGATGAGGACTTTGCTGAGGAAGAAAGTATCTTCCTCAAAGAATCATTGCTCATATAGAAGGCAATGGTCTCATAGTGAATTCACTATGACAAGCCCCCCGCAGAACATTTTCCCCTCAAATCTTCCCTGTACTGACTCTCGGATTTAGGAACGCAAGTGATTATACAGGTTCTGGCTGTATATATGGCTTACCTCTATGGTATAATGTATCTCGTACTCTCTACATTTCCAGGACTGTGGGAAGGTGTATACGGCGAAAGTACTGCAATTGGTGGACTGAACTACATTTCTTTGGGCACTGGTTTCTTCCTAGGTACGCAGATATGTGCGCCTGCACAAGACAGGATTTATCGAGCCTTAAAAGCACGTAACAATGGAGTCGGAAAGCCCGAATTTCGAGTTCCTCTAATGATTCCTGGTGCCTTCCTTGTGCCAGTCGGGCTCTTCTGGTACGGATGGAGTGCTCAAGCCCAAACTCACTGGATAGTGCCAAATATTGGAGCGGCAATCTTCGCGGCAGGAACTATCATTGGATTTCAATGCATTCAAACGTATATTGTCGATTCCTACACCAAATACGCTGCAAGTGCTGTAGGTGCAGCCACCGTCATGAGAAGTTTGGCTGGTTTCGGATTCCCATTGTTTGCACCATACATGTACGCAGCGTTAGATTATGGTTGGGGCAACAGTTTGCTTGGATTTATTGCGATTGGGCTGGGATGGCCGGCTCCCATCTTGTTGTGGTTGTATGGAGAGAAGCTCCGCATGAGAAGTACATTTGCAGCTGGATAAGACAAACACAAAAATATACGAGGGCGAGGGCGAGAAGGATGCGTGGTGCTGGGTTCTTTGTTGGACGCGATCGTACGAGTGAGCGAAAAATACCATGCATGAATAATGTGGAGTTACTGGGGGTTTTCAAGGTCAAACGGCGACGTAAAATACCCCTATTGCGGATCAACTTAATGAGTACATGGAAATAGTAATAGGATTGTCATTGAAAAAGAAAATTACTGTGCACGTTGTTTCTGAATGCCCTAATAGCGTCATGACAATCAAGTGCTCGAATACCTTTGCCAGCACTTGTAGGATAGATGTGGAGGCTTACATAGCTAGAAACGCGGCTTGGAAGCGGGTTTGGCAAGCTATCAACAAATGATTATCATAAGGCCATCATGCAAGGTTAGGCACGGGGAGGAAGAAGCGTAGCACAAATGGAAATGGAGCCGCCTCCATTAAGTGCTGACAAGCAGTACAGCAGTTATACATTAATAGATGGCAGGCGCACCTTCAAAATCACGAGAACTAGGAAGGATGTTGATGAAAATGAAGACAATGATGGCTCGCCAATTGAGAAACTACGACGACAAGCTGGTAGTAGGTAAGACATGATCAAATAGCATCCATTCTCATCAATGCGGAGAGTTGGATCTTTCATTTGCCAAAAGTCAATATTGAGTAACATTGAAATTGGAAAAAGTATTATTGGTGTAATATTAGATATTAAAGTCGAATGATTATATGTATGTAAAATGCTGAACAAGAGAGGGGGATTTTCATAGGTCCAATCATTGATGTTTACTCTGACCAATCAAATCGATGTATTAGAAATTTCCCCAAATACGTAAGAAGGGTTAAAATCATCTCCACCTTCTGTATCCCCAATCTCGAACCAATCACCTTGACGATTCATCCAAAGTATTAATGGCAAACAACGTTCCTGCTTTTCCTTTCCTTAGGCATCGTGCTTCATAGACCATATGGAATTATCTTCGAAAAATCATTACTTCAACCTCCAGGAAAACTGTTCGAAGGAGAATTCTCTTTCTACATTCTTGATCACGGCTGGAAATCCCATGGAACGTGCAGCCAGAATATTGATAAGAATCCGAGCATATTTGGTAGAGAGAGGAAAACAACTTTGCTTACGATAGCACTAGGTTACACTCTATAACTGAACTGCTCACAATCTCAAAAGTCTTGGTAGGTGCGTGGTAGGGTTCTCTCTTGTTCTTATTTCCCCGAGGACTTGGAGCCGCGCGTGTGCAAATACTTATCTGATAAGCATTGTCTATCGGCTGGAGACCCGCACCGCACCGCACCGCACCACTGTACACCGCATCAATCCCTATCCACGGGTTCGATACCGGGTAACGTCAGAGCATAAACTGAGGATCGCGCCCCTCTCCCCCGGATGGCTGGCGTACGGGATGCGGGTCATATGTATGGAGGGACGTCGTCCTCATTGACTGATATCAAAATCAAACCGGATCATGAGCGTATTGCGACCATTGATAGGGATAGTCCAGTCCCGAACAAAAGGCCGAGGAGTAGTAGAGATGTAGCCGCGATGAAGAGGAGGTGTGTTTCCACAGCTTGCGTCGCATGTAGGAAACGCAAGTCCAAATGCGATGGGAATACGCCAAGTTGCGCAGCTTGCTCAAGTGTATATGGGACTGGTATGCTCATTTGATATCTTGTATTGATTCAATGTCCATTGGACATTCAAACCTAGTTGGGTTCCTGAGCTGACATTTTGGATCAACAGAATGTGTATACGATCCGTTATCGGACCATAGAAGGAAAGGGGTATACAAAGACAAGATCGATAGTCTCAAGACCCGCAATTCCACTTTACAAACTTTGATACAAGCGATATTGAACGCCGCTGAGGAGGATGTACCAGACCTAGTTCGCCAAATTCGAACGTGTGAAAGTCTCGATGATGTAGCAGAGAACATTTTGAAGCAGGAGCAAGCACTCGAAGAGGGAGACGACGATATTTACGATAACACGTCATATACGACAACTAATTTGCCGAATTTCGAGAGTCAGTTGTCGGGGAAGATGGGTGAATTGAGATTGGAAAATGGTTCGGTAAGGTTTTTGGGGGGCACCTCAAATTTGATCTATCTTGATGCAGCAGATGTTGAGGATGGGGATGCGTTAGAAACCACCCAACAAGACGAACCTCTCTTGTCGTGGACAACAGTCACGAACGATACAGAGGTTATCGTGCATTTGATTAATATGTATTTCACATGGCATTATCCATACTTTACGACATTGAGCAAATCTCTGTAAGGTTTTCTTTTCCATACTCCTCAGCCCACACTCCGCCCCTTTTTCATTCCCTCACTACTTCCTCTTTTTGCTCTAGGAATTACTGACTTCTTGGTGTCGCCAGGTTCTATCAAGACTTCCTTTTGGTATGCCTTCTCCTGTCCCTGATTTTCACTTGTTTGCCTACTTGCTCTCATTTCCTCTTCTCCTGGACCGTGTTTCTTGAAACAAGTCTAATGGTTTCTGGATTTAGGGCAAACCTCCAGGCAACCCAAAAAGAACAATGCATTGTTCATCATTATTGGTTAGTGAAGATTCAACTCTCTATTCCAACATCTTCTCACTTCTCCAGGTTAATGCTATGCTGGCTTTGGGGTGTCATTTTACGAATTCTCCCCAGGCTTGTGCTGATCCAGGGGATACAGCAACTAAAGGTGATCATTATTTTGCGGAAGCTAAACGACTGATTTTTGAAAACGATGAGTACGAAAAGCCAAGATTGACCACGATACAAGCACTTTGGTGAGTTATCATCCCGCGTTTCTATATGCGTTTCTAACATCGCTTAGCCTTATGTCGGTTCGTGAGGCTGGCGGAGGGCGAGAAGGCAAGGGATGGGTTTACTCTGGAATGGCATTTCGAATGGCTCAGGATATGGGTCTCCATCTGGATCCTGGAATCAGTAAAAGCAATACGAACGATTGTCCTATTGATGAGAAGGAGATTGATGTCAGAAGAGTCACATTCTGGGGCTGGTATGTTTGTCTAATCGCTTCAGTACATCCTTTGTCACATCTAATTTGTTGCTCTATGTGTCTCAATCTCTCTTTTGCCCCCCTAACAGCCTTAATTTCTCACTTTTCTTATGAAAATTAAATTGAGACAGTAGCTAAATTTTCCCCATAGCTTTCTGTTCGATAAATGTTTCTCGAATTACTTAGGTAGACTTCCTCAGCTATCGGTGACTGAGATTACGGTCCCTAAATATGATGTAAAAAAATTCGACGATGATGAAATTTGGTCACCCTACACAGATAATGGAATAGGCCAATTACATTCCCAACCATCAAGGACAAGAGCTGTAGCTTTACAAATTTCCAGTCTCTGTGAGATTAGTAGTGATCTTCTTACATTTTTTTATCACCCACAACGTGTGGAAAGGGGTGTTGGAAGATCTCAGGAGCTGAAGAAGCTTAGCGAGTTACAAACGAGACTCGAGGCTTGGAAAAGAGATTTACCAAAGGAATTTGAAGCGAAAGAAGGACAATTACCTAATGTCCTTCTAATGCAGTATGTGTTACCTAATGTATCCACTGTACTCAATACTGATATGAAATAGCATGTTCTTCCATCTTCTCTACATCCACCTGTTCCGTCCTTTTCTCAAATACAATCCAAGTACATCACCTTTACCGACACATGTATCTCCTCGAAAACTTTGCACGCAAGCGGCCGGTTCAATATCCAAATTGATGCGCCTGTACAAGCGCATATATGGACTTCGACAAATTTGCAATATAGCAGTTTACATTGTTCACTCTGCTTGTACGATTCACCTCCTAAATCTTCCTGAAAAGACTGCAAAGAGAGACATAATTCACGGAATCAAACATCTCGAGGAAATTGCCGATGATTGGCTCTGTGCACGTCGCACTCTCTCAATACTCTCTGTGTTGGCTCGGAAATGGAATATCGATCTTCCCGCGGAAGCATCCTCTATATTCTCCCGTACTGATAGCAGGTTTGGGCACTTCTCGACAGCCGATGTTCCGTCACCAAAAGCAGAAGTAATAGTACAAACACCATCATCAGCATCATCACCTACTCATTTCCAGACATCTCCGCATCCACAATCACTTGCAAGGAGTCAAAGCCACTTACAAAAGAGCCTCTATAGCTATCCTACCGATTCGAAAGTCCCACCTACTAATAACTTGATGAACGACATATCAACAGAGTCTTCACTCACCGGAATCCACAGTACCGTGTCGGTACAACGAGATCATCCAGATCCTATTTCATATTCTACACAAGTTTCACCCGTCTCTGCATATCACCCTTCTCATACAATGTATCCCCATCAAGCTCAGTCTTTCGGTCCCAGTATCGCAAATGGCGCTTCTAGAAGTAACATTAGTCCATTGACTAGTGGGAATAGACATGTTAGCCCGAGCACGATGTTTGGGGGTGTGGAGCAGTTAGTTCAGAGTCAGGATTGGTGGTTGCAGGATCAAGTGAGTTTAGCAGTTGGTTTTGAGAACTGGATGGGTGGAGGTATTGGTGTTAGTGCTCCTGGGCACGGGCATGGCCATATTAATAGTCATAGCTTGAGTGGTGATGTAAGTGATGGGACGGCGGATCCATTTTATCATAATCACAGCACGAATTCTGGAGATGGAGGGGGTAACGCGGGTGCGGGGAATGAAAGGGGCGCTAATGGTTTTTGGGGGTGACGAGCGATTCTCGTGGTCGCCATAAGTGTTTTTATATGATATGACAACAACCATATGGATGTCGAGAAAGAATTTTGTCGGGGGTTTGCAAGGGTGGTTATGGTCATGATGACATGTCCGGAGCGGGAACAGGAGTATGTATTCAGCGTCGGAGTTTTTGGCTTGCTTCGTAACTTGTTATACTGGGATCATTATCAAGGATTGAAATGAGGTATGGAATGTATCAATTAAATATATATAGATGTCTCATAGGGATGGTGGTATAGGAAAGGATGGAGCTTATTAGTAACATATTCGGAATAGAAAAAGCATTTGATTTTCTATTTCTTTTATCTTTGAATTTGAAATGGGTTGCTTTTTAAAGAAAATAATGATGATGGTTTATTGTTTTTCTCTGTATCGGAATACGAAATTAGTGGATGGAGGGTTGATATAATTTACTAGGTTTGGTGGAAATATAGTAAGACTTACGATTACCGGGTCAAAATATTCGGGTGGGTGGTTGATAGCTTTAAGTTAGATATGTTCTTGTACCATCCTTATATTCTAGGGGTATTGAGAATGGAAAATGTTCCTGATATAGTATTTCAATGCTAGTCGAACAATGAGGGGAACTAATCCAGAGTAAAGCTCACTTTATTTTTAATCGTGCTGCTGGGAAGTGAGATTGTAAGATCGGGAGAATTGATCAGAAATAAAATTTCGACGGTTGTTTGTAGAGTTTTATACCTCAATATGTTAGTTTGTATATGGATTATTATTAAAGTATGCGCTACTTTATGGGGTTGAAGTAAAGTATCAAGTGAAGTGAGGTACGGAGTGGGAAATATAGAATGGTGGGGTAAAATAGAAATTTTGATTGTTGACTCAAAAAATAAACAAACACAACAAACATCCATCCATCTCAACCCCTCCAAACCACCAACCATCAAACTGTATTTCCCACGTCTCATCACCCGCGCCATCGCCAGGGCAAACACTAAATTTTTCAGAACCATGGCCACATTCTCCTCTATCAAATATACTCCCGCCGAGGAAACCGAGCTCAAACAATGGACCCTCACATCAGAGCGTCTGAAGACCTCCAGTCCTGAAACCAAATCCCTCCTCGATTCCTTAAACACCCATTTAGCATCGCGAACAACGCTTCTTGGTTCCAAACCCTCTGCTGCCGATATTGCCATTTACGAGAGTTTGGCACCCCAGGTTGCGAAATGGAGTAGTGAGGAGCGAACGGGAGAAAAGGGTCATCCAAATATTGTGCGCCATGTGGATTTTGTCCAGAATTCGCCTATATTTGGCTTGAATGTTGAGGAGGAGAAGAAAGTCAAGGTTGATCCCGAGGAGATTTTATATGTTAAGCCTCCTGTTGATGCTAAAGCCGAGAAGGAGCGTTTGAAGAAAGAGAAAGCTGCTGCTGCTGCCGCTGCAGCAGGAGGTGAACAAAAGGAATTGGCGGATCGAACTAAGGAAAAGGGTGATAAGGGAGTTATTGCCCAAGTTGCCGAAAAGGTTGCAGAGGCAAAAGATACAGTTGTTGCGGCTGTGACAGGCGAACAGGCACAACAACCCAAGCAAAAGAAAGAGAAGAAGGAGAAGGCACCAAAACCTCAAAAGGCTCCTGCTCCATCTGCTCCTCTTTCTCCATGTTTGATTGATCTCCGTGTCGGTCATATCTTAAAAGCTATCAAGCATCCAGAAGCCGACTCTCTATTTGTCTCCACTATTGCTATGGGTGACAAGCCCGGAACCGATGATACATCTGAATACGAAGGACAAGTTGTGCGAACAGTCTGCTCGGGTCTCAATGGTCTCGTTCCTCTCGAAGAAATGCAAGGTCGTAAAGTAGTAGTCGTCTGCAATCTGAAACCCGTGAAGATGCGCGGTATCAAATCATGCGCCATGGTCCTCGCCGCATCTCCCAAACTAAAGGAAGGAGAAGAAGATCACCACGCCGGGCCAGTTGAACTTGTTACTCCACCAGCCGAAGCTAAGGCCGGTGAACGCGTCTTCTTCGAGGGCTGGAAGGGAGAGCCTGAGGGAGTTTTGAACCCAAAGAAGAAAGTTTGGGAGATGATCCAACCGGGTTTTACTACAACTGTTGATTTGGAAGCTGCGTTTGATGCGGGTGTTGTCAAGGAGTTGAGTAAAGAGGGAGAGGATCCTAAGACTGGCGTCGGAAAATTGGTCACTGAGAGTGGTGGTGTTTGCAAGGTTAAATCTTTGGCTGGAGCTATCATTAGATAGATGGCACAAGGGGGGCGGCGCGAACTGCGAACTGGAAAATCGATGGCTTATGCTTAGATGGAAATTTCTCAAAGGGAGGAATAAAAAGTCATGTAGCTAGAAACAGACCCCGTACATGATTACATGAACGATCTATATACATAAATATAGATGATTGAGTGTTGCCGTATTCTAAGCCATCAAGATCTACTTGTACATAACATGAGATAAAACGTGATACAATATGATAAGATAATTGACATTATTGAGTTATATAGTATTTAAATATATCAACCTCCATCCCGTTTCCGTATAATGCAAAATACTTTTCCTCCCCCACGCCCATCCCCATGCTAATCAAAATCAAAATCAATGAATATCCTCATCTCATCCATCACCTCATCCAGTAATTCCCTCCATCCAACTCAAATACCCATCGCCCAAACCACAGATCTATATGCTGTGCACCCTAAAAAATGCCAATATTCGCATATATAAATATAAAAAGATATCTCTGTACTATATTTTCCAAAGCGTATAAAATCCCATGTATAACTAATCCTCACCTATCATTCAAAGAGTCGCATCAGTTCACAATCGAAGATCCCAACTCCAAAACAACTCCGAGATTTTAGATTTTCGCAAAAGTCAAGGGAAGGAAAGGGAAGTCTTGATGCTATGCTGCCATCCAAAATGTATGTACTGAAATATTCAGTACGCGACGTCCCCTGAGCGCTTAAAGACCAATTTTCTCGGATCAAAAGTATCATTATCATCATCTTCATCATCCACTTCCATATCATCATCAACCTCCAACACGACAGGTCCATCTTGAATCGGAGCTATTGGCGGTATGAATTTCGTTCCATTAGTATGTGCATCCTCCTCCGCCTTCAAAGACATCGAGATAGAAACTTCATCCTTCCTTTCCAATTCCTGCTCCTTCCTCAATTTTTCCATCTTCTTCTCGGCAATCTCTCGTACCTCCGCAAGTCTCTTTTTGATATTCTCGATTTCGGTGCTGCATTCTCCGTCACGTAGGAATTGGTGTGCTGCATGTTCGCATTGTCCTTGACACCATTCGAGTCCCTTGTCTAGCTCGTCAAATATATCCGTGGCGCTTCCTCCGGTTCCTCCTGCCCCGGTTCGTCGGTATCCTCGTAGCACATTCATGGTGTTTCCAACTGTCATGCGGTCGCGAGATGCACCCATGTTTCTCGTCGAGGTGAATTTTAGTTTCGTTCCTGCTCCGGTATCTCCCCCATTCAGCTGTGCTCCGTTCGATGTTTCTTGCGAAGCGACTTGGTGATGTAATGAAGGTTTGGGTAATGCACTGCCTAGAGCTTTTGAAGCCTCGGACTCGGATTCATCGTCGCTTTCCTCCTCGGCTTCCATCTCCGCAGCTCGTCTCATTTCCGCCATTTTAGCTGCCATTTTTCCCTTTCTCATGGCATTTCGATTCCCGCTCACAAATTTGACGAGTTCTTCAAAGGCGGTTTGCACGGCGCTGTCGTAGTATACTATTATCATTGATCTGGTTCTGTATCTTGGGGCTTGAGAAGTCCCCGATGCGAGGGATTCCGTCTTTCGTTTTCGGAGGACGGCCGGAGCCCGTGGTAGTGGTTCAGTTTGGGGTGGAGGTTGCGATGATTGTCGAGCTAAGGCGGTGGGTGATGCTCGCGGAGTAAGGGGCTTCGGTGATTGCGATTGTGGTTCGGATGGGGGTTGGTTGTATTCGAGAGCTGCGGCAGCAGCAGCTCGAGCTACTGACGGGGAATTGGGTCGTGCTTTTGCGGGAGTCTCATTTTGAGCAGATTTAGGGGATCCGGTAAGAGGTGAGGACTTTTCTATGATGTCCTGGACTTCGCTGATGATCTCCTCTCCATCTTTTGGTCGTAGTGATTCGGTGGAACCTTTGTTCTTCAAGGAGCGTGCGGGTTTGGTGTCTACCAATCGTGCAAGCTCGATTTGTCGTAATGCTATTTGACTATTTAGGTCGTCTAGTCGTGTGTTCCAATCTGGTATGGCTTGGGTGAGGTTTGTCAATGCCTCCAATGTTGAAAATATCGGCATGGTGAATATGGATAAAGATAAGTTAAGAGCGGTCTGATATGAGTGGTATATTGCTAGCAGATAGTGTTACTCGGCGTATACTGATCGCGGTAGAATAAATGGTTTATTCGAATGGAGAGTTAAAAGCTTCGAGGTAGTCAAGTAGTCAATAGATGGTCATAATACTAGTACCATCATCACAGCGTCATAAGGAGAATAGTACGAAAATGAATAGTTGGACAATGCGTGCGACTCTTCGCGCGGAGCATAGGAGATTGAAGTAAAGTAGTTCTGATCTCTTTGCTTCAATTACAAGACCTGGGGGACTTTATTAACCAAGAGCGTGATCTGTGAATGAAGAATATATGGAGTATTCAATGTATATCTCGGATCAAAATAATTGAGTGCTCACTACCTGCAGGTCTGAATTGGCGATTGTAAGAGAATGCGCGTACCGACCTATATCTATAAGAGTTATATGCATGAAACTGCCGTGAACTTACATGTAACCTTACATAGGGTGATAAAAAAAATTAAAGGGCGGGTATTATATTTTATTATTTTATTTTATTTTATTTTATTTTTTCCAACTCGATGCAGACTTTGAGTGTGGTGTGGATGAATGGATGGATGAATGAGGGTAGACAAGCTACCTTCAATGGAATGGAGTACAATCCTAGCATATCGCACGCTAATGATATTCAGGGATTCTTCGGATCTTGTGGACCCCTTCATTTTCAACGACCAACAAGCGAATTATCAACCTCATTTTTCTTATACCCTTAATTAACCCACAATATTGAAACAAATCGGAGGTGCACCAGCACTTCCTGCAAAGAAAAAGAAACGGTACGATGGATTATTATTGGAGGGCACCGACGGCTCTATCCGTTCAGAAGCACATCTTCCCTGAACCTTCACTTTGAATCGTGATCAATATTCACTTTGCATATGAAAAGTCATTGGGGATACGAAAATGGGAAAATCGAATTCAAAGGAGTTACAGAACACGTAATAACATGCAACAAGAGTAAAGTAGATCACCGAGCGGTTATTATGTGAGAAAACACGGCACTTTTCTCATTTCGACCATGTCGTCGGTAGCTTTACAACAACATGATAGATTCAGATTCGATGTAATTTTATATACATCGGGCAGGTGCAGAATAACTGATATTGTTGTTGTTGTCGTTGCTGCTGTGGTGTCAGTGTAGATGAAGGAGATGTGATTTCACTGTTGATATCCTATCCGTAGTACGATCTCGAAATCCTGATAGGTCCCAAGTCCTTTCAATCATTCATCCCTTTCAAAGAAACTGATATTCAAACCATGCTGCCGTGTCAATGTGAACGAGAAGATTTTCTTGAAATGTGAATCCGAATATCTGATAGGTCCTACAAACTCCCTCCCAGCCTCCTCTTCCCTTCTTCGTCTTATACTGCATCCATAGACTGAGAATTTGTTGGTTTTCATCTCGGAACCTTGCCAATGCCATATATGTTACAGTATAGCGTCACCGCGTACCTAAGTATTTCGTCTCCTGCATCCTCTATCCACGCCTTAGTGCATCACGATATTCACGAAGCAACCCCTCGGTAGATCTTACGCGGAAAATAAATCACAACCACTGCACTGCTGCAAAATACCTCGGCTTTCATGCGAGTTTGTGGAACATACATACACTTACAATAAATACTACCCACCCATATGTCAATGTCAACAGTTATCACCAACTAGGTACCTACTACCTACCGAGTACTCCGTAATCAAACCATCAACCTCTTCAAACTGTTGCACATTTAAAATTTTACTTCCCTTCAACAGACTCTTAAAACTTCACTAATATAGGACTTCCCATCATCCTCATAGCTCCTCGAGTAAATGATCCCACCCCGTCCCACTCCTTTTTCCAAACGGTGAGCCATTTCGAGAATCCAACTAGAAGCATAATCATCACTTTGTCTCGTGGCATTTAGTCAATTTAGCCCATTTAGTCAATTGACCAGGACAGGCCGACAGGGGAAGACAAGAATTTTTTTAGCTGAGACTTTTTAGCTCTTCCCGTTCCTTGTCACACGTGCTTCATGCAGAAAAACGGCCGCCATTACTTTTTCCTCATGCATGGATTAGAAAACGGCCGAAGTGTTCGATGGATGGAGTATGGGTGAAAATGATGGTAAATGTACTTAAATATACTATATGGGGTTAGTTGATTACGATAATTGTAGTTCATATAATACACGATGAACTTACCGCTATTTTATGAGGTTTTTTACCCAACCATAGGTGTGTGTAGACAATTGTAATTTTCAAGGATTTTGCATTGTGAAACTCGAAACTCAAAAGGGAAAAGAAAAGGAAACTGGGTTTAGAATATTTTATTAACTTCGATTACGACATTTGCGGCAAAGTCATGCCAGTATCATTGTTGAATCGAAGATCTAACTCGTTTATGGCCAAAGCTCTTCTTTCTTCCATTCGCCAATTTTCTCTCCTCCCTCTCCCGCATCTCCACTGGGGCCAATGTAAGTGAATCTCCATCTTCTTGCTTTGTCAGGTTCAGTCAAATCAAGCTGTTCGACTTCAATGGGTTTGATAATGACGACCCTGAAATTCTTTCTGGCAGCTTCATCGTTTAGATCTGATACCTTTTGACCCAAAGCCCAATTAGGATCGCTTGGGGTTTGCGAAACGGGAGTTCCAGGGATAGGATTTTTGAAACTGCCTATAGATATAAAATTAGTCGGACAGTTCATCTGATTACCATTTAAACTTTACCTCTCATCCCCGGACTCAGATTACCAAAATGTGCCGTGAGTTCTTTTTCCCAGCTCCAATTCTCTTTCCCATCTTCCTTCACAACTCTCATTCTCTCTCCGATCTTCGTCTTCACAGTTCGTGTTCCACTTGATTCTTGACCCGTTCCTTCGATGTCTTGACCAACAATATATGCTTCACCCTTGATTCTCCATTGTGTCATGACTTCCTTCACCCAAAATACCGCCTCAATAGGCCCACCACCTCCACTACCCTGGCTCTGTTCAACCTCACCATGACCCTGTGAACTAGCAAATATCTCCGGAACCTTCTCCATACGCACATCTGTAGTGAAAGTTGGGAGATCACTCTCGTAGACCCGATCATTCAAAGGAGCTTCATTACGTTTGTTCTCTGGGAGCTCAGCCCACATTCCTCTATAAATACAGTAGCGAGCTCGAGGAAGATAGGGAGTTGGAGAATCCTTATCGTTACTTGGATGCAATGATGACAGAACGAATTCTGGTGAATCCATCTTTGCGAGATGGGATAAGAAGAGAGCGCGCCATGGGGCGGGACCAATGGATGCTGGTGTGGTGGTTGATGTAGACATTGTGCGAGCGAGACGCAAAAGACGTGAAGAGGCTTGAGAAGCTATTTTGATTGATTTTCCTATTTGTATTATTGGCGGTTGAGATGTAGGTATGTATATGTAGCTTTTGAGTAAAAGTGGCGAGGTAATGGCAGTGTGCTTTCTGTTCTGTGTGAAAGTTGATGACGCATTGATAGAAAGCAGCTCAAGTATAGTATTTGAGCTATCGAAGCTTATGGTGGGGTGATTGCAATCGCTCCATGTGCGTGCATCCCACCAAAACCAGTATTTCTAGTCTTTCCTTCCATACCTACATAAGTAGTAATTTTAGTATCGTCAATCCAGCAGGCGCCATCAAAATTCATTCTTCAAACTTACAATCAGTCGTTAGTACTTTCTTACATCTGGGAATAGCTTCAATATCTGATTCTCACATCTCACATCTCAAAAATGAGATCATTTGTCGGCTGATAAGCAACCCCACATTCGGTGCATCATACCGCCGAAACCCCATCATTTCAAAGATCCTCTTCCAAGCTAGTAAACATGGGGAAAGCTCGTGTGTGTGGTTAAGTTTCCTGAAAGTTATTTTACCTCCAATTGAGGACCTGGCTTGTGTTATTTTGGGGAATGGGAGCGATGAATTGCCGCGGATGAATGCAAAATGCAATCATCGGTATGGAGGGAAATGTGTGTATATATTTCCAATATGTCTTCATTACAAAGTCCTTCTTGTTTGGTGTTACTGGATCTACGAGTTTGAAGGTGTTTTTCCTATTTCTTCTGTATATATTGAAGCATTGAGATTTCATATTGCCAGTTCATATATTTCACTTATTTTCTTTTTCCTCTGGTGCAGTATTGCAATATGCGTCCCATCATCACCACCACAATAGCACTCTTCTCTACTCTCATAGCTGCAGAAGGGAATCGAGGCTATGATGTTATTCCTATCCGTCCGCGCAGCATTCAGAAGAAGACTTGCACTGTTCTTTCCCTCGGAAACCAGATAGACGATACACCTCAAATTCTCAAAGCATTTTCAGACTGCAATCATGGTGGTACCGTCGTTTTCCCCAAAGATCAGGTATACTGGATAGGAACGAGGATGAATCCGGTTATCGACGATGTGACGATTGATTGGCAAGGTACTTGGACTGTACGTTTGGCTTCCTTCTCCAACTATGTACAGAGTATTAATGAATGACAGTTGTCGGATAATCTCACGTACTGGCGCGAAAACTCCTACCCCGTCGTTTTCCAAAATCACGCTGCAGGAATTGTCTTCACAGGAGATCGTATACAAATTAGCGGGAAAGGCGGTGGTGGTATCAATGGGAACGGAAATGCCTGGTATAATGTCGAGAAAGCAGACACGCAGCCCCGACGCCCTATGCCTTTTGTTTTCTGGAACGTTAGTGAAGTGACCGTTGAGCAGTGTATGTCTCATCTCTCCCATATTCTTTCTATGAAAAGTTTAGTAGCTAACAGATGCTTCTGAAAATAAAGTCACTATAAAAGATTCTCCTCTTTGGGCAATAAATATCATGAACGGTACCAACATGTCGTTTAAAGATATGCTCGTCAACAACACCGCTGTAAACGCGCCATACGGAACGAATTGGGTGCAGAATACCGATGGTTTTGATACGATGGATGCCAGAAACATCAAATTAACCAATTTTTACTATCAGGGAGGTGATGATTGCATTGCAATTAAACCTAGATCATACAACATTTACGCTCAAAATGTACCTCTCCTTCCACAAACTCTTCTCAAACTCAAGCACATGACTAACAAAGTGAAATAGGTAACATGCCACGGCGGTAACGGCATAGCAATCGGTTCTCTAGGCCAATATGTCGAAGACTCATCTGTAATCAATGTCACGGTAAAAGATGTAAACATCATCAGCTATAACCTAGACATGCATAACTCGGCATACATCAAAACATGGGTGGGAGCATTAGTTCCGCAATCTGGATACGAAAGTGCAGGACAAGCCCAAGGCGACGGCTGGTACTTATCCCTTTCTTTTCTCCTTCCTCTCTTCCCCACATCTCCCCCCTAAAACATCCCAACAAAACCCCAACTAACCTAAAAACCAGGGGCAACGTAACCTCGATCCTCTTCGAAAACTTCCACATAGAAGGCGCCGCCATCGGAGCTGCCATATCTCAAAACTCCGGTAACAACGGTTCCTTCACCGGCACCTCCAAATTCCTAGTCTCAGACATCACATTCCGCAATTTCTCAGGCTATCTTACTGGTGCAAAGGGTGATAGAACAGCAAGTATTAGTTGTAGTAATGTGTATCCCTGTACGGATATCGCGTTTGAGGATTTTCACGTCGCGTATCAGCTGAATGGGACGGAGGCGCCTGCGACGGGTACGTGTAGTATGGTTGCTAAGGGGGGGGTGGAGGGGATGGTGGGGAGTGGGTGTGTGTGATTTTTGAGATGGGGGTGGGTAAGGGGGTGAGGGGGTGAAGGGGTAGTTGCAGAGGTGGGGGAGGGGGTTTGTAGATATTTATGTATGTATGTGTTTATTGGAAATTTGAAGGAAGGGAACACTGCTATGCCATTCTATTTCTGTGATATATTTCTGGTTTCGGTGATGGTGTATGGGATACCTTAGTTTGTGACTGTGATTCAAGGCCCAAGGGGCAAAATCGTTTGAGAAGCGAATCGAATTATGAAAGTTTGTATGTTGTTGAACGTTATTAGTTCTATGGTGTTATGCTATTATGCAATTTATGATACCGTCCTATTATATCTAGTATAATAGGTAGGTATATTCTCATCATACCGTCTACCTAAAAAGCCTATTCCAAACGCATCCATACCATATTACGCATTGATAAACTACTTAGCGAGAAATATTATTCAATCATCATCCCTCTTTCGACCCTTTTCAAAACTCCTGATCCTCATCACCCTTTCCGCGGCCTAACATTGTCTGAAAAAATCATTTCCGTCAACGACTTTCGGAGGGTCCTCTCCGCCCTCGAGAAGGACCCTTAACTTCCACTCTAGCTCCATGACTACTATCATGGGTCCCTCCCCTCTATCCATCAACTCCTTTCTCTCTCGATATTTATCCTCATTTTTGCTTTCCTCGGGCGCCTTCTCTCCTTGGATGACAGGGGTGGTGAGCAAGGCAGAAGGGACAGTTAATTATCACTCCAATTGATCTTTTTACCCCGCCATTCCTATGTTTTTACATCTCCAAGCTCTTTAGCTTGAGGATCTGCTTTTGCCCATACTCAATACATCCGTCTCTTCCATTGCAAACTCCCATGTCCTAGCTCACTCTACAATCGCAATCAGTTCCTCTCTCTTATCTTCGCTTATTTCGAAATCTTTCTTGAATACTCCGTACCTCAAATTTTGACTTATGGCGAAGTGCAGTTCCCCGTTTACCAGCAAGCCAATTTGGTTGTTCACCTCATCTCTAACACTTCATGTCTTGGCGTATTTGGAAGATCTTTGCATTTCCCCTATGGAAATTTATGCCAATAGATCATTTCATTTATTTGATCACCAGTCTCCCTTTCTAATTGTTATTTTGAGAGAAGTGATGTTTTGGAGAAATGTCCGGTCAGTTAAGTGGGGGAAAGAATCTTCGAGCTAGTAGCGTTGTGCATGTATGTGAATAGATTTGATAGACAGAAATTGCTAATCCGGGAGATATGAGAAATAGTTGTTAGCAGTAGGGGCAGGAGGGCCACGCGCGTGCCAGAATACGTGAGAAATGGATGTTGGGGGAAGGTGATAGGTTTGGAGATAAACGCGTCACATGTTCGTAAGAGAGAAGGGAGGTGTGAAGTTTGGTGCGACAAGTAAAACTAGGTCGTGTACAATGTGTGTTGAGATCGTATTGTGTATCTGGGATTGGAGTGGGAGTGAGAACATAGGAGAGGATTAAGAGGCGGACTTCGGTTGGGATGATGCCGGAATAGAAGGGGAAATAGTTTTGGAGGCGAGGAGTGGTGGATTTGAGGTGGATGACGATTGGGTTAGTGACGCGAGACCCGAAGATTCTGTCACAGTCAAGGCCTCCAAAGAGGTAATGAAAGGGAGGGAGGTCATTGCGGTCTGGTTGTCTATGGTTGAGCTGTGGTTCGATGGTTTTGAGCATTTGATGATCGTTTGTTGTTATTTTGAGGGACAACTTCCCCTAATATTGCTGTGTGAAGGCATGTGAGAGTGTTAAAGAGGGAAATATGATTAGAATGCTCTATATAAGAGTCCCGATTCAGTAGGCCTATATGAGAGACTAACTCATATCGATATACCGTGCCATAGACATACATGCGAAGTTGGTTGCCTAAAGATTCATCAATGTGACGGAGAAGAAATCTCTTCTGCCGTTGCTCAAGTACAGCGTAGAGCAAGGCGAAGAAGATTACTCTAGCATAATCAGTTACTCTTTCAAAAGCCAATTACATCCAGTAAGCCGATGATATTGGACAATCAATTCAAACAGGTTGTTGATAAATTTAGAAGGTACAAATAGAAGGAGGGAGGTACGAAAGGAAAGCATGTAGCTGCTACGATATCACCTGGTGAAACTAATCATCATCATCATCTCGAGCTTGAACTACCCAACTACCTAGTACCTACTTAGGTAACACTCACCCTCACTCAAACATAAAAATTCCCCCTTTAAATGATTTTCATGACTAGATATCTACTAGATACCCAATATGCAGCAATATCATAGTATTTGATGCCCAGCACCTCCCAATTCAACCCTCCATTATTCATCTACTCCTCAATCCATCCATGCACCCATCAACACAACAACAACAGCAAAATATAACCGCATCAAGCACAAACAGACGAACAGAAAACTTCTTCATTAATCATGATAAGAAATGCCAAGTAAGTGATGAACCGGGATTAAATGAGGGCCTATATCTAATTATACACATCTTCATATTAACCTTTCCCTATCCCAGCCGTCATGTTCACGTGTGTATACGACGTTGTAGATATATGAGCGCTAGGAGTTATAACTTTGGCTAGTTGTCGTGCCGTGTGCACCTAGACACCCTAGCTTTTCCCTCTGCAGATGCAGATATCTATCATGCTGCTTGCTAGCTAGGTGGCTTGCGCGTCTCTTGTAGTAATCCCTTATATGTGCCTGAGCGATGTTGAAGAGACCGTTACGCTAATTTTGGGAGGGGGGAATGTGTAATTATGATTTTATTTTGTTTTGTTTTGTTTTGATGCGACGGAAGGTTCATGACTTAGTTCCATGACCGAGGTACGAGTATAGTGATCAAAAAGAGTATCGGTTGCGAGATCTAGCGATTATAGAGTCTCATCATCTAAATCATATATAGATGGATGTATTTTAAAAAAAAATGCAAAAATATAATAATCAAATCCACTTTTTGCTCAAGGTACTGAATATGTAGTTAGTATCTTAGGGCTACAGTGCCGGCAGTTTAAATGGTTGGTGGTTGAAGATGTCGCATATTGTGGCTTCGGTAGTGTCGGTCAATTCGTATATGTCGCTATTGTTTTTCTGGTAGATTAAATATGGAGTGTGATGTGCTTTTTGGCTGTACTGAGGAGAATATTCCTTGGGGAATACGGGCTTGAGGTTTTAGAACTCGGTACCTAGATAGATATGAAAAGAAGATGGAATTTTTCGTGGTGCTTTTTAACCTCGGAACTTTATATGATGGAGATGATTGCTGATGGAAGGGTTATTTGAGTTTTTATTAGTTTGGATTTTTAGAATGTTACGGTATAATCTATATATAAATGAATTATTTAATAATTCTTTCTTTTTTATAGTTGTGAAAATACAGAATATAAAATATAAAATATAATAATATGTGACGGAAATCCCTGCTTTCCTCCCACCCTTATTATATAAGAAACCTCAGGTACATTAACCATGTCCACACATGATACGATTACTCGAGATTAGTATACGATTTAGGTGACCTGAGGATCAGATCCGGACAAGTACTAGGTATCAATGGTTATCGGTAAAGTAAGATCATTGGAGGAATAAATATGACTTCTTTTTGCCTAGCCATTTGCGGCTAGACTATTCATTTGTGTATATATAGAGTAGCTATCCCCATCTACAGGTGCTCTTCACCTGTAGATTCTAAGTTAAATACAATTGCTGGTCTATAAACACCCTTTTGGTCACATAATAATAATAATAATAATAATAATAATAATAATAATAATAATAATAATAATAATAATAATAATAATAATAATAATAATAATAATAATAATAATAATAATAATAATAATAATAATAATAATAATAATAATAATAATAATAATAAGGTGAGACGCTGTGACACACTTAGCGGTACTTTAGTTACACCACTTCCAACCTTTTAGGGTCTAGATTGGTCGAAATATTAAGGTAGCCACTAAACTCACCCTGTGGATCTCTTGGATCTTTCCTCAAGGGTTTGTTTAGCTTTCTTAACGGAGGGGAAGTTTTTATTTTTGAAAATTCAGCATATGATAGTTATCGAAAATCAGATTGTGACCGAAATCAATTCTTGTCCACTTGCAAAGAGAAAAAGAGTGGCATAATTTGGTATTACTATCATACGGAATACACTCTTACAATAAAAATAAAAGAGGATCGAAACATTTTTGACAGCAGAAGAAAAAGAGAAAAAGGTCTCAAGCAATTCAAGGATCCTGCAGCCTTCATTCATTCATTCACCGAATGCATTTTCATTTCATTCATACAACAGATACTACCTACTTATTACTACTCGAGTACTCCGTACAGTGAAGAAATAAGCTTCAAATCTCCTCGAATCCCCTTCATCCAGGGTTGATCTATCATTCGTTTGCTCAGTGTAAAAACACTCTTGGTACTGTTGATTTTGATTGCACATTTTCTCTTCCCCCTCCAAAAGTTTTCACTCTTTCAACTGCTGTCTTTCTTTTCATCCAGTCGATTGATACCCACCTCTCGAAACCGATTTTCGAAATAATTCACAAAAAATACCTTGACAACTCACTACACCAAAGCCGACATCCTCACTTACTTACATTTTCGCTTCAAAGATCTCCCATACATACATACGCTCACTATCCCCCCGACGGACCTCCAACCCAACCCCAACTCCCACCATTATGTTAAGACGCTAGCTCCTTTCTTTATCTCACAACAAACACCCACAAATATCCCACTGCCGAAATACCCCTCCATCTACAAATTCGAATTGGACATTGGCAGAGGAAGTAATTCTTCAACATCTTGTGCTGATGGACCTGCGAACCCGCTGAAGAATACATAAACATTCGATGTCACCAAGGTCAAGAAAGGCCCAAAAACTCATGCTTTCTGACTCACCAACCCACACACAATCGCCCTTAAGAGATGCCGAATATTCAAAATCCAGAGATAATGAGGAGGATTTACTAGATTCAGAATATGAGGCTCCGGAGGAATATGAAGAGCTCGACACAATAGGTCTTACAGACTTTCTCGATTTCGACCCTAAACCCACCTTGATATTCGATGTTCTGCGACATAATGCCTTCGGAGACAGCTTGGAGGCGGTATACACAAATAAAGCTTTCAAATCTAATACTTATCTGACACTCGCCATATCGAACTCTAGAGAGTCGACTTCTCCAACGAATCATCCTGAAGAGCCTCCCTTCACAACTTTCAGGTCTCTGATCAAGGATTTTATTCAAAACCAAGCCGGTCAAAATTCTCAAGGCCAACCATTTTCATACAATGGGTTCCTGTGGTCTGGGTTTACTATCCGGGAGAGATGGGTCTTAATTTGTGGTAACAAGGTCGATGATGAGTTGCGAGATCCCGTATTTAGTAATTATCCTCAGAACCAAAAGGGATCTTTGAGCACTACATTCTCCGACAAGACAATTGCGGCCTTGAAAGATGTTCAAGTATCTAATCTCAATAGTCCAGCAAGCGGCGCACAAAAGGAAGATACAATTATGTGTGAACTTGCCAGTAGTCCACCAGATTGGACCACAGAGTCTCCCGTTGTAGACTGGACCGTCGAGTGTCCTGTTGGTTATCTGTCTGATCACATTGTCTACACTCGAAGTGTCGACTGGTCTTCGACACCTTTAGGGCCAATGATTAGCTGGACGCCGGAGTTTCGTCAAATTGTAAACATGGTGATGGCTAATCCCCATCCTGCTGCTATTTTCTGGGGCGAAGAATTAACGGTATTATACAATCAAGCATACGCGGAAACTGTAGCTGGTCAAAAGCATCCACATCTGATGGGTACAGGCGCCAGAGGGCCATTTGCTGAAGTGTGGGAGCAGTAGGTGCAGTCTCTTTTTGATATAACCCGCGGCAGATAAAATTTGGCTTTTCACCCTGCCACTTTCTTTGATACACCTAAAATCTCATACTAACATCTCGCAAAAGGGTCGGAGAAGTCTTCAATGAATGTCGACGAACAGGGAGGGGACTCGCAATGGCAGATCAGATGTAAGGACAGCACGTACCATCAACAATCCCCTATTGAACTAAATCCTCGTTCTTGACTTTGTTATGCTCTCATCCTACCTATATTTTGGTGTGGGTACCGAAAATTTGGAGAGCCATGTCTCAAGCACATCTTTATGTATTTCCTTCAAACACTCTCTCCTTGGCATCTTTGTGACATCTTCAAATTCTAATACTACTTGTTACCTTTGGCTCACCATACGGTAGCTTAATTTATAATTACATACTGACCTCCACATCATTAGGCTGCCCTTACAGCGTCGAGGGTTCGTCGAAGAGACTTTTTATGTAAGTAACGCCATTTAATTGTCACAGCTTGGACCCAAGATCTTGAAAAACACGCTTCTTCTTATTTAAGAGCCTATTTCTTTCCCGTTCCCTAGCTTCTTCATTAAAGTATGCCACTAACTCTATGGTTTCCGGCAGTCTTGGACCTTAACTCCGATATGGAACGCCAGCAGCACCCCTGAACTTCTAGGTGTTTACAATGCCCCTTTTGAGACAACTGAAAAGGTGGTCAGCAATCGCAGGATGAGAACACTTCTAAAAGTCAGTGAAGAAACAGCCCTTGCTCAATCTGTGCCTGATTTCTGGCAATTGATTCTCGGTGGACTTGTGGAGAACGAACATGACTTCCCATTTGTTTTACTTTACTCAGTACTCGATGACGTCGAGAATGATGCGACATCCTCCAGAGGTTCTATTTCTTCAGATAGTTCTACAAGTATCAAATCTGTTATTCTAGAAGGCTCGTTAGGTGTTCCCGAAGGACACATATCAGCTCAAAGTAGACTTGATCTAAAAAGACATCTGGGAGGATACGTGCCAGCCTTGAGAGAAGCTATGAAAACACGCCAACCAACTTTACTGTCACTTTCGAGTAGCATGCTTCCAGTTGATCTGACGCGAGGATACAACTGGAGGGGATGTGGCGAGCCATCACGAGAGGCTGTGGTATTGCCATTGAGACCAACCAATGCTGAAAGTACTTTGGGTTTTCTAGTCATTGGAGTGAACCCCCGGAGACCGTATGACGCCGACTACGAGTCATTTGTTAAAATATTGAACAGACAATTGGCGAACTCCTTAGCTTCAGTTACACTTTTCCAGGACGAGATTCAACGTGGTACCGATGCTGCAGAAATTGCTGCTGCCGAGCGTATAAAATTATCTGAAGAGTTGGCTTTTCAGAAAAGTCGACTCCAACGCATCGCTGAAGTTTCGCCAGTTGGAATGTTCTCGGTTGATTCTGATGGCATATTACTCGAAGCTAATGATCGTTATTACGAGATTACGAATCTTCCCCGCGATACTGCTGCTAAAATGTCTTGGATGGATACGATTGCTCCATCTAGCATCCCAACTATGATGAAGGGTTGGGAGAAACTCACCATTCGTAATCAGCCGTGGTCAGGTGAACTGCAACTCGTCAAGCCATGGTACGATCCTGTGTCGGGCGATAAGTTTGATAATTGGATTTTGGCGAGTTATCAGCATGAGTTTTCACCAGATGGAAGCATCAAAAGCATAATGGGATACTGTACGGATATCACACTTCAAAAAAGGTTTGCCAGAGAAATGGAGGATCGTGCAGAGCTCTCTGAACAACTTTTACTTCGCACCAATCAAGCCAATGAAATTGAACGAAACTTCAGACGATTCAGTGACCTTGCTCCTGGTGGCCTAGCGATTCTGGATCCAGAAGGTAGACTAACATACGCAAATGAGCAATGGTTTCAGATTTCGGGCCTGCCAAAGAATGAGGTACCTGGAAGCCCGTTCTCATGGATGGCTGCAATAGATGAGCTGGACCGTCCAAAATTTAGGTCGCAATGGCTATCGTTGATTAAAAACACTACTCCCTTCGTGACAGAAACACGTATGAAACAGCCTTGGGTTGGGGATATTGCCGGAACTACACTCACAATTCAGCGCTGGGTTTTAGGTACATTCGCAGCAGAGAATGATGAAAATGGGAAATTGAAGAATGTGATGGGCTGTAAGTCATATTTATTTTAAATCTATCTTGTCATATAACGAATCAGCAAAAGAAATATCTCGTTCGCATACAGCTACATGACAGGTTGAACAGAACAGCTTTGTTCACCTCTAGCTAGGGCAGAATAGGTGGCATTTATAATGGTAGATCACTGACATAAAATAGGCTGTACAGATATCTCAAGGATCAAGTGGGCGGAGGACCTTCAAGATCGAAGGTTGAAAGACTATGAAGAAACAAGAAGGCAGCAAAATTCGTTTATTGACATAACAAGCCATGAAATGCGCAATCCACTTAGCGCTATTGTTCAGTGTGCAGATGGTATCTCATCATCCTTAAAACAATACAAATCTGCAAAGGAAAATCTAGATGAGGAGATCTTGACTATCATCAAGGACGGTATAGATGCCGCCGAAACGATTCAACTTTGTGCTCAGCACCAAAAGTCAATCGTCGATGACGTTTTGACGATTTCCAAATTAGATTCAAACCTTCTTGTGATCACGCCAGTCTCTACCAAGCCAGTAGAGGTGGTCAAGCTCGGGCTGAAGATGTTCGCAGGGGAATGTCAAATGAATACCATATGTCTCAACCTAGAGATCAAACAGTCCTTCCGAGATTTAAAAGTCGACAGTGTCATGCTCGATTCCAGCAGGTTGACTCAAGTCTTAATCAACCTCATGACGAACGCTATCAAATTTACCAAGAACGAGAAAAGACGCGAAATCCATGTTTCCATAAGTGCGTCACCGGAACCACCTCTATTCGAGTCATTAGCTGATTTTGAATACTTTCCGTCTCCTACTAGGCTTGCAAAAGCCAACGTCACTGCTAGTGAGGAGTGGGGAAGAGGCCAAATCATCTATCTTCGATTCGAAGTAAAAGACACAGGTTGTGGATTAACGCCTGCCGAAAAGAAAAATCTGTTTACTCGTTTTTCTCAAGCATCACCACGGACTCATGTACACTACGGAGGATCCGGTCTTGGACTATTTATCTCACGCCAACTTATAGAGTTACAAGGGGGAGAAATTGGTGTGGCGTCGCAATATGGAGTTGGGAGTACCTTTGCTTTTTACATCAAGTGCCGTCGTGCATTGAATCGGGCAAATACTATGGATATTGAATCGCAGATGCACTCAGACCTAGAAGCAAACGGAAGATTGGCAACGAATGTTCCAAAAAGCATCAAGGACCATGAAGAAAAGATGCTGAATCAGCTCTTAGACTTGAAGGAGAAGGGAAGATTGCCTACTAATCGTAATTCGTTTGAATTCGAGGAGGAGGATAGTCAACATTTGAGACCGACTAAAAATCCGGATTTTCTATCGCCTAGTTCGTGGAGTGTATTGATCGTGGAGGATAATTTAGTTAACCAGAAAGTTCTGGCAGCGCAGATGAAAAGGTTGGGATGCAAGGTTCACGTAGCGAATCATGGGAAGGAGGCCATTGAGTTTGTGAGGAAGACTGATTTTTGGTTTGGTGGCGCGTCGGATTCTGTGCATGGGTCTGTGGCACCTAGGGTAAGGCTTTTCTTTTTCACATCTTTCCTCTTCGTATTTTCCCCATCCTAACATCTAGCGCACAGAACACCTCCGTTTCCGCGCAAAGTCAAGAACCTCCAGAATCGCATCAGCAATTACAATCTAATTCTTCATCACACAAACTCCCCATCCCACTAACCCTTATTCTCCTCGACATAGAAATGCCCGTTATGGACGGTCTTACTTGCGCCCGAGAATTGCGCAAAATGGAAAAGAAAGGAGAACTGAAGGGTCATGTACCAGTTATAGCGGTAACGGCTAATGCAAGAGCGGAACAGATTCAGCAGGCGTTGGAAGCGGGTATGGATGAGGTTATGACGAAACCTTTTAGAATCACGGAGTTGGTGCCGGTTATTGAAGGGGTTTTGGTGAGAGTTGGGGGTAGGGGAAAAAGAGAGCGAGGAATGGGATGAGTGAAGATGAGGAATGTGGATAAAATAAGGCAGTGGGAGAGGAAGAGGAAGAGAAGTGGTGTGAAGTGGGTTAGTATGGGAGGGGATTTGCGAACAGAGTTGATGAAGGGGGAGTGGAATGGGTCATAAAAGTTAAGATGACCTAAAAGTATCTCAAAAAAGAAAGTCATGCGAGTCACGAAGGGAAGACGATCACAAAACAAACAACCGAAAAAACAAGAGACGTCAGAGGATGAAACTATCAAGCAAAGCACGCACAAAACGATACGATACGATACCCTCATGAAATATATGGGAAGGAAGGGTTGACGGAATTCTTTTCTTTTACTTTCACTTTTACGGCATTGCATTGCGTGGTACATAGCGATGGATTGGATATGGATATTGATTATTGATTGGTTTATTGGTTTATAATAATACCCATTTTTGCATTTTTGCATTGCATGTATGTATGTATGTATGTATGTATGTAACGAATTGGATTGAGAGGTGCGTTTATAAAGTGAAAGGGGGGAAGGTAGGAAGGAGGAAGGAGTGAGATAACAAGGGAATAAAATACATAAAAGGTTATAAGATGTATGAGGCTATGAGCATATGGATTGGATTGGATTGGATTGTTAGATGAGTTTTATTTATTGTTGAGTTTTGTGTTAGGAAAGGGGGAGAGTGTGCAGGGGAAGATGGAAGGGAGATGGCTTGGGATGGGATGGGATGGAATGAGAGTGAGTGGAGCGGAGGTAGGTTAAAATAGGATAGGTAGGTAGATAGTAAGATTGCTGATAAAAAAGGAGATTTGAGTTGCTTGTTCGTTTGTTTCATTGTTTTATTTACTGACTCATTTACTGATCCATTCATTCATTCATTTATTCATCTTGAGGTATTCATCTATCTTGAAATAAAAATCAAAGTTGAATTTAATCTATACATATATATGTGACGGAAAAGTCGTAAACGGAGTCAATTCAATTACTTAGAATCTAAAACTAAAGAACTAAGAAGATTCTAAGTAAGAAGGTCTTTATATACAGGGCTAGTGCACGTGAGCCACTAGTGGGGTAACAACCGTCACGTAACATATATATAAATAAATCATTTTTAAAAAGAAATTATGTTTTTATTTATTGAGATAGAAATAAAAAATAAAATAAAGAAAATTATTATTAGCATAATATTAATAATTTAAGAATATAATTTATTTATTACGTAATTTGATTTTATGATTTTTTTTTACATTATTTAATTTGAAGAAGATTTTGAATTTTGAATTTTAACTTTTAAATTTCATTAATTGAGATAGATAAAAAAAATGATATTATTATCAACAACATCCCTATATTCTCCCTCCCTACCTCCCTCCCTCCCTACCTCCCTCCCTCCCTACTTACCAACCTATCCAAAAACCCTCCCATACAACCCCCCATCCTCCACCCTCACACCATCCATCTCCCCCTTCACATCCAACAACTTGACCTTTCCCCAGCCCTTCAAAAACTTCCGCAACGCATCCATCGTCTCCACATCATCCCTCACCAACAACACAATCGCATCATAACCACCTGCACCAGGTACGACTCCTCCTAGTACCCCCTCCACTTGCGCAGTAACTTCATCGAGGAGTTTAGTTTGTTCTGGTGGTTCGATGGGGACATTTGAGAGAGTACCCATTTCTCTTATTTTTTCACGGATGGCAGAGAAGGCTTCTGGAGCGTGGGAGAGATCGCCTGAGGAGAGGATGGATGCGAGGTTTTCGTTGCGGGATTGAAGTGAGTTCCAGAGGGTTTGGGAGGTTGATGGATTGTTTTTGCGCCAGCTGAGGACTTGTTTTACCATTCCCACGGTTTGCGAGCCGCAGTCTACGTCGCACATTACGAGGGCCATGCCGGTTGGGATGGTGATTTTACCTTTTTCGATTTGGGTGTCCCATTTTTCGGGGGAGGTGTTTTGCACGGTGGATTTGAGACGTTGGGAGAATCCGGGGGTGGTGGGTTCGCCGAGGGAAGTGAGGATTGAGGGGGAGAAGCGTCGGTAGAGGGAGGTGCCGTAGACGGCGGTGGCGATGTCGAAACCTGAGCCGACTTTTCCTTGGGCGGCGCAGTGGGCGGCTTGGGCTAGGTTGTGGAGTTGAGATTGTCCTTCTTGGGTTTGGAGGGAGAAGATGGAGGGGGGGAGGTAGTGGGAGAGGATTGCGCCGGTGAAGGCGGTTACTAGGGCGGCGGAGGAACCGAGACCGGTTTTATGGGCATCTTGGAGGCGGACGCCGAAGTCGAGAAATTGATGGTGTGCGTCTCTGGCGATGGGGGTGCTGGAGGGATTGGAGTAGTAGTCTTTGTCTGCTAGAATGGTGATGGAGGTTGGTTTGATGATTTGGGTGGGGAGAACCGAGGATATGTAGGTTAGGGCGTAGAGGAGTGCTGTTTCTACGAAGGGATTTCGTGAAGCTGTAGCGGATGGAGAGCTAGATGAATATGGAATGAGTAAAGATGTTTGTTAGAAGCTAGATTTATTTGATCAAGATGATATGAATATAAATTCCCACGTGACAACGAGAAGATCTACACGGGAAAGTAAATAGGGAAAGAGTAGAAGCGAGAAACAAAAGGAGAAAAAGATATGCCTTCAAAAATACATCAAATAAACTGTATACATCTCACTCACCCTTGTAACTGCGTAACTTCAATGCCACCATCATCCTTTGTCAAATGATAACCATAATTCCACGCCGCCTCTCGAAACTGCGGACTCTTGACTATAATCTCGGATAGCTGCACGCCAGATGTCGTATCGATATCCTGAACTAACACGTGAATACGCGCACTAAGTCCAAATACCAACGCGGTGTATTCACGATCTAATACTAGGTAGCCTCCTGCTAGGAAAACTTTGCCTGGGGCGGAAATGGCGGTCGTGTGGTTTGTCATCCTGGGTGTATGTACGTGTATGTGTATGTAAGCTGGGAGATGGATCGATCGATCGGAGAATGGAAGCTGGATAGTTGATTATTGTGATGGTTGATTAGTGTACAACTACTGTACGTGTGAGGTTGAAACTCAATCGGATAGAATTGCAGCCGATTCCCGAAGCATGAGATTTGAGAATTGAGGATTTAAGGTTTGGGACCCCACATTTAAGAGAATGTCGGGAACTTTTGTAGTAGTTTGTGCGGGTTTTTGTTTGTTTGATTGATTTTTTTTTCGCGCTTGCTTGCTTGCTTGCAGACAGTTTACTACTGGGCTGAAATAATGTGGCTCTAATTGTGGAGTGGAGCTTAGCTAATCAAACTATCTACGACCACCAGGGCTTCTACCGGGTTCCATGGGTTTTCTTTAATAGTTTAACTGCGAATCCCGTGTGGAGTTCCACTACTAGTCTACTACCCATCAATTGATCGATCACCTGCTTGGATTACGATACACATCTCAAGGGGAATGGTTATCGTGATTTAGGATCTTTGGTGGTAGTATAAGAAGAGGATGAGCCACCACCAGATTGGCACCAGTATTTATATGACAAGGAGATGGCTTGTAGTTGATACTTGCAGACTCGAGAGATCACGCTTGAGCTGAGTCATTATTTGCTCTGTGGAGTTGATGACAGATTTACTTAACTACCTATCTCTGTAGGTACATTGGAAGGTAATAGCAGGAGGAAGAATGTTCATGTACGTACGGTAATGTAAGATTTGTGTATTATCTTGGACACTTTTATCATCGAGACCTTTCCTTTCCTTTTCTTTTCCTCTCTCACTAACCTCGGTCCCGACTCCCGAGTAAATAGACCTGTTCCTGAATATCGGTCTACTCTAGTTTCCGATCCGTAAATACTCCGTAAAAAGGTTGATCTCATGTACTCCATATCCATAGTCCAGACAAACTTATATTATTAATATAGATATCAGACCTCCCTCTTACCGGTAGTTGTGGAAAAACCACCCAGCTAACCCAGATTCGCATTCAACATTAAATCCGTTCTCCGTCATCCCCCATGAAAGAAAACGGGAATAAAATATTAAATGTATGACATCGATATCAACCAACCAATAGGGATTCAACCTTTTACGTTTGGTGGAGTCCAACGCTAGAATTAGACCCGCGTTCTTTTGGATTGATGGAATTTCAACGCTTGACTCAAATAGTTTAATTCGCCAGGATGATACCGGGATCATAAACACATTTTTATCATTTGGGATTTTTCTATGCCGAAACATTATCGCCTCTCGTAGAATTTTTTTAAAATCGAGAAGGGACGAAGGATTGATTTGCTGGGGGAAGATTCTTGACGCGCACAAAAAATACCTGTGATTGAATGCGATAATAATACTCGTAATCTTAAATCCGTTAACTCAATTCAACTCAACTCAATTCAATTCAATTCAATTCAATTCAATTCACTCCAATTCATTCCACCCTCCTCTATTTGTCCGTCTTTTATTCGTCTGAAATCTCATTGGGGAATTGCATATGACCTTGAGGAGAAAAATACCCGGTTCACTTTTAAAGAAATTCAATCAGGGCCAATTGACTGGGTCATCCAAGCAAGCAAAAGTATCCTTCGTCCTGCATGTGAAGTTGATCATCCGAAGGCATCAACCTCAATATATCAATTCGTCATCTATCTGACTTTGAAAGCCTTTTGCTTACCTGAGTGGGAAAAAGAAAGATACTACAACTTATCTTACATCTATTTCATACTTCCTACCTCGACTCAACCTTATTTGAATACATTTATCAAATACAAATACACCATCTTAGGTTTTTTATCATTCAGAAGCGCCACCCTTCAATTCCTAGGTTCAGAAGAGAAGTCGGTACTTGGGACTTTCAAAGAATATCGAATATCAAAAGTCAACCTCACTTTATTTCCCCTCACACACTCTCCCCTCCAAACTTCAAACAGCGCGTTTGTTTGACGGCATAGCTGTCAAATGAACCTGCAATTGTTTACTTTTTGAGATTTTGAAGTAAGTTTTGGGATGTTTTTTTTTAAGATTGGTGTAAACTCTGAGTCATAAAATGACTTCTTGCGCTTTTTTTGCGAAAAAACTTCTACACCCAAAATTAGCAAGAAGCTGACATAAATCTTTTCATAGTCTCCTCTCAACCAATCCTGAGAGGTCAAACCATCCCTAAATGCCCATCTACAATAGTCTTTATTCGAATCTTGCACGTCAAGGATTCGCAAAATCGGTCACTCACGGTTACGCTCAATCAGTCGTTGCCGCAACTCATCCTCAAACTTTAGCAAACCAAAATCGATCTGGTCGCGGTTTACAACGTCGAACGAGTAAGCTTGGTCATTTACCAACTTATACCTTTCAAAATGCTTTTCACACAAGCTCCAATTCGACTGTTACGACTGTTCAGGATAGACCAGAAGGATTAGAAATATTATCGGATGCCTGGAAGGCAAATGAACTAGCGAAGGAAGACAAGAAAGGCTTATTTCCAAAATGTATCGAATGGAAGCCAGCTTCTATTCAGGTGGATGGAGAAGGGAAGAGCAATATTGTGGCAAGTGATGCAGTGAAGGATACCCCTAAGCAAGCCGAGAGGACGTATGGCACTAGTGCTGTAGATGATATTAAGCAAGTTCATTTTGAGGACGAGGAGGAAGCTGCTTTGGCGAAAATCGATGCGGCTATCGAAAAGGAGATCCAATCGAGAGAGGATCAAGCTGCATTTGAGGCCGAATTGAGTGTGGTTGCAGCACGTGTACCAACTCCTCCTATTGCGCCAGTTCAGTCACCTGCTTTCACAGTCGAGACTAACTTCGAAAAATCGGAACTATCGCGATCGCCTGTTAGTTCTACCACATCAATCACCTCAACGTCCGACCTTCAATCACTGAGCTATGCCGAACATCTCACCAAACTTGCTCACGGTGGCAGATATGCTGAGATTCCTGCGGTTTTTGAGGCCATGCTTGTTGGAGGTATCAAACCAACGGCAACTGCATACAACGCTCTTCTTGACGCCGCAATTCATCTTCCTTCGGAACAAATTCAAGTGGTTCCAAAGGCTCTTGATGTTTATTCCGACATGCTTAGACGAAAGATATTGCCAGATACTTCAACGTACAGCACACTCATTAAACTGATTGCTTCTCGATCGATGACTGTAACTTCATTGAAACAGACATTGGAAGAAAAACGCGTTAGATATGGTGGGATGGAGGAAGCTGGCAAATTTATGTTTGCTTCCAACGAATTAGAGTTTGCTATTCTCGCCGAAGATGACAGGTTAGATCTTGCTGTCAGGTTGTTTGATGCATCAATCTCGTACCACACGGATCGTTCATTCCCAGCAGAAACATATCATCAGCTCATATCCGCATGTGCTGATGCTGGTCGGATCCCAGATATGGTACGATTGTATGAACATATGGAGACTAGCAAGGTTGTACCATTGGCTGCTACTTTCTCGCACATGATCAAGGGTTTCGCTCAATCAGGTGATCTAAGTAGTGCTGTCGAATGTTACAATGAGTACAAGGAGCTGGCTGTCGCGGATGACACTGGCAAACTTCAATTATTTGATCGTCAAGACGCACACATCTACGCCTCTGTTGTCAAAGCTTACGTCACTTCCGATAAAATGGACGGTGCCATGAAGTTTTACAACAGAATTGTGGAAGGATATGGTGAAAATGTTGAAGCCTTCCGCGACGTACTTATTGATGAAGGTTTCGTTCAAGGTCTTCTTGAACGCAACATGTTGCCTGAAGCACTTAGCTGGGCTGAGAGTCTACAAACTGCCACTAAGTCATTGGTCATGAGCACCATCTCTATGCGTGCTGCCGACAAGGGAGAAAGATCCATTGCTGTTGCAGCTTTCTCTCACATCAACCCTGATCCATCAATCGCCAAGCCAACCATGGCATTATTGGCCTTGAGTGTTCGCAGTGGTGATGTTGCCGCAGCTCAAAGATACTGGGGTATACTTACTGCAGCTGAAATGCCTGTATCGTCCGCTTTCATTGAACCAACTGCCATGTTCGCCGTTGCCATGATTGGTTCTGGACAGGTCGTCGAAGGTCTTACACAATCTGAACAAATGTTCTCTAGAATCAGAGAATCTTCTACAGACGTCAATCTTCACTTGGCGGATGAGATTGAAGAGGGTACTGAGTTTATTGCTCGATTCATGAAGTCACATAACATTGTTGATCCTCGTGATGCAGCAGTGGCCGAAGCTATGTATCAACAAAACTTCCAACCTGCTGTATATGTAGCACCACCTACATTCGAGGATACTTTTGATCCTTATGCCGCTTCTACCGATTTCAAAGGTTCAGCTCTTATCGCTGATGAACTCGAGAGAGGAGCTAGTCGTGGCAAGGGATCTAAGCTCAATGATGCTTTGGGTCGATTCAGAAATATGCGTCGCGCTGGTCGTCATCCAAGATACATTACTTATGCTAAATTAATTTCTGCTGCTGCTCGCGAGGAACGGATGCCCTTGGTTAATGATATTCTTGGTATGGCACGATCTGATGTACCTTTACTTGTACAATATCCTGTTGTTCGATATGGTTGGGTTTCAATCCTTGATGCAATGGTTGGTGCTTGCTTAACTCTTGGCAACCGCAACCTTGCTGCTCAATACCACCAAGAACTTCTCGACATGGGAGCTGCACCAACTGCAAACACTTTCGGTCTTTATATTACAACTTTGAAGGAATCAACAAAGACTTTTGATGAAGCCTCAGAAGCTGTCAAAATTTTCCACCGTGCTAAGACGGAAGGTGTTGAACCTTCATCCTTCTTGTATAATGCTCTGATCGGTAAACTCGGGAAGGCTCGTCGTATTGATGATTGTCTTTTCTACTTTGCTGAGATGCGTGCTCTTGGTATTCGACCAACCAGTGTCACTTATGGTACTATTGTCAATGCTCTTTGCCGTGTTAGTGACGAAAAGTTTGCCGAAGAGTTGTTTGAAGAAATGGAATCTATGCCAAACTATAAAGCTAGACCTGCTCCTTACAACAGCTTGATGCAATTTTTCCTCACTACCAAGCGTGACAAGAGCAAGGTTCTCGCATACTACGAACGAATGAAGTCTAAGGGTATTCAACCAACCAATCATACCTACAAATTACTTGTCGACACTCATGCTACTCTCGAGCCTGTTAACATGGCAGCCGCTGAAGCCATTCTTGATATCATTCGTAATAATGGTGAAAAGCCGGAAGCTGTTCACTACTCTTCATTGATTCATGCCAAGGGTTGTGTTATGCATGATATGGAAGGTGCTCGCAAGGTTTTCGATTCAGTTATGGCTGATTCTTCCATTCGTCCTCAAGCATGTCTTTACCAAGCTTTGTTTGAATCCATGGTTGCTAATCATAACGTCGCTGATACCGAATCTGTTCTTTCCGATATGTCTGCTAGAGGTGTTGCAATGACTCCTTATATTGCCAATACTCTAATTCATGGATGGGCTAATGAGCGCAATATTGAAAAGAGTAAAGCAATTTTTGCAACTGTCGGTCGTGAAAAGAGAGAACCAAGTACTTATGAAGCTATGACTCGAGCTTACCTTGCTGTTGAGGATAGAGAAAGTGCTAAGAATGTTGTTCAAGAAATGCTTAGCAGAGGATATCCAGGAGCTGTTTCAAATAAGATTTTGGAATTACTCGGTGGTGGTCATGCTGAGACTGTTCAGGTTTAGGTGATTCGTATCATCTAGCCTTGACACTCTGATTCATTTTTCGACTCAACCTCTGTGGTTCATTTATTTCGATTGTCTATTTCACATTTCATCGTTCTTATGAATTGTGTTTAGACAATCACATCTTCAATAGAACCCGAATATTCTTTTCTTTTGTTCAAGTATGTTATGATACCCGTGCTATGGCACATCAAATGATGGTGGTGGATTATGGGTATCAAGGTCTAGTCTAGTAGTTGAGTTAGCTTGATTTTTTTGCTATCTGGCTCGGCTGGCTGGTCAGACATAGAGTTTCAGTTTTCTTTTTATTTGTTTATTTATTACATAATAAAATATCAAGTCTCTTTTGAGATTGTAGATTTTACACTCTACGATGTCGAGAACTAGATAATGGCGTTTTGGGATAAGAGGGGTTTGGTTTGATGGTTACTGGAATTATTTGCATACATACATGCATGCAATGTTGGCGTTTTGGGAGCGAGCGTAAATGGATTTTATGATTCGCATGGTGTTTTGGATGTGGTATATGCATGCGTTAAAAGATAAATCTCAACTCTTAGAAGGTGGATGGATGGGAAAAGGAAGAAGAAAGAAGAAGAATGCTATAATGGTGATTTATGGATGAAACTATAGATTATCTAGGTAGCTGGCTTGATCATTGATCATTGATCATTGTGATTGGTGGTGGTGGAGAAATTACACATACATATATACAATACATACATACATACATACATACATGGTAGATATTTATATACCTATGCAATAATAAATTAAAAAGATTACAACAAGTGTTTTTTAAACAAACTTAATTCATTTCTGTATTGGATTGTGTAGGGCTTAGGTATTACTATAAGATAAGATTATAATATAATACAATATAGTACCCCTTCATTTATATTAACTGATATCTAATTTTACACCAAAAATAATTAAATTATATCATTTTCACTCAAAGATTTTGATATAGTAAATGTTAAAAGGAATGACCTTACACAGGGAATAGTGGGAAGCTGACAGGGCAGAACTGAGGCTATATTGGGCTTTTTATATGAATCACACATTGTCTCTATTCTATAGAAGTGCGAAGCTCTTCTATAGAGAGCTTCTCAATCTAGTCCTAATAGGACTAGTGCCTTGTGCACGTGCTACGCAGAAACCATCCACTTTAACAGTAAAGAACTTTTATAATTTATTCTTTTTATAATATTAATTAGCTTGATTATAAGGATTATAATATAATACAATTTTGAAATTTTGGGAAAAAAATTTATTAATTGAATAATAATCATTTATAAAAATCGATTTTATGTTAAAAGTGAATGGGTTCCTGCGTAAGCACGTGCACAGGGGCACTAGTCCTATTAGGACTAGATTGAGAAGCTCTCTGTAAGAGAGCTTCGCACTTCCGCAGAACTTAGAAGAGAGATTAACCTACTAGACCAATATTACCTCAGTTCTGCCCTATCAGCTTCCCACTATTCCCTGTGTGAGGTCATTCCTTTTAACAATTTATATATTTTTCTTGATTTTCCTTACAAAAATCAAATCAAAATTATTTTTTTCAATTTTCTATTCTGATTATATAATTTAAATGTTACGAGGTTTGCCGTCTAGATCACGTGGAAGTGCTCCAGGCTCTCGAGGTGGTTTATAACTAGGCGTCAAGCAGGGACTTAAAGTAATGACAATAATAATATGCTATTCGTAACTAATAGTAGAGTATACTAAATGATTGATCTTGAGCACGAAGCTCTATACAAAGGAAATCCATCTTGATTATATAGACCATCGTGGCATGCGTCCCAGTGCTCCCAGTTGTCCCAGTTGTACTGGGACAGCTGAGCCTACTGGGATCCTCATATCACATGATGCTAATCACGTGATGTTAGGTATATGAGATCCGTTGTAACATTAAAAAGATAATAAAAATAAATTTTAAAATTTTAATCATTGATCTAAATCGAAATGTTCAATATATCAATTTCGAATAACATTTTATTATTAAATAAAATTTTAATAATTTATTGAAGTAACTGACTTTTGGTGTAGCAACTGTTACGATAGTAACAACTGACTAATTAGGAGAGCTTGGGCCTTGTGCAAAAGCGATCAGATTTCATCGAATTAATATGTGATCTGGGTGTGACGGAAAAGTCGTAAACGGAGTCAATTCAATTACTTAGAATCTAAAACTAAAGAATTAAGAAGATTCTAAGTAAGAAGGTCTTTATATACAGGGCTAGTGCACGTGAGCCACTAGTGGGATAACAACGTCACGTAACACTGGGCCACCTTAAGATCGTATGTGCACGCACGGTCAGAAAACACGTGACTTGGAGCCTTTGGAGCTTAGGATCCAAAAGGATCCAAGGGAGCATGAATATCTATATAACCAAGATGGATTCCCTTTGTATAGAGCTTCGTGCTCAAGATCAATCATTTAGTATACTCTACTATTAGTTACGAATAGCATATTATTATTGTCATTACTTTAAGTCCCTGCTTGACGCCTAGTTATAAACCACCTCGAGAGCCTAGAGCACTTCCACGTGATCTAGACGGCAAACCTCGTAACAGCAACCTCACCCAGCAAATAGCCGTGGTCTAGTACTGTAAATGCGTTCCAAACAAAACTAACTACTAACTACTTTAATCTATAATTAAACTAGAAAGGGAATAAATAATAAGAGGAATGATTTGAAAACCTAGCCAGACCTGGAAGAGCGGAAAGATTTGGGATATTTATATCGACTTTGGTTTGTATTTGTATTTGTATTTCCATCTGCATATTGAATGCGAACGCAATCAGGAGGTCAGAAGGTCGGGAGATAGATTAGATGGGATTTTTGTTTGTAGGTTAGATTGTAGAGGTTTATGTATTTTATTTAATGATTAAAATCGAGACTATAAAGAAGATGAAGATGATGAAGAAGAAGATGTTTATAAAGGAGAAAAAGAAGAAGAGGACAAAAATATCGAAATATCTAGTTCTTGGTAGGGACCTGTGGGGTGAGAGGGGTAGAGGATGATGTGTGGGTTTGTGTTGGGGTTGGGATTTTGGTTTGGGGGTGCGGGTGCGGGTGCGGGTGCGGGTGTATTTTGGTGTGGATTTGAATCAGATGTTGAAGCATTTTTGAGGTTTTTGGAGGTTGTTGATGTTGAGTTGGGGATTCTGAGGGTTTTGAGAGGTTTGAGGGGTTTGAGGGGTTTGAGTGAGGATGGTGAGGATGGTAAGGATGGTGGTTTGTTGATTAGGTTCTGCCGTCTTTGCTTTGATGGTTGTTTTGGTAGATGTGGTTGTAGTTCCTCGTTTGTGGTGATGTATATATCGGATGAGATGTCAAATGGGATATCTCCCTTTGTAGTCATGACATCTTCGTGACCATAAACACGACCACAAGAAGTAAATAAAATGGGTATCTTTCCTCTACCCTCAGTATCAGAACTCCTCTCTAAATCAGAACTCCTCTCTAAATCAGAACTCCTCTCTAAATCAGAAGAAGAATGTGCATTAAATCCGAGATGTGAAACTAGCGGTCTATGTCCTTGTTCGGAAGGAGGTTTTTTTGATTTTGATATCGATATTGATGTTGATTTTGAAGAGATGGAGATGGAGATGGGGGTTTTGGTTTTGGAGTTGGGATTGGGATTGGGATTGGGATTGGGATTGGAGTTGGAGTTGGAGTTGGAGTCGAGATCGGAATCTAATGGTTCGTCCATGGCGATGAGATCATCGTTTTTGAAGTCATTGGCAAATTTGTAGTCATTTTCGAAGTCGGATTGGTGGTTGGATCTCTGGGGGATTTGGTTGGGTGCGAGGATGTGCATTGGGAGGGGATCTGTGGTATTCGAAGTGCGTTTGAGATGAGAAGCCGAGGTCGAGGTGAACTTGGAGGTTCTACAAGAATGTAAACTGCCCCTTGAAACTTTGTAACTACTTGACCGAGGAAAAATATCCAAATTTCCCGATTTCAAAACCGAATTAATATCGATGATTTCGCATTCGGATCCGTAATCAGAATCCGAATCCGAATCTAAAGGCACATCCATAGCTATGTGATATGTATCTATAAAATCGACATCTTCACCCGCGGTTACAAAATGAGGGAGAGATGCTGAAGTTTTTGATATCCGGTTAATTTTGATATCCGAGCGGAGATTCGTGGCAGGATTTTGGGTTGTGCGGGATGAGGAAGTGGTATTTATTGGTGGTGGTTTGATTTTATGATTATGATGGGTGGTTTTGGATGATTTTGGGGGTTTGATGGATTTTATTGCTCTTTCTCCTATGTTGGTGTGGTGATCTTGTTGTGGTTTTTGGTCGTTGGGAATGTTGGGTCGGGAGCTTGAATGGGGTGGTTTGAGAGGTTGTGGTTTTGGTTCTGTGGGTAAAGGTTCGTCAGGAAGATTTTCATCTATGTCTTCATATATGGAAGTGTCAAAAGATATTTGTTCTTTTGGTACCGCGGTTCGATGATGTGGTGTCAATGTCGGTGTCGGCGGAGGTGAAATTGAAATTCTAGATTTCTTAATTCGTGTTCTATCTTCTAGGATAGTTCGTCGAGGCGAAAGAGATCGTCTTCTGCTATTGGAAATACGGCTTTCGAGTTCGCCTTCAGACTCAGATGCCATTGTTGTATCACAATCTGGTCCCATCACATACTTGATAATACATGTTAATAAATCTCTCCCCTCAACCGTTGGTTCCGTACCCCAAGGTAATTCATAACGTTTCCAACGATTCGGGCGTTTCTTATTCAAATCCCCAATACACCTATCCACCCATTCTCTCCCTAAAGATGTAACAGCAAATAATGAATACCACACCTTACATTTGAATCCAAATTCCATATATGTAAGATTATACACATCCATATTCGAATTTCCATCCCGGTCGAAAGAAGTGAGAGATTTCGTGAGGAGAGATTTCGTGAGGAGAGATTTCGTGAGGAGAGATTTCGTGAGGAGAGATTTCGTGAGGAGAGATTTCGTGAGGAGAATCGGAATAACATAGTCGATATATTTATCAATTCCCCAATTAAACTTTTCGACGAAAAAAGTTTGTAATTTTTTCTCATCAATCTTCCCCTTCCAAATATTCTCCTCCAATTTCTTCAATCTCTCAACTGAAGATATAACCGGCGAATTATAAAGACCCCAAATTCTCCTATCCGGAAAACTTCCCGGAATACTAACACCTGTTTTCGAGCCGATGAAATATTTCCGTAAATTATTTCTCCAAGTATCAAGATCTCCAGATATCTCCATCGCGCGACAAAGTTCCTTTCCAAATCCCATCTCTAAAACTTTACTTGACCTTCCAACTCCACAATCCTGTAATCCTTTCCCATAATCTCCTCCGCTCAATAACACAAAAAGTACCAAACCCTCCCTATCAAATCCCGGATGTTTGGCTTGAATAGTATCGGCTCTATACAACACCACTCTATCCAAATCCTTCATTCCTCCTCTTTTAGCCGTCCACACACCACTACTCTTTGCTTTTCCCTTCCCATTTTCCTTCTCATTCTCATTCTCATTCTCCTCCCCCTCTCCCTCTCCCTCACCCCCATAACAAAACCTCACCAACCCCCCACACCCAAACATCAACGCATCCCCATCCTCCGTCCACACCCAATCCACCGTCCCCCTCCTCTGCAAAACCGCACATTCTGCCTCCGCCTCCCCAGGAGCATCATGCCACTTCACCCCCAACAACCTCAACGCCTCTTGCAAAACATTATTTTTAAACTTCCACACTCCAGCTCCTTTACCTTTATTTTTCTCACAAGGTTTTTGAGGACCATCTGCTACGAATATGAGTTGGATATTTAAATTTAGGAGACGTAGAACGAAGGTTATGAGATTTCGTTCGTTGAGGTGGATGGTGGAGTATTCTTGGGGGTTTTGTTAGTTTGGGTATTTATATTTATGATTTATAAATGTGAATTTGAATGTGAGTTTGAATATGAATATGAATATAAAAGAATAATAAAAAAGCAAAATAAATACTTTTACAAAGTTTTCCCTTATTACTAATAAATAATTTATGTCTCCAAGTAGCTTCATCAACAGCTATTCTCAACGGTCTTTTATGATGTTCAAAATGTGTGGTAGCTAGTTCGGCGAGTGAGATAATTTCTTTGCAATCGGCGATGAGATCCCATAGTCTAGTTGTACATGATTTGTTAGTGATATATCGTGATTGACAAGAGATTATTATATAAATAAATGGAAAACTTACCCTGGGATACCCATCTTGAGTTCTGGGTGACCAGGTGCACGGAGATTGTGGGGTGGGAGGAACTAAATTGGGAATATGATAGAGATTAGAGATTTGTTTGTGGATGCTCATGTACGATGTAACAAACTCGGGATTTCAACTAGATGAGAGCGGGTCGTAGTAATTACATAGAATTCTCAGACGAGTCATTTTATTCAATATGTGTCCTCTGATATAATATGTAAACAATATTCCTATCATAAAATTATTAAGCCATTTCAATAATTATGAGACAAACAACTTGACCCTTTCTGACCAAACCATTTCATTGGTTAATTTGGTCAACATGTAAATAGCGCTAAATTTTTCATAGAGGGAACAATCCAAATATTACAAGTTTGTTGATGAAGCTAGATTCCAGGAATTGTTTTTTCTTCGGATCGAAAATGATTGGAAGAGCAGAAAAACAAAAAAGCAATACATGATCAACGTTGTTTGCTCTCAAAATATTTCTTGTACATGATCTTATCTCCACCGAAGCCCTTAAAATTTCAACCTCAATCTCGTCCAGTCAATATACATGATTAAACATCATTTGAAAGCATCAAATAAGTCACGTGTAAAACACAAATATCAAATCAAACAGGTGGGTATAAGATTATCCAAAACCAAAAACCTGCTAATGCTTTACGCTCAAGGGATAAAATTCCCCGGACAGGAAAGCAAACTATAACCCCGCAATCCCATTAACTCATCAAATACACTAAAAAAAAATCCATCAAAATCTTCCTCCTTCATACCCTGAGGAAGAGATTTCTTAGCTAGGGGCGAGGATTGGGATTCTATGCGGCTATTTGGCGACGCTCCGAAACTAGATTGTTGGGCGGTTGATATAGATGCCTGCTTCCGCATATCAGAACCGAAATGCCGAAACCGAGCTTCACGGTTTGTACTCGTTGGTGAGGTTTGTGATGAAGATGATTTTGATGTATGAGTTTGAGCACTTGTTACGGGAATTGGGTTCTCTTCGTCTGAATCATCGAGCATGAGGTCGATGGTTAGTACGGAAGATTTCTTTACATCTCTCTGCCTAGGATGTTTCTCGGACTCCGACTCACGACGCTGTTCCGGGCTCATTCGGTCCCTAGCTACTTCAGGTATATCACGAATTGGAGTTTTCTTGGTAGATGAAGAAGTCTTTCGAGGCTGAAATGTTATTTCAGTGTGGTGTGGAGATACAGGTTCCATGAGAGCTTTGGAAGGTGGTGTCGATCTTGATGACTGGCCCGGAATACTTTTAACTCTCTTTGAGGGAGGCTGTTCTTGCGAGGAAGACGACGCCTTGTTCGGAACTATTGATCCGGCACGTTTTTTGTTTTTGAACATCATCTCAGGAGATACAATGTTCCTATCATGTTCGTATGATGGTGTATTTGGTAAGAGTGCCTTTTCAATACCATGATCAATAATACACGACAACAAATCCTTACACTCGACCATTTCATCGACTGGCAATACTTCCTCCTCCTGAAAGACTTTTGTAAACTCTGCTTTCCAAGCTGGTATATCCATGGATGTTACCGCCGAAAGTAGCACCTCTACATTCTTCCGTAACACAGGCGTTTTCTTCTTGGTCTTGACATGAAGCTTGTAACAGTTATTACTCGCTTCTTGTCCTGGCTGTGTAGATGCAAGAGAACGGATGAGAAGGATTGGTATTATATCTCTGATGTATTCATTCACCCAAAAATTAAACCTCGGAGCGATCAATTTTTGTAATCCCATTTCGTTGAAAGAGGGATTCCAGAACTTTCCAATGTTACTTATGATCTTCTCGGACGAAACTAAAGGTTTGTTGTATAGATGAATAATTCGAGGATCCGGAAAGGTATCTAGCACTTCAATCCAAATATTGGATTTTCTGAGGTATTCACGAAGTCGGTTTCTCCAAGCAGGGAAATCTGCATTAGCTGCATTGCATAGATCTTTGCCAAAATCTTCCTTCGCGTTTGCGATCTTTATCGCTGATAGTGTTCCACAATTCGTAAGACTTTTGCCATTCTAACTGTAATCGCCGCCTTTTAAGACAGCGAACAAGACAAGACCATCTCTAGTCAAGCCGGGAATTTTTTCTTGTATTTTGTCCGCTCGATAAACAACGATATTATCAATATCAACTCTACGCGTTGTCTCATCAGGTTCACCAACTCAATTTTCATTCCTTCGAGATTTCTTCACTTTGCGTTTATCAACATAGCAGAATCGAATGAGCAATGTAGTTTCAAACATGAAGGCATCCGAATCTTCCGTCCAAACAGCATCAACCACTCCACGACTTTGCAAGGCTGCACACTCGGCCTCGGCTTCTCCTGGCGCTTCATGCCATTTTGCACCCAAGGAGGTCACAGTCTGTCTAAGAAGTGTATCGTCCTGAGAATAATATTTATACCAGGGTGGTTGCGCACCATATTTCTCTTTTGGACGGTTTTTACCATCCGCGACGAAAATTAACTGAATTTTAAGTTCCAAAAGTGTCAAAATCTTACGGAGAATATTTTTCTCATTGGGATTTGCGGCTGGAGTCTCTAAAGACAACCGACAAAAGTTAGCAAAAGGACATTGATGTGAGATTATATATTGATATAAGCAAGACAGATAGATATACGTCTACGAATAGCAGCCACTTCCTCTTTTCCCTGGTAACACTTGCGTTTCCAGATAGATATATCAACAGCAATTCGAAGCGGTCTTCGTTCCTTTTCGAAATGTTGCGCAGCGAACGCAGCGGTTGAGATATTCTCGCCGACTCCGGCTTCGTCGAATTGCTGCCAGAGTCTAAATTAAATATATTAGCCAGGAATGATGCCATACAGATATATTAACTTACTCTGGAATACCCATTGTGTACGGACTTGAATTATCAGATGCCAAGCCTCAGTTATGCGTGGGGAAGAATGAGGGTTTATGGGGAGAAACATTGGGGTTGCGGCGGGTCGCGTATTTAGATAGCACAAACCTTTCGCGACCGCGTGTCAGTCAGTCAATCAATCACGTGCACTCGTGCTTTCCACCGAGAGAAAGTGTCCGGAAGCATTAGGTTTCGCTGTACTAAAGAGGTACAGAGTTGAAGCAATATTGTCGCTAAGTCTCCTTATTCTTTGCCGGAGCCCGACTCTGTGCGGAATAAATATATACATATATATACGTAAAGAAAAAGCGCATCTAGATCTCTCTCCATCCCTACGTCCTTGCCACATATCTAAAAACCACATCCTGCGGCCTATTAACCTGCAGAGTCAATTTCGGCGAACTATCCTCCAAAATCTCCATCAATCTCCTCCTCGCATCCTCCATCGTCTCCCCATCCCATCTCACAATTTCTACCTTCCACTTCCGAAAAATTTCATACAGCACCCCTACAAATTCCACCTGTGACATTTTCATCCCGGGACAATAGCGCGGTCCGTGAGACCAGGCTAGGAATGTGCCTTTGGGAGGCTCACGGAAGGTTTCTGTCTCAGAAGATGGAGATGATTCGAGAAAGCGTGAGGGTCGGAAGTCCAGAGAATCTCGTCCCCATATTGAGGGTAAGGTGTGGATTACCGTGGTGTTTAGGTGGACTTCGGTTTCAGGGGCGAAGTTGATGTTTTTGATGGTTTGTGGGTGAGGTGTTTTGCGGGCGATGGTGGGGACGAGTGTGTAGAGACGGAGAGTTTCGTACTATTTTACAATGCCATGAGTCAACTCTTGATTTTGAGAGTGTTTGGGTTGAAAGAGTGATGATTAACTTGAGGGATTGATACATACCATTATTGCTAGAGAGCGTGTAAGAAGAGGAAAAGTGGTTGAGTAATCAGAGTCCGGGTACAATTCTTGGACTTTGTCGATCTCGGCCACAATCCACTCTTGCCATATTGGATGAAGTGCTAAGCACATAATAGAGTATGAAAGCGTATTTGCAGTTGTATCAAAACCTGGTAGTAAATTAGAACTAGATCGTAAGAGATATAAAATACCGTGAATCTTATTCAGACAATATATTTGTAAAAGAGCAACGGGTGGAAACGCTCACCTCCAATCGACATAGCGAACAAATTGCCGGTTATATCTTCCTCATTCAAGTATGTTGAGGTCTTTGAGAGTAACGACTTTGTATCCTGATCGGCAATCTTCACCAAAGAAGTTAGGAGAGAATTGCGAGAACTAGGTGAACGTCTTTCTTCGGCTATACTTTGGTTTAGGTGAAGCGGAAATTCTCTTTTCGCAATACCGATCTTCTTGATACTATCTGGCATGAAGGATAAAGTAAGGTACTTTGTAGGTAAGAAGACGGTTGCAAATAAGTTGTCGACTATAGTCAAGACAGAGGACATAAATGTAGTTTGGAACCCTTCTGCGGGTATCTTCGCACTCGCAGCTTCTCCCCATGATCGATGAGTACCGAAGCAAACGAATCCAATCACATTAATAGTAATGGTCCTCAAGCCTTCAAATGTGACATTCTTCGAGCTTGACTCATTACTCATAGATGGCTTTGATAATGCAGAAATCATATCTTGAGTCTGTGTTAAAGTTTCATTCCAAACTTCCTTCATGATCCGTTCATTCAGAGCAGGCGCTACAATTCTTCGATGTCGTTGCCAATCTTCTTTATCGCTAGCACTGATATTTGGCCCAAAAACATCCATTACTTCTACACCCAAATCAGCTCATGTATCCGTACGAGAAATATTGGGAAAGGCACCCACGAAGAGCAATTTCATTTTTCGTAAAATCTTTCCGCCTTGTTAAAACCTGCTCAGCTACTTCAGGGTCTCCGACAAAGATCGTGTTCTTTTCAGGTGAAACAAGAATGAATGAAGTTCCCCATTTTTCATGGACAAAATACTTGCAATAGTGCTCCCATGCTGGAATAGTGATCTTAATTCGATCGAATATAAAAGGGGGTAAAAACTTTTCGAAAGTAGAATAATGAACAATTGAAGAGATTATAAGCCATAGGGGATTTGCTGAACCCCATATACCGAATCTGATAGGTAGTCCGGATTTCTTCGCATCAAGATAATTGCGTGGAAGTGCAGATAGATACCATATTGAGAGAAATACGACCACCAGCAGCGAGATCAGAAGAACTCCCATTTTCAATATGTTGCTTGAATGTTGTGACACTTGACATTGTCAGATTCTGGATATGCACTTTATATCGTGTGTCGCTTAACACTAACCAACATCATTCCAACATGACTTACTGTGTTGGCACTCGGCTGCATAGATTTGCATGCAGGTACTTTGCAAGGACTTAAAACCGGTTGAGCCCCGATTAAAACATGTATTTAGCCCCTCTGGTGAAGGTTAGAGCAACTTTGCTCGATAAGCGACACCCCTCTTCGACCTTAATACAGTGGTGTCATTGGCCCTGTTTGAGCCCAATATCTTGACTTTTGGCATCAAATGTTATCACAAGAACAGTGCAATAGCGGAAATGCTGTGGCAAACCTTACACTTCTGAGAAAATGGCCATGAAGAATTAAAGGATTGATTGCGGACGAAACCCCTGATACGGATAAGTCGTTTACAGGGTCGGTTGGGTAAAGTACGGTTAAACAAAACAGATGCATGACCCAACCAATCAATCTTTCGGAACCGAGCCACCGGTATCAAAACAACCCTTCTTCATCGCTTACAATTCCGACATCATTTACCACATACAAAGTGAAGAGAAAATAATAGCCCTCTTCTCCATTTTGTACTCAGTGTGCAGTGGTAGCGCCTTTAAATTGATGAGGCCCAAGAACATTCAACCAACAGTGTGGTTTGAGTGAGATCAGATTCCACGGGAGATGAAGATACCAAAATTCAATCAAAAATGTGTGAAATTATGTCACGGTTGGAACATACAATTCGTATAGCCGCTACATCGAGTCGATTAACGTTTCCTTTCATAACCGGAAAGCAAAATGAAATACACAAGTTATTGGCGGACATCAAAATTTGAGTGCCGGTAACACAATTCAGGTGATATTCCCCAGAATATTTCAAACATATCAATGCGTCTTCCATCATGAGTTGAACGGCTGTACAAAGTCAAGCTCACACCTCGAGTATTGTTCCATCGAAAAGTTTTAAATTGTTTTTTTGTGCTGAAGTCATATTTTTCAGCAGGGACTAATACGGAAAATAGATGTTGAAGTGCGGAAGTATATGGTCCTACATCACCAAATTCCTTCTATCTTGAGTGAGTAGACCTTGCATCCTTCGCACGTCATGAAATAAGTTGAGATTGACCGTTGATGGTGATTGATGCTAATTGGGTAGTACTATGCTCACTTCGGCGCTCTCTTCACCACGGATTGCATCAGCCCAGGCCAAAATTTGAAAGAACCCAAAGAGTAATCTGTATAGTTTAGACAGTCTCAAAAATGAGTGAGGAAACGAAGCGCAACACCAAAGAAAAAAAGTGCTATGGCGTCGAACACTTGATCACAATTGGATATGCACAATAATCGTGGTATGGTAAGATAAACCAGAAGAATTTTTCTATTGATGGGACGCTGGCCATCGCACGTAGATATGATAAAAGAAGAAAGTGACTAGGACGCATGCTTTTCAAGTGCTCCTTGCCGTTGAACCAACTGTGGAACCTTTCCAAAGAGAAGTAGATTGTGAACAACAATTTTCAGCATGGAGCCGAAATTGCAGTCACATAGCATCGCATCAGCTTTGTGCAAGCATACAAATATCAGGCAAATATGAGAGATATATCGTTGTAAGTCTAACCACTTCATCGAAGCGAACAGACGATTAGCTCAAATCAGCTGGTCAGTACGAGTTGTGGATAAGATGTGGATGAAAAGTGGCCGACGACAAAGTAACACAATCTCGTATACCGACAACACCGTTTGCAACAGGAAACACCACCGAGAATTTCCTTGGCCCTTCCCGGGATAGGTTTTTGTTTTCTAGTGTTAGGGCTACTACTTGATTCTCTTTTGAATTTGAGGTTGATGATGATGTTTCCCCTGGTTAGGTAGATGTGCTAGCGAGGTGAAGTAAAGGCTGGTGGGTGAAATAATATCTGAGATATAGGAGAACGACTTCTCGATTTTTAAAATTCATTGTTGTGAGAATTTGACGAGTAACGACTGCTACGAATGTGGCTCAGGCAAGAGGGTTGTTTTGGCCGATAGAGGAATGTGTGTCATCCTGAATTTGAACGTGATTGGAATAGGCCATGTCGGGCGCAATGCCTACCATTTAGATACAGCCATTCGATAGCATTTGTTATATGTATTTGTTTTTCCATGTAGTCTTCCCAGCTTATATACCTAGTAGTTCGATGCGACATGTATGTATCAGAATTAAGTTCCCATGGGAGATGAACTTAAAGTCTTGAACCCTAGCCATGGGTGAAGTGGCCTGTATCATGTATAAGGCTGAAACCTTCTTTGCATGCCGTCTAATACTGCTCAGACCATGTTGCACCGCAAACAAATGCTAAAGATAAACATGAGGATTAAAGATCCATATATATGAGCTGCAATACTAACTGCTACCTACCTAGCGAGCTTACATAATACAATCCATCCTTACATAAGGATAATCATCCTTTCCGAAACTCTCCGTTCTTTTCTTGAAAACCCAAACCACCCCTCCATAAAAACTAACGGAATGTTCGGGTTCGCATTTGTCCGTCAAAAGAAAAAATGATTTGTCTTTCGTCCGACTCTTTGGCCGAGAGTAAAATCCGTGAATTCATAATCACCTCTTTTACTCTTCCCACAAACAGATCATGCATAGGGGTATTGAGATGATAAGCTTCTCAAGCTTTCTGTCAGTTGACACGTGCATATCAGATGTTTACTCGGCGCATGGTAACCTCGTGGCTTTGCAATTCGCGTTTGAAACTTTCCCCAACGTTTGAGCCCCCGCTCGATATTCAGAGTCAAAGTTTTGAAAAGTCAAAACTCCGCATTAAATCGATATTGATGAATTTGGGGGAGGAAGACGAAACGAACTACAGTATTCCAGCATACAGTTTAAAGTAAATCTCAGTTGCCTGGCCTTCAGAAACAAAGTTGTTTATTTGATTAGTCGAGTATACGTAGTCTTGCGGATTTTACCAACTTTCTCCGCGTGCACCAATGATCTTTGAATCCTTTCCAAAGTAACGGTAAACGGATTTCGGACAACATCTACTCATAATGATGCTAGTTGAAAATCTTCATTTGTCGGATTCCCGGAACTAACCATGTGCCGATCCGTAATCACACCGAAAAAAGTTTGACATACCTTGGAATCCCAGGATCCCAGGATCTCGTGTGCATCGCTGCTTCTTCGAAGTTTGTTCTCGTGGTCAGTGTTTTTTGACCGTTTGAAAATTTCAGGCTACCGTGAACTAGATCACTTTTCACGGAGGGAATGGCGTTCCATGTCCGCCTTGATAGACCGTGAGTCAAAATATCTTTATGTAGTATTTGTATATGTACCAGGGGATTCCGCCTGAATGGCTCATCCAAATAAGCTTAATCACTTCCTTGTCACGTCAAAGTTTCTATAATATATTACAGGTCTTTGTACAAAGACCACACATCATACCATTAAGAATGGGAAACATAACTTCCCATCATCACCACGACCACCTTGGGTCAAGGACAAATTCTGGACTTTCAAGCAACACAACATCCACCTCATCCTCACCAATATGCCGCTCAAGATCAACTAGAGCTCCCTCAACACCGCGAAAATTCCTTGGTCGCCGTTCGCGCTCGTTAAACGCTTCACATAAAGTCCGAGAGCAGAACAACCAAGAGCCGGAACCGAGGCCTCCGATTAGGATTGGATATCCTTATTATGAGGAGGTTACGCTATTAGCGGAGAAGGACGAGAAGAGGCATAAGAGGCACAGTTTGAGACGGTCCATGAAATCTGCGTGATTGGAGTAATTGGTGGGAAGTTGAACTTTCCGAGCTGGATACCGGGTAGCATTACTGGATTGATGAGGAAGATGTGGCGAGGAGGACCATGACGAAGAACACGATGAAGTTGTTGATGCAAACTATCCAGAGGATGGGATATTCTGGGAATAAAGAGCAACCTGGGACGAGAATAATAGAAAGAGTAGATGATTTGGAACACTGGACGATATATTGATACCCACTCATTTTGCATTTATTCGGCGTTCAATATATCGAAAGAGCGTCAGGCGCGAAACATAAACATTAAGTTATATACTCTATATAATTCTAAAAATTTGAGAATATGACACAACCATGCGACCGAATCAAGTCCAACTTCTGCAAGAACGTGATATTGCACCTCCAATTATGAAAATCTAAGATAATAACCATAGTAAGCCTTCAACTAAATCCCCCACATCAAGTCAAACTGAAAGCATGGAAATTATCTTCAAGCAAGCGCTGCCCACGGTCCAAAAATACCCCAAGGACCAACAGGGGCTTGCAGTAAAGCCAACAGTGCATCAGCAACCATAGTTCCCATCGCCGCAATAGCCCTGGGATTAATAAGAGTCGTCAAGACATCGCTACTAGTGCAGCCGGATTTCGCAGCAACACCATTGAATCTATCGATGAGAAAGAGAAACGCATCACCGGCGGTAGTGATTGCTTCAGTATTATGTTCCCCAAGCATATCTCGAACATATTCGATATTGGCACCCTGAGAGCAGAGCTTGTTGAAAACTGCGTCCGTATCTTCAATTACTGAAACCTGGTCTTTAATAGCTTTGTATAGGAATATTGGCATCTCTGGGGTGCCATGTATACCCATTTGTCCAGTAATATCTAAAACCTCTCTTGGATAATCGGAGAGGAAAGAAACTATGTCGCTGTCTAAATACGAGCTTATGTCCTGATCCTTATAGGTCGATGTATTATTGAAGAAGCATTGAGAGGATGCTCTGTAGAAATCAGAAGCTTTTGATGGCAAGACGTGTTCATGGACAAACTCTTTGAGTTTCGGGTAAGCATTCGTGAGGCCGATAATTCCAGCGGGAATCAGACCAGTGAAGAAACTTTTGTTGGTGGAGAGTAGCACAGATGTGATGTTTGGCACAAGACCACCTATAGCAGTTCCCTTAAAGCTAAGCTCTGGCGCGTAGGAAGGTTGAAGCTCTGCCGCCCATTCAGAAGCCAAAGATCCTCCGGAATAACCCCACATTTGATACTCGGCTTCAGGTGAAATGCTAGTCAAATCCCCAGACGACAGAGCTGCACGAACAGAATCGAGCGTCGCCCTGCCGGCTTGTAAACCAGATACGAAAGCAGCCTTAAGGCCCTCGTAATCAGGAAGGTTGACTATCCAACCTTGATCGAGAGCAGCGATGACGTGCAGAGTCTCAATACTACCAATACCTCCACTATCGGGATTGGACCCTAACTGTATTGCGTAAGATGGTGCGCAATTAGCCCATGCAGCATCTGTTGCAAATTGGTATGAAAGCACTCTTGATACATTTGCATTGTATGGCACAACGATCGTAGTAACTGCTGCTGAGGCATTACCCAAGCTATCCGTCGTTTTATACAGAAGTTGATATGTGGCTTTGGCTCGGAATGGCACAGGACCCACGAATGCAAGAGCACCTATTGATCTGCTGCGTAAGATTGTTCCCGGCTGAAAATCCTCGAGGCCTGTTGGCGGCACATAAAAGGGGTCATCTGTGGGAGGTAATGGATGCGTACGCTGCACAAGTTGATCATTGACGGGGAATGAAAGTGTAGTAGCAATCCAAAGGAAGAAGTATCCAGCCGCTGTGAGATACCTCATGTTGACAAGTTGCAGACAAATGAATGCGCTTCAAACGATGGGTACAGCGGTGGTAGCAAGTGGAAGAAAGGGGAAAAATGACAGTAACGGCATGATTCAAATCAGGAGCATATTGGTGTTATTTGAGAACCTGATGCCCAAGCTAGGCCGTCGCTAGCATATAACTAGATATACCAGAGTCTACTACATCAACAAGATGTCATTACTTCTTCTAGTATTTGATGTGCGCCGACCGTGCAGATGTTATCATAAGTAGATCGCACTTTGACCTGGCAGAAGGGTTTGTGAGGCATTGTCACTGTGCTGGGGAATCTAGACCTTTGGTAAATATAAATTTTCAAGGAATATGCACTTGGCGAGAGGTTAAGCATGCGGAAATTGAAAGGTACCGTGTAGATCTGCACTTAACGGATAATTCTCGATCACGTGGATTTATAGAAGGTGAAGGGCGTGAGAACTCAGCACTGCTGAATTGGAATAGCTCAAACTTACATTCCGCGGAGTCGACGGCATCGGGAATAGAGATAGAACCTTCTTCCTAGCTCATGCCAATGAGACCAAAGGGAGCTTGCATTGTATACACGATGGGCTTGAGTATTCACAAACTGAACGTGATTACATGACACCACCTTAATGCTTGAAGCCTCGTACATTCCGAAAGAGGAACGAGCGTCATTCCATTGCCCAGGTTGGATTTGGCCATCAAAACATTGCAACTGCAAGCGAGGCACTACCGACCTCCCTTCAATGTTTAATGCTGGTATGCGTTGTCTCAAGCCTCCCAAACGACCTCGCTGGAAGGGGTCCGGTAATGGGGAGACCTCGGACCGTAGGAAGGGGAGGTCCGATCCACCGTTGTGCTGTTCTGTAAGGTTAATTTAACCAAGAAAACTTTTAGGAAGCCATACTAAAGGTTTAGAGCCGAATGTGCCTTGATTTCGTCTCTACCCTTTTTTTCGGTATTTTTCAACCCTTGAAAGAATTTATGACAAAAGGAGTAATAGAGACAATTAGTAGAGTGATGAACTAGTTATCTCCAATGATTAAACTTCATGGAAGACCTTTGAATACCTAGGTGATCAGAATAGTTTCGCTTGAATCTAATGAAAACCGATTGATTTTATGAAGGTTTTTAGAATAGAAGAAGAATAACTTTAAATCATTTTATGAATACATACCCACACTAAAAATTGCTTACAAATACACTCAGGAAACACAATTACTATAAATATTATCAATCTTACCTAGTATATCTTATAATTTGAGTTTATCTGTTTCTCAATTGAGTTTATCTTTTGTAAAGATAAACTTTGTCAAATGGGGAAGGAGATAGGTCGTTAATTTATTGCACCTCTAATAAATGTCTCTACAATGTATGGTCACAGCAATTACTACCGATCACGATGTTACCGTACACGGCTCAATCATCTCAGTTCGCTGTAGATGTAGATCACCACTTTAGCTGCTCAAAGTCATTGGTTAGCATGTCTTTCCAAGGAATTCAATACTACGCAGATTCAATAATAACTCACTGGAAATGGTAGGTGAATGCTTCATTTTCCTATGCTTCTCTTGACCGACTAGTGTTCACAAAAAAGCTCGTCCCCATTCACTCACAACTTTAAAACCCACCTTTACCACTCTTCACTTATATACCCTTTCCTCTCCGTCTTAACTTTTAGATCTTGCAAAACCCTCACTCCCGCTTTCTCTCATCCTTCATTATGCTATATATATGCATTTATCTGCTTCTGTCGCTCGCGTCTGCTGCGCTAGCAAACTGGGAGGCATTATCAGGAAGCGATATTTGTCAACAAATCCAAGGCAACATCACTGGCGAAGTCTATCTTCCCCTGGATTGGACGCTTAATTATGAATCTGAAATTGAACATTGGATGACTTCAAGCACTCAAAATCCTGCATGCACGGTAAAAGTTGCCAGTGACGAGGATGTTTCTACTGTCTTGAAGATTATTGCAGCCAATCGACAGCCATTTGCAGTGAAGTCAGGGGGCCATGCAAGCAATCCTGGCTTCTCTAGCACTACTGGTGTCCACATCTCGCTAGCGAACTTGACCCAGGTCACACTATCTGAGGATAAAAGTACAGTGGTTTTAGGAACTGGAAATGTAGGTTGTTCCCGTCTTCTCGAAAGGCTCTCCTTATTCATCAAGTATTGACACATTCATAGATCTGGACTGATGTTTTCACGGCTATCGACGGAATGGGTGTTAACGTTGTGGGCGGGCGTGTCGTTGGACCCGGTGTCGGTGGCTTCACTCTTGGAGGAGGTTACTCCTGGCTAACAGATCAATACGGCCTGACCTGTGACACAGTTGTCTCCTTCAACCTTGTTCTCCCAAATGGAACTATAACCACTGTTGATTCCACGAATCCTGACCTTTTTTTTGCTCTTAAAGGTGGTTTGAATCGATTCGGGATTGTCACTAGTGTCGTTCTCAAAACAGTTCCACAGGTGCCCATGGTCTATGGTGGTTTTATCGTATATGGTGTTGATGCAATCCCCGATCTCATTACCGCCACTGATAAATTCCAAAACGAGAACACGGATCCCAAAGCCCAGGTCATACTCACCATCAACAATGGCCTAATTCAAGGTGCCATCCTTATTATGTTCTACGATGGCCCAGATCGACCTGCAGCTTTTGATCCATACAACAACGTCAGCAGTCTCCCGATCATATCTGAAGTCAAAACACAATCTTTTGCATCATTTGCCAAAGTCACCCCGTCCAATCTCCAGAAGGGGTACAGAGGGTCTTTCCATTCCATGATGACTACTGGTCTGACAGAGGGATTCATGAAAGCAGTTCATAATGAATCTGTCTTTTATGGAGCAATTGCTGTTCTTCATGGTGGGACGTTCCTTAATTACGAGATTGAGCCTTTCCTCGACTATGGGAAATACGCCACAGAGTCCGCTTTTCCACATGAAAAATCCCCAATACCCTTAAACGTCTATTTCGCCTGGACATCTCCATCGGACGATGCATATTGGAGAGGTCTTCTGCAACAGACCATCTCCCATCTGACTGATGTAGCTAAAAGTGAGGGAATCTATTCCGAGGATCTGTATACATATCCAAACTATGCTTTGAGTACTTATAATGGCAACCAAATCTACGGACCAACAAATGCAGCGAGGTTGAGAGAGATCCGAGAGAAGTATGATCCAGATGGAGTAATGCTTCTTGCTGGAGGATTTGATATCTGAGAGTATTAACAGAGCTCGAGGCCTTGGGTTAACTCTCCGTGCGTGTTTTTGTCGGTTGGTGGGAGGATATGAGGCGGGATATGAGGCGGCTCAATACACCTGGTATCATGTGGAAAGGGGAAAGAGAGAACTTTAGAGGGGTCGCCTAAAACGGTGGTTTTGAAATAAATACTGTTGGATACAGGAACACTCGTTTTCATTAGTTTGGAGGATAATGTTTGAATAACTATTGATATAGTGATGTAGAAAGTTTGAATCGGCGGGCATGACTTGACAGTGTAAATTCATTGTCAGTCTGCAGCTGTAGTGCTTGGTACCTAATGAATAGTAATGATAGATAAATTGTGTCTAATTAGCACCACGCATCTGACAACATTTACCAATCGACTTTGACTAATTACAATGTATTCGATTATTGATCAATAAATCATCGGCATAGATATCGAGCATACAATATAATGAAAGTCGAGTGAGTTCCTTGATGTTCAAGCGTATCTTTTAGCATCTCGTCCCACACGAAAATCAAGCTGCAACGCACCAACCAATCAAAACAAAGCCCATCGTAATCCTTACCGAAGCAACCTCAAATTTCAATTCCACTCCGAATCCACCCTAACACTCAATTATATCCCACACCACCACCACTCTACCTTTCCTCTCCATCTCAGTACACGCCACAACACACGCCCCCGATGGCATCACTATTCACATCCCGCGCACTCCTGCGCAGCGCCCCTCGCACATTCTCTGCCGCAACCCCAGCCATGCGCGCCCTCTCCACCACACCAGCTCGTCCCGATGCTACCGCTTCCACCACGGATAGATTCAGCAAGATTCCCGATTTCAGCAAATACAGAAGTAAGAAGAGTGGTGGCAGTAATTTGGTTTATCAGTACTTTATGGTGGGGGCTATGGGTGCTTTGACGGCTGCGGGGGCAAAGGCTACTGTTCAAGGTTTGTCTTTTTTCCTTGTCCTTGGATGTGTGGATAGGATATCGGGTCGAGGGGTGGAGGATTATTGAATTTTAACATGGGGATGATGATTGGTGAGAGGCTTGGGGGCTATGGTTAGAAATGCAATTGAGGGAATTGATGGTTTTCTGCCCATTAGACCGAGGGACTGACAATGGACTTTGAACAGATTTCCTCGTCAACATGTCCGCATCTGCAGATGTTTTGGCCATGGCTAAGGTCGAGGTCGATTTGGCTGCTATCCCTGAGGGCAAGAACGTACGTTTACTACTACTACATCTAATCGATCCGACATATCAAAGATAAAGTCCTGACACAAACACACAAAATAGGTCATTATCAAGTGGCGTGGAAAGCCCGTCTTCATCCGACACAGAACCGCCGATGAGATCAAGGAAGCCGGGAATGTCAAAGTTGAGAGTTTGAGAGATCCACAATCCGACGCCGACCGTGTTAAGAAGCCAGAATGGTTGGTTATGGTTGGTATGTGTTGTCCTACTACACTTCATACGATCCAATCGACACCAAATACTAACTAGAAGCCAAACAGGTGTCTGCACACATCTTGGATGTGTCCCAATTGGAGAAGCTGGTGATTTCGGAGGATGGTTCTGCCCATGTCACGGTTCCCACTATGATATCTCCGGCCGTATAAGAAAGGGACCTGCTCCATTGAACTTGGAAGTCCCCGAATACGACTTCGCGGAAGAAAATTCCTTGGTTATTGGTTAAATTTGAGGATCTGGTGGAGAGCAGTTTTGTAGTTGTATAAAGTTGGAGGAGTGCGCAAGAGTGGAGGATAGACGAGACGACGTTTTTTACTTTAAACGAAAGAGAATGATAGACCTTGATCTGGAAGCTTTATGGCTTTGTAGAAGGGGTGGTGGAATAGCCTTTGTACAAAAGATCGGATAAATGATATCGCTTCGAAAAGTTTCAAATATTGGAAAGTCATGGAGTCAGTCATTTTGTCGTTGGGTTACACATGGCGTGAAAGCACCCAGGTCTCCCAGTGGCATGCCCAGGGGTATCTATTCTTTAAAATAATCAATCGAACAGGTTGGAACTCAAGTATTAAAAACAGAGAAGTTACAGGTAAATGTTTTCTTTTGATTCACATTGTCATATCCCGTAATATTACATCTCCTTCATACCGTAGGTCATTTCTTCATGTAAAAGCCATCAGTCATCAATGTCCATGTCCATCATCCTCTCTCTGTTCCGGATCCAGCTTAATCAAAGTGTCTATCCTCATAATAGAAATACAAGCCTCAACTGCCGACTTCAATTGTCGGATCTTGCTCATGCTTGGCTCCAAAACACCGGCCTTGATCTCATCCACTACCTTGCCCTTCAACAGATCCAATCCGTAGTTCTTGTAGTTCTTCTTCTTGGCAATGGTCTTTTCGTCCTCGTTGGCATCTCCTTCCTTGATGCGTTGTGATAGGGCGTGACGGGAACGGAGTTGTGCTACCAATTCGGAGGAGTCTTTTGCTGCGTTAACAGCGAGAGTTTTGGGGATAACGAGGAGAGCTTGTGCGAATTCGCCAATGGCGAGTTGTTCTCTTGAACCAACGGTACCGGCGAATTCTTCCAAATAAATGTGGAGTGCAGTCTCGCATGCACCACCTCCAGGAACGATGCTTCCGCTCTCTAAGGTGCGCTTAACAGCACATAGAGAATCGTGAACTGATCTCTCCATCTCGTCGAGTTGGTAGTCATTGGGTCCGCGGAGGATAATTGAAGCAGAAGTGTGAACTTTGGTACCCTTGACCAAGATACATTCATCATCAGATATTCTCTCCTGAACAACTTCTTCGGCATGACCCAATGAAGAAGCCTCGAATTTCTCATCACCGTTCAAATCTGACAATGAGCTGATTAAGGTAGCACCGGTTGCCTTTGCTATTCTTCTCAGATCCTCCTTCTTACATCTTCGAACGGCCATTGCACCCTTCTCAATAAAGAGTTTCAGACACATATCGTCAATACCTTTTGTCGTCATAACAACATTGGCTCCAGCCTTGAGGATCAGATCGATTCGGTCCATAACAATTCCAGCCTCTCTTTGTCGGATTTGTTCCAATTGTTGTGGGTCGTCGATTGTAATATTGACACCAAGCTTCATCCTTTCCTTTTGTAGGTTGATATCTAGAACAGCGATTTTGGCATCTGTAATTCTTGTCTTCATTGCTTGTGAAGCAACTGTGCAGTTCAAAGCATATCCCTTGACCAACATGGACTCCAAAGATCCTTTTCCATGTGCTTTTAAAATGTTGACAGCTTTAACGGGATATTTGACTTCCTGTCGGGTGTTTGTTGATTTGACTGCTTGCATAGCATCTACAACCATGTTTGCGAAGAAATCGGAATCTGATCCAATAATCTTACTCGACATGGAAGTTTTGGCAATGCTGATTAAAGATTCTCGGCCCAACTGGTCCACCTTCACACTGATGTTCTCGTGCATATACTTGACGGCTTCGCGAAGTGCCAAACGGTAACCTGTGATGATTGTGGTAGGATGTATACGATTCTTCATAAGTTCATTGGCTCGTCGAAGAAGTTCTGCTGCAATGATAACCACAGATGTTGTTCCATCTCCCACTTCTTTATCTTGTTGCTGTGCCAAATCGACTAAGATCTTGCCCGCTGGATGTTCGACATCTAATAAGCTCAGGATGGTTGCGCCATCATTTGTAACTGTAACGTCCTGCCCAGAATCAGTATTTGGTGGGGTTCTTTTGGAGTGGACAAGCATACTCCTATATCATCCACCATCATTTTGTCCAAACCACTTGGACCAAATGAACTTTTGACAACATTGGCAATAGCCTGAGTTGCAAGAACTGTGAACGGGGTTAGTTCATACCTTTTCCATAGTCATGATAGCTCATACCATTTTGATCTCGAATATCCTGTCCACTAATCTTTTGGCCGCCGAGGACTACTGATATTAGCATCTATACCAGCAGAAATTTCAAGGGCAAACATACACAAAGTTCCAGCATTTCTAGGTTGCTCGAAAAGGGACCCCATATTGTTGATATTCTAAAAACGACGGTAACTATTCTGGTAATATTTCTTCGTCGTCGCGAAAGAAAACGGACGCGAGAGCTTTCCACGCTAATATTTTTAAGCATTTGGCCTTGAAATTTAAGGCAAGAGCTCAGCCTCGTCAAATTAATTAGTGAGACGACCAGGGGGAAGCCCACTTTATTAAATGCGCAAGGCTGAACAAATCCTTGTCGCTTAAATTTTAGGGCGGGGGGAACATTGAATGGAGTCAGTCAGTCCTTGGTGGTTACACTTTCAATAAGTAGATTCCACACCTTCTCTTTGAACATTCATCTTCCACCACAACCACACAATCATGGCGGATTCCACTGCTCCAGATGTTGCGCAAGAGGGGCCATCTAAGAGCGCCTTGAAAAAGGCTGCCAAAGAAGCAAAAATGGCCGCAGATAAAGCCGCGAAAGCTGCCAAAAATACAGCGCTTCCTGTGGTGGGGGGTAAGAAAACAGATGATATTATTGGTATTACGGTCAAGAAGTCGGAAGATTTCTCACAATGGTATCAGGAGGTAGTATTGAAAGCAGAGATGATCGAGTATTATAATGAAATCTCTGGTTTCTTTATTTTACGTCCACAATCTATGTTTATCTGGAATCAGATCCGAAATTGGTTTCAAGCGCAAATTGAGACACTTGATGTAGAGGAGGCTAGTTTTCCAATGTTCTTGTCTTCAAAGTCATTGGAGAAAGAGAAGGACCATGTTGAGGGTTTTGCTCCTGAGCTTGCTTGGGTTACCAAGGCGTGAGTTTCGTCGTCATCTTGTTCCCATTCCACCCTGCTGTACTAACTACAACAAAGTGGTGATAAAGACCTCGAAGTCCCTGTCGCAGTTCGTCCTACTTCTGAAGCTGTCATGTACCCATACTATTCGAAATGGATCCGAAGTCATCGTGACCTTCCTTTGCGCTTAAATCAGTGGAACAGTGTTGTTCGTTGGGAGGCCAAGCAAACAACTCCATTCTTGAGAGCTAGAGAATTCTTATGGCAAGAAGGTCATACCGCACATCTTACAGAAGAACTCGCTGGCGAGGAAGTTCTTCAGATCCTTGAGTTTTATGCCGGTGTCTACGAACAATTATTGGCAGTTCCGGTTGTTCGTGGTCGCAAAACCGAGAAGGAGAAGTTTGCTGGAGGATACTATACTACCACAGTTGAAGGATATATTCCATCTAATGGACGTGGTATTCAAGGTGCTACTTCTCACTGCCTCGGTCAAAACTTTAGTAAGATGTTCGATATTACTGTCGAGGACCCAACTCCAAAAAATGGTGAAAAGGCTGGTCATCTTCACGTCTGGCAAAACTCCTGGGGTCTTTCAACTCGTGTTATCGGTGTCATGGTCATGATTCATGGTGATGACAAAGGACTTGTTCTCCCACCACGAATCGCAAAACTCCAAGCAATTATCATCCCAGTAGGCATCACAAATAAAACTACCCCTGAAGAAAAAGCCAAGAGATACGATGAACTTCAATCTATCAAGGATACTCTCAAGAAAGCCGGTGTCCGCGCCGATTACGATATCCGCGATGGATACACACCAGCCTGGAAATTCAACGACTGGGAATTGAAAGGAGTCCCTCTCCGTCTTGAATATGGACCAAGAGATGCCGCCCAAGAAGTCGTCTCTTACGCTCGTCGTGATACCGGTGAGAAAGGCACGATTTCTATTGCAAATCTTTCGACCGAAATCCCAGCACTCCTCGAAACCATTCAAAGCTCTCTCTATACTAAGGCCGAAGCGTCATTCAGAGCTCATCGACTTGTCATCAACGAATGGAGCGAAGTCGTTCCTGCACTTGATGCCAAGAATGTTGTCCTTATTCCATCCTGCTTGGGCGAAAAGTGCGAAGATAAGATTAAGGACTTGACGAAGGGTGGTGCTAGTGAAGAAGTCGGACCTGACGGAAAGAAGGTTCCAACGATGGGAATGAAGAGTTTGTGTATTCCATTTGAGCAACCAGAAGGCCTCGTCAAGGGTGAAACGAAATGTTTGAACCCAGAGTGTGGAGTGTTGGCGGAGAAATATTGTATGTACGGAAGAAGTTATTAGATTTTGCAAATTGATAGGGCAAGGGAGTTTGGAGAAAGAGACAAGACGCATGGGTGAATGGAAGGAATATGATGAATGATGATCAAGATGGATATGTCAACCAGAGCTCAATGATTAGATGGCGAAAAAGAGTTTGAGTTATTTTTCGTACTAGTTTTAGAGCGTTAAGTTGCTTCTCAAGACAATGCAAGAAAGAAAGAAATGAATACCACTTCAATGTCTCCAGGTCATCTTACAGTTTCGCTTTACTCAACTCGGATTTCTCGAATCGCATTTCCATTTAGCGATTGCCATCATGATATACCATGAACAAGTATTCAAGGAATAAAACAAACGATAGAGAACAATCATTAAATACGCTATTGCTAGGTATGGGCTTACTCCTGTTTATATCCGGCGAGGTTGATTCCCATTTTACATGGTCTGGTCCTAGTGAACTCTGTGATTTTTAGAGCTGACTGGGAGTTTGATGATACTTGGTGTTTTCATTTAGAAGGGTTCACCTGTATTAGACTTGCGGCTCAGCCGCATATACGTCGTGAAGTATTGGCTATCAAAAATTACTCTTTTTATCCTTGTGTTGATTCTCTTCAGACCTGCGACGGCATCGTATTAATTTTGTGTTCGTTGCAACTTCGCAACTTCTTCTCAAATCAACATCTACTAGGAGGGTTCTAATACCATTAAAGATGGCTTAGGAACTGCCAAAACCTGAATCAATGGTTGAAAATATCATCTTGGACCTTTGGGTAGACGCACAAAAGAGGTTATTCACTATTACTGCATATCAAAAGTATGGCGGTGCTTTCAACGAAGCTGTTCTTGACCCTTCAAAATGGTCAGAAATATTGGAAAGGTCATTGGAGGAAAGTGAAGGCCCTTTAAAAGAGATCTGCAGAAAGGTCGGCCGTCATATTGAAGCGATTCAATCAGCTATCAATATTGCAAACGAAGTCTTTCAAATTGTAGCGGTGGTTAGTCCCCTTTTCCCTAGTAGAATCTTAGCCTTTTTAAAACTTTGACACAGGCGGTGCCAGCCGCCTCTCCAGCTACTATAATTCTGCAAGGTTTTTCCTTATTATTCAAGGCGTTTGCAGTGACACAAAAGAATGTTAGGATTCTAGAATCTTTCTTCGCGGACACGAAAGCGCTATTCAAGGAGATTTCCATCATCAGTGAACATCTGTATGACGCGGGTGATCGCAACCTTAATATTCCCAGAAGTTGCATTACTACGGTATTCTGCTGCTCCTTAAAGTTTTGCGCGATTGCCATCGAAAAACGCGATGGGTGGTTCAGTTTGCAACAGATACTTACTTAAGCTGACATGATATAGCTAATGAGATTATTAGAGAAAGGGATTAAGCTTGCATTCAAGGAGGACACTGAGCTTAGCAAACTTCTGTCCGAGATGCAATTCGCGAAGAATCAGGTCGACCGGTGCATTGATACTGCTAATTATCGAGAGATCAAAAGGGCGGGTGCAAGCATCGAAGCGATTGACAAAAGTTTCAGTCGAGAGGAGCGCAACGAGATTCTTGAATGGTTGTCCTCATTAGATTTTGAGACTAGACATGGGGAACTGTTAGGGCGGGTAAAGGGACGACCAAATGCTAGAAAAAAGCTATTAGACTCAAAAGCTTTTCAAAACTGGACGGAAACACCTTCCTCAAAGCTCTGGTATACAGGAAAACGTAAGTCTCAACCTGAGCCTGAAATACATTCAACACTAATAGCTATAGCGGAAGCTGGTAAGAGTGTGTTAGCGTAAGATGCATGCATTTCCGTTTCGCACATAGCACTGTAGCTAAGATAATGAGCAGGTCAATCATAATACTGCATTTGCAAAATGTAGCAACGAAGGACAAGTCTGAACCTGTAGTTGCATTTCTTTACATGTCTCATAAGCGCGAGACGACAGTGCGAGATCTTCTTGGGAGTGTCGTCAGACACATTGTGGCAGAAATGCCACTTATTCTATTCATTATAGAAGACGCATGGAACGTGCAGACAAGCCGAAGTAAATACGATGGAAAGTATCCCAAAACCCCACGAGGAAATATTGACAAATTTCTTGTCCCATTTGCTTTCAAATAGACCTTTCTACATTGTTCTCGATGCTATGGACGAGTGCGTACTCAAACCGGAAGCCCCTACTCGATAGTCTCAAAAAAATCGGCGAAGATGTTAGGATACTGGTCACTGCCAGGCTCCTTGAGAAACGAGATGAACTGTCTGAAGGCTTCAGCTTACAGGTTATACAAGCCCTGAAGTCGGATATTGATGAATACATAGATTCCGAAATTGACAATGACTCAACATTACAAAAAGGCTCTAGGGAAGTCATTAAATCTAAAGTGAGAAGAAAACCAGGCGAAATGTAAGCTACTACATGTAGCGTTCCTGATAAAGCTATATCTAACAGTTCTGGGGTTCTATTAGTCAAGCTTCATATGGCTGCCCTCCGAACCTGGGAAAATCTGGGAGATTCTCGAAATCTACCAGAAACGGTGGATGAAAGCTACGCAAATGCTATTGACCGCGTCAAAACAAAGGATAAAGAAAGAAGGGATCTGCCCGTGCGACCCTGGCTTGGATGTCTCACGCATTGCGGCCATTGAAGTTTCAGGAACTCACCCATGCGATCGCTACACAAATGAATAAAGAGGTTGTCAAAAACGAAAGCCCATTTTCCAAGGAGAGAATCACCTCTGTTTGCTGTGGATTAGTCGAGATTGATATGGATGATGTGCTCCTTTTCGTTCATTACTCTGCTCAGACCTTCTTTCAAGGACGAAAAGAATTAGAGTTTAACAATTTTTGCGTAGAAATCCCTCTGGCCTGCGCAAAGTATCTTTGTATGAGAGCCTCCGAGTCGCCCGCTGTAATTTGCCATTCAGAGGAATCCATCAATGAGCCAGAAGACGAAGAGGTTGATACCGCTCCCTTTGCCGAATACGCAGCTGAATTTTTAAATCGACATTTCAAAATTGTCCGTAAGCCAGAGAGTACGACGAAGTACAAGGAGCTCGAACGCTATTTACGCAAGCTCGTTAAGGAAGCACCAAACAGAATGTACTATTCTAAATTGCTAGATCAATCACTAGCTTATCACACTCGCTCAAGTTTTTTAAGAGGGCGCAGCCGGTATTTTAGGAAAAGAGAAATGTCTACGGGCATAACTGACATTGGCGCAACTCCATTGCATCCTGCTGCCTTTTTAGGAAGCAGTGCAATTGCTCAAGAACTCGCCGTTGAGGATAGTACAACATCGACGCACTTGATTCCTTCGGCCAATCTCCTCTCATGATTGCTTTCGAGAGAGGCTTCGATGATATTGCAGACGTGTTGATAGAAGATGGAGCCACTGTCGATCTCTTCTGTATAACAGGCCATATTCTTCTACTGTACGCCATAGAACGAGAATACCGAAAAGTTGCGGATAAGATCCTCACGAACGTCAAGCAACCCGAGACTCATTGGTAACTACTCGATTTGGGAAACTTGTTATTTACTTTATTGCTCTTCCCGTTCTTTATCCTCCTATATTTTGTGCATAAGAAATCAGAGAAACCCAGAAATTTTACCCAGTCGGCGTGCAAGGGAGATCCCGAAAACTGTGAGAATTCAGAGGCAAATTCTTCACTTCATCAATACAGGCAACTTCTTGGTCTTGCTTACGAGGGGCTTTTCAATGAAGTAGAGAATTTCATCCTCACTCACCCTCCCGACTCCGAAGAACCCAGTGATGGCTCAAGCTGTACTTGGAGAGGCAGCTGTGCTTCTTCAGACATTTGTACATTAATTAGCGAGGACTCTGAGGAGGAGACCCTCCAAGCACAAGAACAAGACTTCTTCAATACCGCTTGCTTTATAGCTGTAGAATGCGGTCATACAAAGACAGTTGAAGTGCTTTTGAATAATGGTGTAGATGGTAAATCAAAAAACTTCTTTGGTCAGCCCCTCTTGCATCGTGCCGTCTTCCGAAACAAAAAAGATATTGTGAAGGTCATCCTTGATAAGACTCATCTCGTAGATATTGAGGATAAGTACCAGAGGACTGCGTTCACTACTCATGCTGGTACTGAACACGAAGGAAGTAGGTCAAAACTACTCTTGTCATAAAGGCTCGAACTTACCAAATGATATCCAGTTCTAAAGTATTTGATTTCACGAGGGACTGACATTAACCACACAAATCCTGGGGGAACACACGAACTTTGTAGGGCCGCTGCATTTGGGAACACTGATATGGTCAATTTTTTTCTAGACGTCGGGGTGAACCCATCTATAACCAACGAGTTTGGCTGGACCCCACTTCACGAAGCTTCCGCTAACGGCCACTTGGAATGTGTCAAGCTGTTACTCCGAAAAAAAGCAATGCCCTCCCCAATCTCTGATGAAGGGAAAACCCCGCTTGACCTAATTAATTCAGGCGAGCTACACTACGGATGGCTCAACCTAGATCATGATGCAGAACATTATCTCAATGGCGAAGAATACAGAAAGAGAGAAGTAGGGCCTGGTGATACTGAACACCAGAATGAAATCAGAGAGCTGTTGCTCAAACATGGAGCGAAAACGGGCGAAGAACTGTACAACGAAGATGAATCAGCATTCATGCATATTATGAGCGGTCCTTTTAAGCAAAGGTTGGACTTTGATGATACCTGGATGAGTTATTTGTCTGGCTACCTTTAAGAGTCAATAATCCATTAATAATTATAGATATATTATTACTTCTATATCACTTGTTTTGTTTAATAACTTGTTTTTGAGTGTAAAACTTAGTTTAATTCTAAAGAATATTAATTATATAAAAATTAATACTTTATTTTTTTTATAAAAAATATTTAAATCATATCATTTAATTTTTATTCAAATCATGATTTTTGATATAAAAAATTAACCTGAAAAAGAGATAATCTGAAACTAAAATACTAAACTTAATATCTCAATTCAACACTATCTACTATAACTCAATCAATCAATAGACTTTTCCATACCAAATATATATTTACATCGCGTAATATAAAAATATAAAGTTAATATTTATAAATAATCATTAACATCATTATTATTATCAAATATGTATTTAGATTCCTACTCCCTCTTCCCCTTTCACTTTCACTTTCAACTTCCACTTCCACTTCCACTTCCACTTCCACTTCCACTTCCACTTCCACTTCCACTTCCACTTCCACTATCCACTTCCACTTCCACTTCCACTTCCACTTCCACTTCCA